GTGTAGATATCTGCAAGTCGTTGAGTATTGGACGAAGAAGGTGGCGAGGTTGATAGTTGATAATGAGGCTGCTGGTTCTGTAAATGTAGTTCTGACTCCTGAGACCAGAATCCTGGTTGAACAAGTATCCGTATTCCGTAGGCTGCACTCCATACGCGATACGGAGTACGGTCTGGCAAGATCCTACATGCCAAGCAGCGGAACGGGATTCCTTGTCGCCGGCACGCATATCGACAGAAGCCCAGAGACGGCCAAGGTGACGCCCCGACGGAGCGGCTACACGTTATTGGACGGGAGGAGGGAAGCTGAATGGCGCCAAGGGGGCGTGTTGAGACTTGAGAGTGAGGGTGAGACTGTGAGACTCAAGCCATGGTCCGCGGGTAGGAAATGGGGTCAAGGTAGCCTTTCGTGCCTGTGCTGTGCCGTGTGTGCCTTGGTGTTCAGTTTTGTCCCAAGCTGTTTGATCCGATGCCGATTACCTTAGGCTATGTGCGTGTCCGTGTCCGTCGGGCGCAGCAGTGAGTGACCTGGACTGCTTCAATGGTTTGAAGGCGAATATGCAGATTTCGGGGGATTCAACATCGGATGAAATCAAGGATGACTGGGAGACGGGAATGTCTGATGGGAATCTCTCGATGCTCGCACTCGTCAATGGGCACGCGACACTCGAGTGACTTGGGCCGGGACTTGCCTTATTCACTGTGCACCAAATCGCCCCGTCATCGATATTTCGGTCCCGCGACCGTGAAATTGGTGATTTGGGGTATCATGGAAGGAACCGCCCAGAATCTGGATGTGTGCCCCCGGGCAGGAACTACACCGCGAAGTACGGAGTACCTAGGAATTGGGAAGCAGCGGACAGGGGCACCTTCCATCTGGATGGGTCCATGGGGACTTGGGAAGTCCCATTGTGACGTTGGCAGCTCCGATAAGGAAGGATCACAGTCCCGTCGTCAGGTGCCCTCTTGCCGTTTCGGCCAAACGGCGATGGATCAACACTCGACAACTCCACCTCGGCATTCGCTTAAACGAATTCGTCTAGATGCATCCCCTTTTCTTAAGTGCATTCACATCCCTCATCATTCATGAGATGACTTGAATATTGAGATGACTGCAATTGACTTTGCGGCTGACCGACTGCCACTTCGGACTATGCTGCTGATATCAGATTGTCGAGACAACCTACTCCAAAGTCGTCGTTAGTTACAAGTTACCCGGCTCGTCGGCACACTCGGCACTAAGCCTAGCACCGAGCAAACGGCGGTGCATGGCAGAGGATGGCTTTAGTCGCACACACACAATGTGACAATCAAGGACGATATCGAGGAGAGAAGAGACCAAGGCAGATATCGGCTAGGCGACTATATCCCCTAGCTCCACGCAAGTGGCGCCGGCGCTGACCTTGACGCTGGTGCTACCCCCAAATTGTGCCAAGCCCGTTAGCGGCTTATGCGGCGACTGGCAAGTCTGGGAAGTCTGGGACCACCTGCACTTGCCTTGCACTCAGATTGGGAGACTTGCAAGGAAGGAGAAGGAGCACGAGAGCAGAAAGCGAGCAACAGAAGGAGCACACGACACTCGACCCCTCCCTTCTGTTAAAAAGAAGTAAGTGTATAACGCCCACCCCAGTACACTTGAACTGTATATTGGTCAGTAGACTGAATTTGCCCTAATTCTTCGATTTCTGTAGTTAGTCAGATTTTAATTATCTCAGAGTTGAGGTTGCTGCGGCGGCTTTTGTGTTTTTTCCCCCCATATGATGAGTGCATGATTGGCCCGTGCACCTCACACGGATGGTGTGTAGAAGAGGTGCTCCGCTTGGGGTGGCTCGAGCTTCTGTAGACCTGTCAAGTGATACCAGTGGCAGGACCCCCGTCTCCACCCTTGCCGTTCCGAGCTTGGAGAGTCAGAGGGCAAGTGCAACTGCCAACTGCGCAACTGCCAACTGCAGATTCTGATATTCCGCCCACGCTCACCCCCTGCTACCACCTTACCTTGGTTCCTTGACCCCCGTCTTTCCCGGACCACACCCACCGGGTCCCATTTTGCTCAAGCTTCTTTTTTGAGATTGTCCCTACGGCGGAATGCTCCTCGAACGAACCTTGCCAGTCTGTTGATTTCTTGTGTTTAATTAACCTTTCAATGGATCCGATGGGCCCTCGTCTGGCTTCGGATACAATAGCAGGCGCAGCAGTGTCAGTACCACCGTAGGACGCGGCCTGTCACCCGCTCCCGGCCACCGGCGACAGCCCGGGCCCTGGCCGCCCTGCCTCCATCAACTCCTTTCGACGCGGGATTACGTATGCCGCTCAAACATGGCGCATACGCGCAAACCCGCCAGTCTCAGTCTCTTTCCGACTCCCGTCTCTTGCAAAGGAATGTGGGAGTATGCCTCTACAGAGTATCAGTACCACCGTCGTACGTACGCCCTCTACGTAGTACCTAGTACCTGTCTATACTCCGTAAGGCAGTGCTACTACCGTTATTTGCGACCCAGGCGGCTTAGACAGCGGAACGGCTGGAGGCGAGACATGAGGTGCCAAGTGGTCCCCGGGGAGGGAGGAGGAGTGCCTGTTGTGTCTTTTCGTTGTTGTTCTTGTCTCCTTGGCTCTGTGAGATAATATTCAACAAAAAGGGACAGTCAAATGCAAGAAAGGAGGCCCATTGGAAAGACTGGAGCTGGGAACAGCATTATCATCTTGGCAAAGAATCCGAAAGCTGCAAAAAAAAAAGTCTCCAAGAAAATCCAGTTCCATAGGTGCTCCATGGGATGCGTGGGGATTCTTTGCCATGGCGGGACTCCACTAATACCACGACCGGAATCACCACACACCCTCCACAAGCCCACTCCCACACCCGTCTCCCGTCTCTCTCTCGTCACCACACGCCTCTCTCTCCTCTGGGCCCATGTATCCGTACGAATACACGAATCCCACTCCATCCACCTCCCACACATCCATTTCCATGTACTTACATATCACCTCCTCCTGCCCTGCCGCGCATCCCTAATGTCCGCTCCGGTCTTCTCCTCTTACCTCTTACTTCTTGGCATCTGCGTGTTTTGACATCCTTCGGTAACATAGACATAGACCTGACCTCGACATCACGGTCTGAACACCTGCAGCAACGCATTTCGCCATTTCATACTCTGACTTCAAAGTGGTTCGGCTCGTTACTCGTCCTCGCCCTCGGTCTCCCTCTCTGGAACTCGTCTTATACACCACATCGCCATTGCCTGATCAGCTTTAACGATACCCACAAGCCGCCCACTCCAGTTTTGACCAACCTCCAGAAACCAAAGGGTTTATTCTACGCTTCCTCTCGTCTATTGCAGTCGCTACTAGTCCTCATCAACCTTGGTTTGAGGCAGTTAAGAACCGAACTACCTTCATCGGCCCCTCTGGCTCCTGTCATACCCACCTTCACCTCCTTCCTGCCTCGCATCGGCCACCTCCCGAAGACGAAATCTTGGCATTACGAGGCCTCCAGCAAACTCGACAAACAACTGCACTCCCCCATTTTTTTTATTTTTTGGAACTTGGGGATTTTTTTTGCAGTCATTGCTATCGACTAACAATTCCTCCTTCTGGATCTCGATATCAAGAATCCCGCTCAAGTGACACAACGCATCTAGCCAAGATGCGCTTTAACCTTACTCTCCCTCTCGCCGTGCTGGGCCTCACATCAAGCGTTCTTGCGGCACCTCAAGCAGCCAGAGACATCAGCCAATCCTCGTCACCAGCCATAGGAAAGCGCGAGGACACCAAGTACTTCCACGAGCCCTGCTGTGGCGAAGAGCTTGGCCACTACGATATCCGTTACTTCAAGCAAGCGGTGGGCTACGACGACCACCGCGTTGTTCTCCGCAACCTCGTCCGCTCTTACCTGACCATCACCAAGAAGCTCAAGGTTGAGACATGGCTTGCCCACGGTACGCTTCTGGGCTGGTGGTGGAACGGCAAGATCATGCCGTGGGACTACGACCTCGATGTCCAGGTCTCGACGGCGACTCTGTACTGGATGGGCCAGAATCTGAACCGCACCGAGCACGACTTCGACTGGACCGACAAGGACGGCAACGCCAGAAAGGAGCGCTACCTCCTCGACGTCAACCCGCACGGCACTGACAAGGACCGCGGCGACGGCCAGAACATCATTGACGCCCGCTGGATCAACATGGCCAACGGTGCCTTTATCGACATCACTGGCCTTGCCGAGCGCGACCCCTCCGGAATGCCTGGTGTCTGGAGTTGTAAGAACTACCACCGCTACCGCACCGCCGACCTGTTCCCCATGCGCGAGACCGAGTTCGAAGGCGTCCCCGCCACCATTCCCTACAGCTTTGAGCGCATTCTTTCCGAGGAGTATGGCACCAAGAGCTTGGTGACTACCGAATGGCAAGGGTAAGTTTAGCGATCTGCGTTGGGATCCATGCTTTTACCCCCAAATAAGCTTTGATCCTGGCGGCGGAATTCCGACTCTTATTTTCACGACTAATACGAGATACAGACACAAGTGGGAGCCCGAACAAAAGGAGTGGCTCAAGACGCAGCAGTAGCCGAAAACGAATTCGGCATGATTGAAATTTGGATCAGTTCAAGCGATGACTTTTCCGAGTTGCAATTCGGCATACGACTTTTCTTTTTCGTTCCCTTTTGAAGCAAAAATCATGGGCATATGGGCGGCAGCATTTGGCGTCGCCGTACGCCCATATACATTGGCGGTGTTTCCGGACATGGCATAGGCATGGCATCAAGGCGTTCTAGGAAAGGAATATCATACCGGGAGGACACTCGGACGAGGTCACTCTCTTTTCTTTTTTCACAGCGTTCATGAAGAAGGCGGCATTTTGTACGAGTACCAGCATTGCTCACCCGTTGGGTAGAAAGATGTCACTACCTTACCTTAGATGAACCATCGCATTGAGGGTTTAGACGATCATGCAAAATAGTATGATGCGAATCACAAACATGGTACCTATTCTGGCACCTAGTCAAATCTTTGAGAGCAGACATTCATCGTGATTGAGTTGACTAGCTAACCCGTGACCGGCGAGGTCAACTTGTATCCCACATTCAAACCACCAACGCCTGCGCAATACTGAAACCAGAAAACAGGGAAACAGAAACACTAAACGAACGCTTCAACATTGCCCCATAACCCCATGCAGTCCCTATGATGATGGGCCAGAGTCGGGCTTTCCTCCATCCCTCCTCTCCATGTTCATCTTCTTGACTCTCTCCTCTGCAGCCTTTGCCAGAATCTCTCGTCGGCTAAGACCAGCGTTGCCACCACCACCTCCTCCCACGACGAAATCTCCGCCTTCCCAACCGCCCTGGTCCTCAACATCCTCCTCCTCATCTTGTCCCGGCGCATAATACGAAGACCCCTCTCCGACCGTGTTGCCGCCATGCTTCCAGTCCGCCGCGTCAACTTCACGCTCGATCTGATGACAAAGATCCCAAAAGTTGCGATCGTGGTCGCTGTGTTCGTTATGCGCCAGCTCGTGGCACAAGGTCTTGCGAATCGTCTTGTAGTCTCTGTATCCATCGTGCGCATCCGTCCTTAGCCTCAGCTCGATCGCCTCTCCGTTATTGCGGTTCAGGCCGAGGAGTCGAGTAGTCCCCTCGTGGTTGGACTGCGTGTTGGACAGGGGCTCCATCTCCGTCAAGAGACCGACGCTGAATTTGTGCTTGCGCATGGAGGCGCGGATGCCCGGGTCCTCCTTGAGCCTCTCGAGAAGAGCTAGGGATCGCTCCGGACGCGGGAGACCTGCGAGCGGCCGGACGGAGAGGAAGGTGTAGGTGCTGTCCGCCTGCGCGCGCCCTTGGTCTCTCCTCCTCGAGGGCCGGTTCTGTCTGCGGGCGGCGCTGCGTGCGGCGTTTCGCTTTGCGGCGAACTCGGATGCGGCTTGGAGGGAGGCGACTTCCTTGGCCTCGACGCCCATGAGCATGATCTTTTTGTTTTGTAGGTCGAGGAGGGACATGTCGGGGTCTTTGAAGGGGGGCTTTAGAAGGCCGAGTTTCGGGACGATAAACTTTTGATTTGAGGCGGGGATCGAGAGGGTGTCTTCGACATCTTCGGAGAGGTGGGTGATTGTTCCGTCCGAGGGGAATTTGAAAGTGTGTGGTGTGTTGCGGTGGGTGAGAGTGATGGTGATGGCTTCATCGGCGGAGTCGTCGTAGTCGGACTCGCAAGAGTGTGTTTCGGCCATGGCGGGGGCTCGAATTGGTGATCGTCGGATTTGGTGTACGGATAGAGCTTGAAGAATGGCCAAGGTGTTTTTGCTAGTAAGTAAGTACTAGGTAAGATATGTGCAGGGTACCAAAGACTGATGATCGTGGCGCCAAGTTGTGCGTCTATATACAGAAGTGGGTGGCACGCATGGAATTGTTGGGAAACACAGCGAGTGCGGGTTGAGGCGCAGATGGCCACCCCGTGATGGGACTCTCGGAGGTTTGTCATTCAGGCAGCTTTGTAATACGTCACGGCTTGGCGCACCTGGGAACTCCCCGACCTCCGTCGCATTCGGGGCAGCGGCTGGACTTAAAAGTGGAGTCCGCGATTCCCGTAGCGCAGATTCGGGGTTTCCGCCCCGGCTTGCGTGATTACCTCAGCCGTGGTCGTTGCAACTTGCAGCGATGGAGGACCCCACAGCGGGTAGGTGCCTTAGTCTCCAGGAACGAACCTATGGAGGAGCGCGGTGTCTCATCTTCATTGCCGTGCCTTACCTAAGCCTACCAATCTGTCTCGTATTAGGTAAGGCGGACAACGGAAGCAGCCAACCGTAGCAGCTCGCCCTGGAGTGTGGCTCGAGTGTCGGTTCCAGCTTCCAATGAGCTTGCAATCGCGTTCGTGTCCTTTCGACCTCCTGGAAACCCAAAAAAAAAGCTGCCAGCTGTGTCAAACGCCATTTTGGAGCTCCCTCCCCCCGGCAACCCAAGAATTCCATCCTCACGACCTCAAAATACTCCCAGACCAGACCACACGATACGACACGTCACGAAGACACTCGACGACGACGACGAAGGACACCGCCGGCGTGCAAGAGGACCTGTACTTGCTTGATTACAACCATCCGATAAGCCGCGCTGTCACTGGCAGCTCCAAGCTCCCTCCGAGTTGAAGCTCCCTCCCGCCCCAAAATCGTCAATCGCGATTGATCGCCTCGCCGCAACCAACCCATCACGATGCTCAATCTCTTCCGTATTGCTGGTACGTGTCGCCAGAACCCTCGAATATGCGATTATTTGCCATGCTTCGGGGACTAACATAATGGGCTTGCAGGGGACTTGTCCCACCTTGCCAGTATCGGCATCCTCCTCCACAAGATGGTGCAGCTGAACGTGAGCTTTGCGACTCCCACGATGTCGTCACCCGGGACCCTTAACTAATACCTTCTCAGAGCTGTTCTGGAATTTCCTTCAAATCCCAAGCCCTTTACTTCCTGGTCTACATCACCAGGTACCTTGGTAAGCCTCTTTGCCTCGTCTCCTTTCCCCCCCTCAACCTGAGCTGACCGGTGCCTATCCACCAGACTTGTTTACGACTTCCAGTCTATGGAACCTCATCTTCAAGATCCTCTTCATCAGCGCACAAGGGTACATCGTCTACCTCATGACGACCGCCTACAAGCCAACCAACGACCCCAATCAGGATACCTTCCGCGTTCAGTACTTGCTCGGTGGAGCTCTCGCCCTGGCCATCATCTTCCCCTACTCCTACAGCTTCTGGGAGATCTCCTGGTCCTTCTCAATCTGGCTTGAGGCCGTCGCCATCCTGCCTCAGCTCTTCATGCTTCAGCGCACTGGCGAGGCCGAGACCATCACTACCCACTACCTCTTCGCCCTCGGCATCTACCGTGCCCTCTACATCCCCAACTGGATCTACCGTTACTTCACAGAGGCGAACCACAAGGTTGACTGGATCGCTATTACCGCCGGCATCGTCCAAACCATCCTCTACAGTGACTTCTTCTGGATCTACTACACCAAGGTGATGAAGGGCAAGAAGTTTAAGCTGCCCGTTTAATGTCGTCTTCCCACGAGGTTCCGTTCGGCTGCCGACCTGGCAGCATCCGCTAGGTTGCAGGCGTCGCGGAACAGAGTCATGGGTTGTAACAACAAAAGCTACGAACAAGCGCTGGAGCCAAATGGCGGACCATGACCTTGTTCATATTTTTCGTCCAGTCTCTCAACAAATGTTGGGATTTTCTTAGACACTACGCAAAACCAAAAACAAACATAGGGTTAGCCTCAGGCTGAAGGATAGGGAATATCCTCCGTGACGGCGGACGGATGCATGGCTGGCGTTGGGAGATATGGTTAGTTTTTTTTGCATGGACGGCCAGACAGCCAGTAGTCCACGCACGGATGGATGTGTTGGTTGAGCTGCTCACAAAGTGCCCACAGATCGACATGATCGAGAACGAAGGGAAAGAAGACCGGGACACCCACTGGTATATAGATGGTCAATGTGAAGAACGTTTCCAAATTCCCACGACCCTCACGCTCAACTCGCGCAACATGTTTCCCCCACCCATCCACACTCTCACAAACACAAACACGCAACTTGCGCACACACATTTCAGCGGCTATGGCACGCGTGGATGACTCGTTCTTTTCGGTTAGTTCACCGGCTTCCGAAATCTTGTTGCGGTTCTTGGGACGTCGAGTGAAGGTCGGTCCCTGCTGGGCTTATAGGTTTTCGTTGCCTTTGCCTAACTTGGAGGGGAGCCAGACCCTGAACAAGGGCAATCTAGTGTGGTGGGCAGTCGGCGGACGATTCAAGGTAATGGATGTCGCCATCGGTTCCTTTTGGTTCCCCCGGCCACCCCGACCTCGAACTTGACTTTCTCCCGGGTCCGAGTCAAGTGACCCTGGACAGGGATATGCGACACCAAGGAGCTTGAGGATCGACGCTGTTGGAAGACGATCCCGCAATTGTAATTCTCCTCCGCCCTGGGAGCCTTAGGAGCCTCAACAGACCAGGGATCCAGTCCAACTTTGGCTTTTGAGACACCACCAAGCTCGGAACGCAGCCGAAGGTTGATGCCGCTGGACGCAACAAACACCTCCCAGCGGCAGGCATAAACTTTTCTGTCGTTTCTGCCAGCGTGCTGTTTCCAAATCCACTTGTGAAACCTTGCATGCATTACAGCCAACTGGGCTCTGGGCGTCTGACCGAATGAGGAGATGGGACGGTGGCGCGCTAATCTGATCTCCCCCAGTCGGCGGCTGCTACTATCGTGACGAAAGAAGCCGCCGTGTGGCCCCGTCCCGCAACCCCCCTCCCCCCAGGTCCTACTCCAATGAAGCCGACTGCATTATCTCGGATGTGATATTGGCGAGGAGATGGACCAACGAGTCTCGACCCGCGTCGGCGTTGCCCAGGTAGGCTGAAAGCCGTGGGGCTCTTATTGTTCGACGGTTAGGATGAAGCGGGCTCATGGGCCATAACATGGGCGAGGGCCGCTGACCGGGCCGCCTGAAGCCTGTCCTTTCCTGGTTTGGTTTTTTTCTTGTGTTATTCCTTTTCAGTTCGTTTCGAAGTACTCTTGCTGATTAGTCTTCTTCTGTTAATGGTGATCGAGGTTTGGTTCTTTCGTTTTGGACTACTACGGATAATATGAATGCAGTGAAGAGGAGGAACACATAATTCGACGACAATGAAATCATGGTGAAGGCTTGCCTCCCACGAATATTACTGCTCTGTGTTCTGGCCTCCCTTGTGTTGGCGGCAGTCGCGGCGGCGGATGAAGGAAGTGGGCGAAGAGCAAGATGGATGAATGGAGGAGGTCACAGGTCACCGGCGGAACCTCAACGGAGGAGGAGGGCAGGTCATGATCTGGTCGAGGACTTATTGGGCAAGCGGGTGTTGCCGCCCACGGCATCGACAGACGACAACAAACCGGCCCGTCTCGAGGACCGCGTCGTATTAGCGGTACCAACACCACCGGCTCTCTTCGGACGACAATTATTCGGCAACCCCATTGACGCCATCAACTCGGCGTCCCGATCAGCACAGCAGGCCATTGCTTCGGCATCTCAGTCTGCTCGGGAGGCTATTCAACAAGCAAACGACCAAGTGAGACAGGCCGGAGACCGACAGAGGCAGGCAGAGGAACAGGCGAGGCAGGCCAACGATGCGGCCACCCAGGCCTCGATATCGGCCAACAATGCCGTCGTCCAGGCACAGGTGAGCGCTAAGGAGGGTATCCTCAATGCTCAGAACGCGGCCAAGGAGACTGCGAGCAAGCAGATTGCGGACAACCTTGCCATGGTCACGGCGAGTGCGCAGACACAGCTGGCTTCTCAAATCGCGAGCATCCAAGCCAGTGCTAGCAATAGTGCTGCGCAAGCGATCGCTGTTGCGACGCAATCCGCCAGTGCGGCGATATCAAATGCTCAGCAGCAGGCACAGCAGCAGATTCAAGCTGCGAGGGTACGTGGCTATTTCATGTTCAAGCGGCCGTGTAACAATCAAATTCTCTAACATTATACATAGGACGATGCAAATCTGCGAGTATCACAAGCACAAGGTGCTGCAGTATCGGTCACACAGGCGGCACTCGCTGTCGTGGGAGCCATCATCGGTTCATCTCTCCTCACCATACTGGGCTTCTACATCTTCACTCGTTACCGGCGTAACAAACGCAAGGACCAAACGGCACGGGAACTCCGTCGTGACATCAGCTACCCGAAGCAGAACACTCTCATGACGACCAACGCGCTGGCTATGAATAATGGCTACCCGCAAGACGTCAAACGTCCAATATCACCGACCCGGCCAGAAACAGCACGCACGACGGGGTCATCTGGTGGTATGGGCTATGCGGTCAGTGATTTCGGCGACGGGCAACCCAACTTTTCTCGACAGACGACCTTTGTGAGCAGTACCGCGCCGCAGATGGGCATGGGTACGATACAGAGGGAACAGTCGGTGTCGAGGAGGCCGGTGCCGCCTTCGCCCAAGAAGCCGCCGTATTCTCTGTTCCCGCCAAGGTCTAGGGATGGCCCGCCGGCGACGGCCTTGCCTGCTACCCCGGGCCCTGCGCGAGATCGAGAGAAGGAGAGACCTCCTCCTCTCACGGTAGGCCCAGGGACAGGCCCACCACCTGTATCGGTACAAGCACAAGCACCACCACCTCCAGCAAACAATGAAAAGCTGGACAGGGTCGACGAGGAGGGCGACGAGTTTGGGGAGGGCACGAAGAATTGGCTGAGACGGACGCAGACCGTGAGTCCGTTTGGGGACCTGGCCGACACTCCGACAGGGGAGAAGGATCCGAACTGGCCGTTTGCGAGGTCTGGTTCGCCGCCTCCGCCCGCGAGGCGAGAGTGACGGGCTGAAGGGCACGCGGGGTTTGGCAACATGAGCAGTCCAGGGAGGGGGAGAGTCACAGATGGTGGTTCTCAAACTATCGAATGACAGGTATCAGAAGAGAAACGGAAACTTTTTAATGCGCTCAGATTTTTCTGGGTAACGTTCATTATTACATTGTTCTATTAACTATTCTTCAGGGTCATGATACCCGAACTTTCATATTTTTACTTGTCTGAAATATAATACACAATTGTATTATTACAGTCTGACATTCATGTGAGACGAGAGACGGAGGTCGTCAGTAATCGCCCGCCTCTTACGATAAGTAAGTGAGTGAGTAGTGTGGTGTTTGTATGTCGTGCCTGGTGTGTGTTGGATCAAAGCTTGGCAACAGAGAGTTTGGTCTCAAATTCGAGGCCGCCTCCACAATAGACTACCGTTGCCGACACCTTTTCTGCCTCGACTACTTTTACCGCAGCTGTTGACGAGGGTGGGTTGCCGAGTAGTCGGGCTCGTATCTCCGCCGGTTGTTGAGTTGGCTTTATTCGATGCCCAGAGCCGGCAGCACGTGGGAGAGGAGGACGAAGAGATGGAGGAGGAGGAGGAGCAGGTTGCGGCATCCGCGCCCGCGGGCGAACCGGTTTCTATACAACTCTGTTAGAGAACTGGTTCCCCCTCTCCGCTGTGTTTGATCGACGGTTGACAGGTGGACATGACTCTGTATTTTCTCCCTCTCTTACATCCTCTCACCCGTGCCACCTCGATTCTCTCGGGTTTCCCCTGGTCTTGGGCGTGCGTGTGTGTGTGTGTGTGTGTGTGTGTGTGTATTGGCGCCGTCTTTTGGGTTTCGCTCAAACGCCTGGTCGCTTACCTCGATGCTCAGAGGTGGTATCTGACGAACGACCGGAGGAACTGAGGCAAAGCTTTTGGTCAAAGTCTATCGCGATGCCCAGGATGGACGGTAGGGAAGCGTCGATCTGCACGGCCTCTAGTTCACGTCGTAGATAATCAACGTCCCTTTCGTTGTGGACATTGTCCCCATCGCCGTCATCTTCACAGCAATCATCGTCTTGTGCTTGATGCTGGCTCTCAGCTACCTTGAGCCGGATGACGGCGATCTGCTGTTGGAGTTGCCGCGCGAGATGTCGATCCACCTCGCTGGGTGATGAGGGCGTCACTGAGATGGCGCCTCGGCGACGGGGCCGTCTTGATGTGGATTCCGGGGGTAAAGAAAAGGAACGGGGCGCGTCATGACGGGTGAGAAATAGGCCGTCTGGGACGGAGTGGCTCCATAGACCTGACGAGGAGGTTTTCCGTGATGGCGGTCGAGGTGGTGTCCATAGCCATTGGAAGTATGAAACATCACCTCCGCGACTTCTCTTGAAAGGCGTCTCTGGATATTCCTCTTCATCCTCTTCTGCCTGGCGTTTTCTTCGCTGGCTTGTTTGGGCCATGATGGTTCATGCAAGGACCGGGGTCCTCAATTTCGATGTTCTCTGTTGGCTGGAGGCGATGACTCTGAGATTCGGGCAATTCCAAGCTAAAGAGCCAATCTTCGAAATTGTAAATCCCGCGAGACTAAGTAGCGATTTGGTGTAACGATGCTAGAGCTTCAAATGAACACGTCTGATTGTGGAGTTGGAGAGGTGAGATGAAGTGAAATGAGGTGACGAGACCGTGAGTGAAGCTGTGTCTCGCCGCCGGTTCGTGCGCTGGCGGGGTAAAATCGACGGTCCGCCGCCTGGCGCGAGCTTCACGTTCCGGATCGAGCTAAATGGTTTCTCCCAGGGAAACAAAGATATCCATTCCATAACCCCATTTAGCCTCCAAGGGCCCATCGTGACCACTTTGCATGATTTCTCGGATCTATGGTACGCAGCATGAAGTTGGGTCCGGAAAAAAGATGAGACCTGTCATCTCGGTCTCTTCGGAAGCGTTCTGGTATAGTTCCCTCTTTTCCCATATCATTACACATCCACAATCGTTGTGAGGAGGGACTGGAGTCGTCAGTGCCTCGTCCCATCTTTCCTGTCGCGGATGAAAGTTTCAGTCGATTCGCCACGATTTCGCACTGCAGATGAGACTGTAACTGCCGGCGGGCTTTTGTCCCGTCTTCACCCTAGCACGCCTAGCCAGAGCTTACACCATACTCCGTACACGGTTACGGTGTGAAGACGGGATGACCCCGCGAGGTGGACTACGATCCGGCGCGTGATTCTGTAAGCTCGGGTCAAAAACCGACAATAGTAGCCCTGCGTAAGTCCACTCGGTATGAAACATGCGGGATACAACTTCGCTCCCAGTCGCTGGGAACCCGAGAATGTCGGCTCTAGGATGATCTGTGCTTCTGAGGCTCCTTTAAGAAATGCGCCATGGCTACAGAAAGAAAGACTTTGTCTTTCTTGCCTACCGGAACTGCAGCCATTCCGAGGGTCGAGGGTATTCATTGTTGTCCATACGCAGGATTATTGATTATTTGAGCAATGCATTCGTCGCTAGACCACGCCCTATACCGTCTCATATGGGTATGATCACCGGATGGTAGGCCCGATCTGTCGAAACGCTAGGCCTGAACTCTCGGTCATTGATGCAATGTTTGTGATGCTATTGCCCGCCCGCGCAGAACTCTTTGCATATAATACTAAGCTAAGCTGGCTATAGATCATGCCGTGCTTCTTCGTCATCAACCTGTCAACTCCGTCATCCGATTGTCACCAAGCTTCTCGCCCAACAGTCGGCTAGGTGATCTCGGCCACCTCGTCTCTTCTATCGTCCAAAAAACACAGGCCATCATCCGAAAGCTCAGGCCTCGGCATGTACACTGAGCATGAGATCTTAGCAAGCAAACGCTTGCCCCGTCAGGCATCGCACCTCAGCTGACGAGCCTCATTCGACAACCTCAATCCTCCATGGTCCAGTTGGCTAAAGGCGTCCGACTGTTAATCGGGAAATCCCTGGTCCGAGCCCAGGTGGAGGAGTACGATCACTGCCGTGAGTGCCTGCTTTTGCTTTTGCGCTTCCCCGGGGCGTTGCGACAGCCTTGGTCGGCGACGAAGTGATATCGTGAGGTGGGGAACGAAGGACAGTGTATGTTTTATGGGGAACGAATGTTTCTTGAACGGTGATAATCAATGTAAGATGCTATGCTAGGTGGGTATCGGGCAAACTAATCATACAGGGGGAAAATTGTGTACATGAGGAGGGCTGGCCGGGAGGCACCCTCACGGAGCCAACCGGTCCCATTAACGACGACTCGCCGAACTCCATTGTCTGTCCCATTGCTCCATCTGTCCGGCTACGCGATTTGGTCTGGTCGAAGACTGGCCCGTGACCCAGAATCTGTCCATCGGGTCGGATGAGCGTGAGTAGCTCGTGGTAGTATATGACGTCTGATTGGTAGGTGCATCGCGCCTCTGCCCGCCGGTGTTTGCAGACGTGGAATATTGAGAGTAGCTAGCAGGTATTAGAACCGGGTTTACAAGGTATCAGGGGAGAGGGGAAGGGACCAGCCGTCGTACCTCGGAGCGGGACGCTGGTAGTAGCTAGATCCTGACATGTTGAGTTGTGGAGGGGCGGGTATGATGAGGGTGGTGACGAAAGTGCAAGATAGGCAGTAGATGTTTGGATGTTTGGATTATTGTGATGATGTTGGTTTGACCTGGCCTCAAACCGTACTTCATACCAACGGATCAGGCTTCATCACTTATATATGAAAGGATACGAGTGAGAGATGGCTCAGCTTGAACTTGGGAATAGGCAGCTGTATCGCCCGCTGCAAATACAAACCGTGAGGAATTGTAAAAAAAACCATCATACTTAATCGACTTTGAACACAGCCAAGCTGGTTTGTGAATGAATCAAACCCAGGGGCATGGGACTCCATGATGGAATTATGATTGAAAGAGGAATGGTTAGGAATTACAATCGGGGAAAAAAAAGAAGTGGCCGTAGAGTATGGCTGTGATGCTATGGAGGATATTGAAGATGATCGACAGTGAAGTGGTCTAGCCCCGCAGTCACTTGACGGCAGAGACTGTCATGAGAACATTGGATTAGGAACGTAAACATTGAGGCATTGGCTGGCATTGGGCGACGGCCTCCCTTCCCGACCTAAAGAATGATAGACAGCCAGCGATGACTCTTGACAACAATGTTGAAGAGTGAAGTCGAAAAGAATAAACGCAATTGGAAAAAGCCGGTGGATGAGGAACAAGGGGAGGGGTGATCCCGGTTGGCACTAGCTAGAACAGTCGCACATGGAGGGAGGGAGCTTGAGGCCTAAGGTGCTTGTGTAACTCCTTCGAAGCTTCCATCGCATAGCCAAGTGGGATTGGCACTCGCGTGGATCTGGGATAGCTTCCGGGAGACAGACGCGCAGGGGTGCATCGATGAGACAGACGCCCGCTCTTTCAAGGGTATCCGGGCTGGATGGGGAGGGCAGATGTTGGCGGGCGGGACTAGTTTGCGAGGCTGTCAAGTCAGAACTGAAAGACTTTGATGAAGGAAGTGTAGGTAATCCGTATGAATGGAACATTTGCGGCCGGGATTGGGCGGGCGGGAGATTTAGGCTAAGACAGAGTGGCCTAGCACTGCATGGCTGCGAGCAAGAGGGTCCGCGCTATGTTGTCGTGTTCGTGGAACGTTCGGAGAAGGGCATGGAGGCACGCAGGCACGGAGGCTAGTCAGGGCTGGGAGAGCTTTGCGTGCCGCAAGAGCCTGGTCAAGGGCCACGGTAGTGTAGATTGCAGAGGCGCGGTGAACGGGATCTAAGCTTCACTTGACGAATAGCTTGGCGAGCGTGGATGGTGATTTGCAGGAGGACCGCCAGGCGATCGCCACCATCAACTCCAAACCTCTTCGCCTCGCCGTTTGGAGGCGGGGCATTATGGCACACAGCAGGTAGGCAATGACACGCGTGTTGGAGATGAAAGCCAGTTGATGAAGCGGTCTGGCTGGCTGGCGGTACTGAAGTGGAAAGGGGACAGGAAGACGACGAGACTGGGAGGGAGAGAGGTAAGCGGGGAGGCATCCGGAGCTACCAATGGCGCAGACTCACAATGTCCAAGTTGACTCTGTGGCTTAGTTGCAATTACTGTCGAGATCAAGATCACTCGAAACTCATCACACCGCAAAAGAGAAGATTGGGTTCGTCGAGGCCGCCGATGAGTTGTCCATCTGCAGCGACCGTTGGTGTTGAGTTACATTACAATTGGCGTTCAACCTGATGCACACCAAACCCACCTCATCGACACCAAGCAGGGTATGGATGTGGCTGGGTTCCCGGGCGGTGCTTCGCGGAAGGAAGAAGCACAACCGAGAGGCGTAACACACTGAGAAGCATTTGCTGGGCCGAGAGTTGTCTGGCCAAGTGAAGAGTGACGCATTGCTGTGTTGTAACAGCTCATGGCACACTTCCTTGTTTGGTATGAAGGAGGGAATGACAACTGCTCTCATCATTGTCTTTCCGATTCAATGCTTCACGGGCCATAGATTTGAGTGAGGGGCCCAGTGCCCGCTAGATTCGTCAAGTCAGTTGTCGCAAACTGCGAAGGGAAAGAGACAGGCGCTGAGTGAGGCAGCATAAGAGAGTCGGCCGTACTTGCGACCAAATGTCAGGTCAATTACTTATCGTTCACATACTGCAAGTTCTCGCTGAGTGTTGAAACAACTCAACTTGGGCGAAGCTCGAGTCGGGAATCTCTCTCGAGTCTCACACACCACACCCCGGACTGAATTCAGATTCAGTGAAAGTGCTATTCGTATCCGTAGGGCTCCGAAGAAGCAGCACTCGCATCTCATTCTTCGCACGTTATTCTCAAGTGCTGCTGGCATGGGGTGCACGAGGGCTAAACCAACTTGGCTCAGCCACACAGCCAGTCCCTCCCTCACAACTCTGCCTGACAGGGCATTTTCCCATCCCCCCACTCACTCACTCACTCATTCGCTCACACACTCGTTCACTTACAATGTTTGCTGCTGCTGCGGTTCACGGCAACAACTCGAATCCACTGCGGCCCGTCCGAGTCCCTCTTCCCTACCGATATGCCATCCGTCATTGTGCGGCCCGGTTACTTTGGAATGAAGTCATCTCCATCTCATTGCGCGCGATTTTGCTTCCCCCGTGGAACAAGAGAAGAAACTCGCGGATAGCGGCTTCTGGCGCCATTGTAACCGCTGACGCCGAGGACGGACGACGGGGATCGTTGCGAGTGGGCGCTTACTTTTACTAGGATTCACTCCCAAAGTGTCTGTAGCCGAGCAACTCAGAGCGCCAGTAATTCCGGTGCCTAAATCCAACACTTTACTGAGAGAACTTTCTTTGAGCTGGTGGAAGCCTTCTCACAAACAATCTTTGCCCGTCAAGACATGGCACGAAACATCAACTCCTTCACTAAGGTGTTCGTATACCACATGAATATCGAGAATCCTTCTCACCCGTCACAACAAAAGTCGGCCTCATACAGTCCAGTCTGATGAAGCCCAGCTGCCCCCCGTGCCCCCCTAGGCTCACAGCTGAGCCTCTGTCCCCTGCAACCCAGCCGACTGGCGCACCACCATCATTCTTCTACTTCATAGCCATTGGCTCCGCCAGACCACCTTCGAGACCTCCTCCTCCAGGCTGCCAGTTTGCTGTGCTACCGAACCCCGGCTGCTGGGGGCCCAGTCTTATCACGTTCCCACGCTTAGATCGTTGGCGTTAGCTGCTTGTTGACCCTGGCTCCGTGCCGGCTCCTGTCTATTCTCTGGGGTCGCCTATTCCCCTCCCTCCCTCTCTCGCAGCAGCACCGCGGCGGCGCCACGGCGAAATGCACCAACTTTCAGCTCATTGATAGCCTGGTCGTCCCCCTCACTTCATGGCCAAAAGTACAAGTCCATCCTCCCCGTTGTCCATCATGTCTCTCGCCTCAACCTGAGTCTTTTGCCTCAATTTCTCGTCAGACACTTGGCCCGTAGCAGTACTCGCCATCGGTAGAGTCTAGTCTCCTTCTTCACCTCACTTACACGTTCTACGACGCTATACGTGGTAAGGCTGTGGCGGCCAGCCTCCAACTCGAGCTTCATGTCAGCTTCACCTTCAAGTTCGCACGCGACTCAGACCGGTCGCCCTTCGCTATGGAGTGACTCGGCCGAGCGCAGACTGGCTAGACTTTATGTCTACACGACCTTACCTCTCACCAAGATCGTCGAAGTCGTTCACAAAGCGACTCCGGGGAACCGAGACTGCCCAGGGTAAGCTTAGAGATTGGGTTGCGCCGGCGCAAATGCGATTGCTGACACCAGCGCTTACTAGGAAGGATTCCGCCAACAAGAAGCTCAATTCGATTCTCGACAAAGAGCCGCGATGGCTTCACCCGCGAACCCGAACAGACATGGATCGGCGGATAAGCGCCCTTGATAACTCTCCAACTCGCCAGAACACGCCCGAGAACGCATTTTCGCCAAATTACTCTCGTTCGATTTCCTCCGGCGCCCGATCGCATCTGAGCGTACACCCCGACTTCAAATACGAAGCCGGCAATAGCCCAGCAGTCAACGACTTTCAACCCTTTTACCATTCACGCTCCTCTTCGGCCGGATGGGGCCCGCCGGCCCCGGGGCCGCTTCCGACCTTGGTGACCGCCGATATTGCGTCCGTGCCACCACCCGAAACCGGAATACACCGGCAGACTACGACACAGACTCTGCAAGACGTGCTCTCACAGTATTCGACTGGATTCCGTCATCAAGTCAGTAGGTTGTTGAAGCGCTACACGATGCCCAGCAACACGATGATGAACCAATCACCGACGGACGAAGACCGACCTGGCACTGCCAACTCTAACCCAGCATCGTGGATATTCGAGTATAATGCGCCGCAAAGAAACTCGGAATCACAAGCCACACCCCTTCCCGGCGACTATCTCACCCTGCCATCTCACCTCCTTCAACAAGGCTTTTGCTCTGAAGGGCTTCCGGAGCATGATTCGCGATCTTGCTTCTGCCACATCCGAGACGAGCTCCCGAACGGCTCTTGGGTCACCGACTCAGGCCCAACTCCGTATGCGCAACACGTCCTGCAATGCGGAGAGCCTCCGAACAAGGATTGGAATGCTCGCGATCCCTTTGGCCATAGCATCTTACACCTTCTTGCAGCTGGGAACGCCCACCACGCCCTCTTGTTTAAAGCAATCGAGTCGTCCCCTAACCCATCGGCAACCAATAGCGCCGGCCAGACATTTTTGCATCTGCTCAACGACAGCTGGTTTACAAAACACGCTGATTCTCTCTTCCAACTCATCGCCTATTTGAAGCGATCTGATTTTGACCTGTATGCTCGTGATGTCTACGGACGCAACTTCTGTCACATCATCCACTCAAAGAAGCCGAATGTTTTGAGCCTGGAGATAAAAAAAACCCTTCTTAATCAATTTAACCCTATGGCTTATTGCTGTCGCGACGCATTTGGCAATATCCCCGAGTGTGCTCCTATCGCGCTGCCAATTCGGAGAGCTTATACCGCTGCTGTCGGGCAAGAGATGTCCTCGACCTGGGATTCTCATACGTTGCGCAAGGCTCCAACTCCGATTGAGGAACAAGCCCAACTTCTGAAGCTTGTTAACGAAGCACACACCAACGCCCGAGTGCAAGATACACAAGGCCGCAACGGTCTGCACTGTCTTGCCGATGCTATCCTTAGTCAGGAGTCATTATTCGCCAAGTTCCCACAACATCTGGCACAGGTAGCTCCCACAGAGCAGTCAGGCGGCAGCAGCCGCAAGCGCAAACACAACAAGCCTAGCAAATCGTTCACAGACTCCTCAAAGGAGAGACTTACTGCCAGGGAGAAGGTTGTCAGAGACCTCATCGACCTCGGCGTTGACGCAAACCACTACGACAAATACGGCAACACGGTGCTGATGGCTTTCGTGGCTCAGCTCCCCGAAGACGACGACTATAAGAAGCCCGTCAACATCTTGGAGGCTCTCATCGAAGCGGGTGCCGACGTCAACGCCCGTAACAAGAATGGCGAGACCGCGCTCCATGTCGCAGTTCGTAGAGGCAAAAAGCTGGCCATGCGTACACTTCAACAACAAAACGCAAACGTACAAGCCCGTGACGTGGAGGGTCGAAGTGTGCTTGACGTCGCCGACCGAATGGTGACGTCTTATAAGCAGAACCCTCACTTCTCACATTACGAGGCTTGCCACGCTTGGCTCTCAGGGCAAGCGAAGGCAGTTCAATACCCTACGATACCCCAAGAATGGGAATTGCGAGACTCGTGAGGATGTTGGAAGAGGGAAGGTGGTTAGTTGGTGGGTGGAAAGATAGGGATACACAAAAGTTCGAAGATTGCTGTTCCGGGTTTGTCTTCTATCTTTGCATAGAAGTTTGTGGCGTTTGGCGTTTCTGTAGCCTTGGTTGATATAGAAACGAATGAAGGGTGATATGTAGGAGTGTAAGATGATTATGACAGAACATCATTAGATACCCGAGTCCATAGTTGCATTGGTTGTCAAAGCCTACCTGAATCTATCAAATTTGACAACTAAACGACCTTCCGACCCATGTGAAATCATAGAAGCACTAGTAAATGTCTCCTTCTTTGATGAGAAGTAACGCCGTGTTCGAGGCCGAAGCCAGGGGAGATGTATTATGTACGTGAAAAGTAGATACAGGAAACTGCATAAAGATGTGGCCTCAAGTCCAACGGACTGTGAAACTGTGAGTAAGTAGTAAAGCCAGTGAGTAACCTCTAGCTACTCCTAAGAGGAAACCATGCAAACGCAAGCCTCTAGGCATTGGTGCTCGTGGTCTTGCCAACACCAGCGTTGGCCTTGACCTTGGCAGGAACATCCGCGACGCCAATGTGACCGATGAGCGAAGACTTGAAGCCGCCAAGCTTGGTGAGAGCGGTGGTGCTGGTAAGGCTGCTGACGACGCCAGAGTCACGGGCACGGTTCCACTCGCAGATGTAGCCCAAATAGGAAGTGCAGCGAGAGGCTTCATCGACGGTGTTCACAATGTAGACGTTGCCTCCGTTGGTCAAGCTGGCAGGGGTTATGGGAGCGGTGACAGCATCGAAGTAGTTGCCCTCGAGAAGGACCCAAGTGTTGCCGTCAATATCAAAGGCGTGGCCGCCCACGTTTTGGAAGTAGTTGTTAACGCCGTGGAAGAGGTTCTCGCTGCCGGCAGTGTTCGTCGTTCCCATGTGAGGGGATCGACCAGAGACGTCGTGCAGCCAGTTGCCGGAGAAGGTGTAGTAGTCCTTGGCGCCGATCAGGAGGGCGGTCCAGTAGTGCTTGCCATTGCAGCCGGCAGACCACTCCGTCGTGCCGTCGAACTCGGTGTTGGAGATGGTTACCTTGCCGGCGGCGCCCCAGCCGGAGACAATAAACTGGCGGCCGATAAGGGAGATCTTGACGTGGTCGATCCAGACCTTGTCGGCACCGTCAAGAGTGATGGCATCGCCTCCCCAGACATACTGAGGGTTGAGGTTCTGCATACAGTTAGTTATACCGCAATATCAACATCGCGGTGAAAGCTTATAGACGCACTGTAATATGAACGTTTTGGATGATCTATAGAGTCCTCAGTTAATATCTTCTCTCTCAAAACTGGATGATGGCTAGTAGCTCGACAGAGTAGACTCACGACGTTGCTCTTTCCACCACGGACACGGAATCCCTTGCCGATGATGACACCCTTAGTGCCAACACCCACAAGACTCTTGTTGCTGTTGATATCAATGGGGGTCTTGGCGGCGTTGTCGTAAGTGCAGTCAACCCAGGTGCCGCTAGCAGCATCACAGGTATCCTGGATCCAGGCCTGGCCCTTGGAAGTGCCGCCGGGACACTTGGTCGTGCGGTTGTCACTGCAGCATTTGCCGCTGGTCGTTCCCTCAGTAGTGCGGAAGTCCCAGGTGCGATCGATCATGATGGTTCGGGCCGTGCTGTCGGTAAGCCATTCCTTGAGTCTGCCAGGTCTTAGTTTCTGGACACTGTGGTTTCTCATCTATGGTGAATATTCAACTCACTGAGCAATGCTAGAAGGAGTCTGGGGAGCAGCTGAGCCACCACCAGTGGTGCCAGCTGCGAAGCCAAAGGCTTTGCCCTGTACCTGTGCAGTGGCCGTGCTCGCAAGAGCGGCAACGAGGGAGAGAAGAGAGACCTTCATCATGAAGGGCCGAGAAAGAAAGCGAGTGTAGTTGAAGTAAGAACTATAGTACGAAAGAATATGAAGATCGAAGAGGAGCTTGGGGTCGAACCAAGGCTATGGTATCGGGAACAGCACAAGGTTAAATACAAGTCTAAACTCCTATGGACGTACAGCCATGCCAATACGCAGTGACAGCGGGGCGACACGAGGAGGCCTCGACTTATTTCAGACTAAGTAATAACATTCCCATATTGCACATCTCTCGCCCGGGTGTGACGGTTTATGCCAAGCGGCGCTATAGGGCTGGGCCGGCATCGTAGAGGCGGCGAGGTCTTCATCAATCCATTTCCACCTAACAGCAAGGGCAATAGAGCATTTGAAATTGTTCCGTACGCAAACCATCGCCGCTGTATCTTGATGGATGCAGCGGTCCCTGAATCTTAAAATTCTCCGTGTGATGGGAAAACTCTCGCCTTGACCATACTGGCGCGGACCAGGCCGCTGCTCCGCGCCGACGAAGACACCAATTGGCAAGTCCGTGGTCATTCGGGCCCGGCAGACGTTTCCTGATGCGGGAGCTGGTAGTTGGGGAGTATGCTGGAAGGGGCAGTGTCGAGTGGGACAGGTCTGTCAATGTCATCAAGATGCTACATGGACGGGGGTCCTCCACTCCGCTTCTCGACCAAATCCAGGCTAGTGACAGGGGCCTAGGCAGATGAAAGGACCACGGCCAGAAGGTTGGCTGAAAGTCGCCGATGCAAGTGAGTGGATGAACGAGTCTAAAATTCGGACTCTTCTTCCCGTCCCATACCATATTGGGCAAACACATCGTCACAAACCACGTTCTGCGAATGAAAGTTAAGGTTGGTGGGCCTCTCAGCCGACTTGTCGGGATTCCGTACGAGGGACTCGTAAACTGGAGATTTGGTGCACCAGGTTGGCTCGCTTTCGGTTTCCCTACGGCGCATCATCCCGCGATGTGAGGTCACATTACGATTTCTCATCCTGCAAGAGCCAAGAGTAATGTGCCTCGATTCTTTACTCGAAATTGGAATGTTTGACTGCGGAAAAGAAGGATAATTATCCGTATGAATACAATAGTCTAGGGGTAACTCGGTCTAGTGCCAGATGAGACAGGTTGCTCCGTCGGACGTAACAATGCATATGAAGCAATTCTCGGTAAGACGCGGCTTCGCGTGGTGTTGCTAATGCTTCTTTTTTTTTTTTTTTTTTTTTTTTTTTTTTTTTTTTTTTTTTGAGGAATGAACCTATGTGAAGGCGTCATTGAAAGGTAAAAATACATCATGCATGTGGTGGTGACTCTCCGTCTTGCTTTCTTCGAAAGGGCGATTCAGCTCGTGGTAACTCGGCGCAGACCGCCACCTTTGGAGACAACAGCTACCTACTATATTCAGAATAGCATCGTCTACGGCCTGAGATTTCTGGGCTCTTTGATGTTTCGATCTTACCTTACTCTGCGTCGCTCGGCCGGACGTAGAAGACCCAACAAGACTGCCACACCAGTGGCAAGAGGAAAAAAGCACTCGAAACAGCCGATGTGGAAGCTGTGTTCAAGTTCACGCCTGGTTGTATAAGCCAAGCTTCATTCGATGTACATGCAGTTTGCCCCGAGAGAAGTACTGATCAAAGGCCCTCAGAACCGTGGGATAAAAGGGCGACAGAATACCTGCTCCCATACTGACGGACATCAGTAAGCATAGAGCTTCACGTTCTCATTCTCACTCTCCCTGAGCTTTCTGTTGATGCTCATCAACCAGAACCTCATCGCCCACGCACATATGATGCTTGAAACGGCAAAGCCAATCATGCACGAGAAGCCGATCCGGGAGGCAACATCCTGTTATACCCAGCTAGGACTCAAGGCCACCCTCGCTTGCGCTCCCGAACTAGCCCTACCGCGGGCTATCCTTCATCATCTCCTAGTAGCCCGATCAGGCTATGGAGACTTCGGACAATACCACTAACGCTTTAACCATATAGAAGCACTGCTTACCTGCTCCTGCGGGGAGGCAAAGGCGGTAGACCATCTGGTCTACTGCCAAAAGACCCTAGTAAGGAGGCATTAGTGGCCTACCCTCCACCCTTCTAGCCTACTCGATCCTATAGGACCTATAGGATCTCTTGAGCGGTACTATAAGGGGATAATTACTGATCCTATTGGATTCTAGGCCTTTCTCCGCATGATAGACTTCTTTTAGAAGATCTGCCCGCGGTACTAAGGACTAGGTCTTGACCTAGGCCCGACTAACGAATTTCTCCTCCTAGAGGGACAGACGGTAACAACGGAACTAGGGAACCAGCGGGAACTAGGGACGGATAGAACAGATAGTAGCCCACGGGCAAGATTTGGAGGACGTTAGGAAGAGGCGTGTACTATAGATTATATAGCTCGAGCCTACGGCCCTCCACGCCATATACCCCTCGGGAGGTCGGCCGCAAGGGCGGCAGCGCCTTTGCCGCCACGGCGTTAAATACAACAACAACAACAACAACAACAACAACGAGAAGCCGATCATGTACCTGGGCCCATCCGACATGGGCCAAAGGTAGGCGCAATAGATGTACGCCAAATTGGCCGTGACGTTGACTAAGGAGTATGCAACAGCTTTCTTCTCAGGTGTCTGCGACAAGGTATCGCTAACCCATCCCAAGATGGGAGATCCTACGGAGTAGGCACCTGTCGCATATAAGAAAGTTGCTGCGTATCTGACGGCGTTGTTGGTAGTCCCAATCGTCATGGCGAATCCGACGACTGCAAGAGATAGACCAGCTGTGATGTGCCAGGTTCTCTCGTTGAATCTTCCGCTCGACCATGCGAATGGAATACCAAGAAAACCGGAGACGAAGTAGGGAGGAGCCGTTAGGAGAAGAGCCGTAGTAGACTTGAAGCCCCTAGCCAAACATCACCCCTCAAGTACTACTAGGGTAGGTTCCACAATTTGATAACTTACATGGTACGCACAAGGGTCCGAAAGTATGCGTTGAAGCTGACCGCAGAAATATGGAAATTCTGGCAAGCGCAGAACAGCCAAGTTTTGGGGTCTTTCAGAGCCTACTTGAGACCATCCATGGTAGAGCCACGCTCTTGTCTACCAACAGTATCCCGACGAATGCGTTCAACGGCAAGCTGTCTCTCATCTTCGGTAAGCCATCGGGTAACAGCGAGGTCGTCAGGAAGCAGAAAGAAGCCGAAGACGGCAATTAATGCGGTGACCGAGCCCTCGATGATGAAGAGCCTAAGACTGTTAGATCATCGCCGAGAACAGATAAGTAGAAGAAGCTCTTACCATTTCCAACCTACAATTCCCTTGACTTGATCCTAAGTACTGAAAGTCGCAGCAGCAATCAGACCTCAGCAGCCAGTACTGACAACTTGACCAGTGTAAAGGACGGATATCCTGGTTGCAAGCTCTTTCCGCGTGTAGAAAATCAATAGTAGATAAAGAGCACCTGGGTAAAAGGGCTAGAAAAGCCATTCGATTAGCTTACGCTCGATCATTGACATTTGTTATTCAACTCACTGCTTCCACAAATCCAAGGAAGAATCGGCAGGCTACCAAACCACTGTAGTTCTTGACGCCCGCGGTGGCAGCAGAGATGGCGGCCCAACCAATCATACATGTTGACATATAGATTGATGGTCTCGTACGTGTAAGAAACATATTTGAGGGTACTAGACGTCGTCAGACTAAACGCAGCTCGGACCCTGCCCGGAAATAGACTGACCTTGCATTAGAAGGTATCCAACGAATAGAATAGAGATGGCAGTGTTGTATTCAACTCCTTTGAGTCCCAGATCATCTTCCAGCGTGTTCAATCGAGCTTGTGGGAGAGCGTTCCGGTCGAGCTAAGTTCTTCGTCAGGGCCAGGCCTTGAATGGGGGCATGCAATCGGGGCAAGGCTCAACGTACGTAGTTCATGAAATACATTGCCCAGAGGATCGGCTACAAGGAGACACCGCATTAGCATCGTTATCACCAGGTAGACATGTAAATCGAACATCGGGAGATTACCATGATCTTGCGATCTAGCTTCCGGACGAGGGCAATTTCAGCTGGGTCCGTTTTTTCATGGGCGCCGGAGTAATCGCCAGAGACAACGGCCTCGCCCTTGACCGATTCTTCATCATGCTCAACCTCAAGCGGGCCGCCTTTCTTGGAGTCGGTGTCAAGTGTAGCTGCCATCATCAGCAGAGAGGAGGGAACAAGTTAAATGTGGTGCTGTACAGAGTGAGAGAGCAAAGTCGTACACGAGATAACCTCCCGATGCATTTGGACCGACGAGGAAACATACAAGACATCGTTTGATTTATACATGACGGCTGTCTGTCACTTGGCTATACCCGGCTTTGCGGGTTCTGGTTCGACTCAACCCCAGAAAATACACGTTCCCCGCAAGCGCTAATCCCATGTTAAACTCATGACCCGGCGTTGAGGATACGGGGAAATGGGGCCAAGACCCGGCGAACCGTCACTTGGTCTGTGCTATACCGATACGCCGTTACGCCGTTACGCCGCTCAACACGGCCTTACTCCGTTCTTATCCCGCGAGTTGGCCCCCGCTACTGCGTTATTCCGTGCTCCCCACCGCGGGGTTCTCGGTGTAAGACCGGACGTTAGCCGGAGGGTTGTCCACCCAAGTCAATGAATAAAACAGATCGAGGAGAACGAGGCGACGCATTTGGAAAGCTTCTTTTTCGACGAAGCTCTTTCTCGTCCGAACCGCTGTCCCTACGCGCATTCCATTCACCATGTCTGCCGCCACAGTTTTCGACTCGACGCTCTTTGGCAACATTTTCGGCACAGAGGAGGCCCGTCAGGCCTTCTCGGAACGATCTTATGTTGCCAATCTCATTAAGGCCGAGTGCGCCCTGGCCGAGGCTGAAGAGGCTGAAGGCATTGTGCCGGGTGGCACTGCTGCTGTACTGAGAGACCATTGCGACGTCTCGAAGATCGACTGGCAGCTTCTTGCAGCCCGCACGGAGATTGTGGGATACCCAGTACTGCCTCTGGTAGAACAGATGTCAAAATGGGTCCCCGAAGAGACTTGTAAGTCTGGACTGTCAGTTTAACTCATAGTATTCCAACTTGGCTGAGATTGGAACTTCAAGCTGGGTACATTCACTGGGGCGCCACTACGCAAGACATTATGGACCTCGCTTCGGTTCTGCAAATGAAGACTGGCCTCGAGATCGTCGAGCGCCTTCTGTGCAAAGTCACCTCGACCCTAGAGAGGATGTCCGCCACCTACAGAGACGTACCCATGGCCGGCAGGACGCATCTACAACACGCTCTCCCCATCACTTTCGGATACAAATGCGCAGTCTGGCTGGCTGGTTTCCGCAGACACGTGAAGCGAATCGAACAGATCAAAGAAAGCTGCTTGCTGGTCCAATTTGGCGGTGCTGCTGGTACCCTCGCTTCTCTAGGCACAAGCGACAGCGGCATCCGTGTGCGTAAGCGCCTCGCAACTATTCTTGGCCTGCAAGACCCCGTCATCACGTGGCACGTGGCACGCGATACTGTTGCTGAGATCATCAACTACCTTGCACTGGTTGGCGGTAGCTTGGGCAAGATTGCGCTCGATTTGATCATCATGTCATCAAATGAGCTGAACGAGGTCATTCTACAATCACTGGCTCTCGAACGAGATGATCAATGCTAACGCGCATTTCACAGGTTGCCGAGCCTTATGTTCCTCACCGTGGCGCCTCTTCAACCATGCCCCAAAAGCGCAACCCCATTTCCAGCGAAGTGATTCTTGCTCAATCAAAGATTCTACGTGCACAAGCTGGCCTTGTACTGGATGGCATGGTCTCTGACTTCGAACGAGCCTCCGGCCCGTGGCACCTGGAGTGGGCTGCTATCCCAACGGCCTTCATTTCCATTGTTGGGTCCCTCCACCAAGCCGAGTTTGCCCTATCAGGGCTGCAGGTCAATAAAGATGCCATGATGGCGAATCTCAAGTCAACAAGGGGCTTGATTGTTGCGGAGGCTGTCATGATGGACCTGGCAAAGTACACCGGTCGCCAGGAGGCACACAATATTGTTTACAAGGCGTGCGTCAAGGCACATGAGAACAGCATGTCACTACAAGAAGCTTTGGAAGAATCATCACAGGTGACGTCTCATCTTGCTTCGCCAGACCTGGCAAAATTGTGCGATCCTACAAGATATCTGGGATGCTGTCAGTTGATGCTGGATGAGCTGTTAGGACAGGGAGCGGGATATGCAAACGGAAACGGAAAGGACCTGAACGGCAGTAAAGGGGTTGCGAATTGCAATGGAACTACCAATGGCAGCCATTGAGCTAACGAAAGCTTTGTAGAATATAGTCTTCTTGCTTTCTCACGATACAGTTGAGAGTGCGAGGTTATTGATGCGACCAAGTTGGCCAATCTGTCAAGTGACAATGCTAAAGTCTTAAACTTCAGCTGATCAAAGAGATAGATCAGCCCGTATTATTCTCGAGGGTAGAAGGAGCATGCGCATTACTCTGCGTTACGTTCCCAAAAGGCCTTTAACCTCTCTTCTTGCCTCAACAGTGACCAGCCCATGTGCGCTTCAGACTTTGGGAGAAGCTCCAGGAGCTTCTCCTGTTCCGCAGGATTGCGGAACAAATGGCCACCTGGCCAGCGAGTTGTCAGCGATAAGGTGTTCTGCTAAAGTCATCTTACAATCAGAGCCAAACTTACACATGGCAACCGTCATCCCCGCGGCTTTGGTTGCCGGCTGCCATTCGCCTGCCGAGTATGCAATACCACAAATTTGACGGGTCAAGCGCCGGATCTCTACTTCAACAGCTTTTGAAGCCATAGCCCTGTCAAGGCCGAGTACAGGCATACGAGGGTCGTAAGTTAGTAATATTATCTGGCAGATAATGGCATGTTGCTGACCAGCAACTTAGTAGACAAGAAAACGTCAGCGATCAAACTTTAACTTAAGTGCATGTAGCTGTGCCAGCCTCAAGAGTAATGAAGAGCACCGGTACTCACTATGGAAGTCGTTGGCAAATGTTATCTCAGGGATGGTCTCGCGATCAGAGCCCGCTTGCCACAGAGGATTGAAAGATGCCGGCCTCTTCTCCATCCACTGATGCAGAGATGTACGTAGATCTTCCCAAGACGCAGTAGACCGCGCGTCTGGGCCGTATGCAAACGTCAAAACGTCTTCAGTGAAAGTGATGATGCGCCAAGCCCAATCGAAGTCGCTTGTGGGCTCAAGGGTTTTAGTGATGCCGCATCTGTGTGCAAGTCGGGGCGGAGGAGTACGTGCTACAAAAGAGATGAAGATTTCCTGACGGATGGCAACTAGCAGACATGCGCGACATAGACTGTAGTTTGGGTCTTCTGAAGAGTCCGGCAAAGTGAATATGTTCGTGTCTAAGATGTGCTCATACGGCCGATCATCGACAGACGGAACTAGCTCGACAGTCAGAATCATGTGAGAGTGAACAAATAGTTCGTACCTATCATTTCCTCGTAGAGTCGCAGTATCATAGTGATGGCGCACAGAACTCCAGTCGTAAATCCTCGTGCCGACCCCGGGTGTGCTAGAGCGGGGATGTATGATTGCAAACATCTAGCTTGGTAGTCGTCGGCATCTCCAGCAACCCATTTCTCGGGCTGTGTCTGACTTGAGTGCTTGCATGAGATAGCTAAAAGGGCGTTGAGAAGGACAAAGTGTGTCGAGGCCGTTTGTACGATGGTCATCCTGAAGTGTCGATCTTTATCGCAATAGTCAAACTAGACGAGCGTCAGATAAGGACCGTTGCCAAATGTCGACTAGCAGTACCCAAAGAGAGAGACGATTGATGAAATGCTGAAGAAGGAAGACTTCTCTTTTGTCTCTCAAAGGCCATAGAGGATTGAATGAAGGCTCTTTAACATCGCAAGGGTAAAGCGTCTCAGAAACATCTTGCTGGGGTGGCTCTGGTATTTGCACTACTTCTCGTGCCCGAGGTGACTCGGCGGATGCAGTAGTCAGGAGATTGGCAATGCTTGGGAGGGTTGAGGGCTTTTCGACAGCAGTAGTCTCTTGTGACGATTCATTGGGTTCCAGAGCGATGCTGTCGTCTGAGAATATAACTGCACGAGTTTTAGTTACTTGGACATATGCCACCCAGAGGGCCCTATCGTGACAAGTGATAATCTCACGGGTGGATGGCGTTGATAGCCAGACTTGGTGGGCTGGGAAAGGAACAGCTCGGTTGTCCTCCAGTGACTCTTGGAAACCTTCAATAGACGGATTATGATGATGTCGAAAAGTTACTCGGGTTGTTGCTTTGTAAGTACACGACTTGGCAGCCTTTCCGCAAGGGGAGCATGTAGGGGCTGGCGTGTCGCCTGGTCCAATGGTCTTCAGCATTTATAACTCCATAATTTCAGACCTGCCAGAACTTTCTCCGACTAAAATTTCAGATGAAGTCGGATACATCGTACACTTGAGGGGATGTTAGAATCATTTTGAGACGCGAAAGGAGCTGACGCTTGAACATGATGATGTATTTAACGTCTGGTAACAAAAGGACGTGCCGGGCGCAATGCCGACATGGTCTATACTAATCTAAACTATGTTACAGGCTACCGTCTTCACCTAACGTTCCTGTTCAATGACTCGGGCAAATTTCGGAAAAGAAATTGGTCTCCTCTATCCATTCGCATAGAAGAGAGGCTCCCTTAGCAGAACCTAACAAGAAATCAATGCTTGCTTTGGCCATACGTTGGCGGAGGTAGCGCGGTGTAGCCTTGCGTCCACGCTTGCAGAAGTAGAAATGGACTGGTGTCTTGGGTTTCCCACAGCTGCAGTTGAGCAACGCATCTTGATGAGCGAATCTCTCGTGGTATGCTGCAAAGTCTCCATGATGGGATCTTGCTGCGTATAGCCTTCCTAGTAAGTGCCGAGGGAGGCGGAGCTCGGGCGGCTTGGGGTGAAGAATTATCTCGAGGTCGGCATATTGCCGAGGGCATTGGGACAGCCATTTTCTGGCAAAGGCTTGGAAGGCAGCTGCTTTAGCTTGCCTTTCTAGGTGCGCTAATGAGGGCTGTAACGCTTGAACATATGTCACGTAACAGGGATAGTAACCGCATCTCACGAAGCGCCCGTCACGTGCTGTATCACGTGTATATCACATACATCCTGTATATAGACCTTTCTCTTTTGTCTATTTCCACTTTGATAGGTTAAGCCACTTTACCACACTCCGTATGCCCATTGCTGTGTGCCATAACTCGTGACAACATACCACGACTGCCGTTTGGAACGGCTGAATTCTCTTGGCGGCGTCTATTTACGCTGCTCTGATTTGTGTGCCCCTATTAGAATATCAGGTGAACTGATGGACATGTTAGCTACAGAGACCGGGAAAAATGGCACAAACCCCTCTTGACGTGGTTGAAATTGCTCCCTGCAAGAAACATGTACGCGGTGCCGAGGAGAGCGTGTTGACTTTGGGGTTAGCAACGACAGGCCAGAAGGGCAGGTGGGGCCGATGATACAAAGGGCAGTTTGGCTCCGATCCCCCACCTTAGATCGGAGCAATTTTACCTCTCTGAGCACACACCGTCGCAAACACACCCACTCATTCTCACACAGCACTATGGCACCAGAGCCACCAGCAGAGACGCGAGGGTGCGGCCCTTCATAGCATTGCTTAGACTGCTGCCTTTCATGAGACCTTTGCGTTGAATTCAATTGCTTCTAGGCTTGCCTATATCTTCTCAACCCAGATACCGAGACTTCTATCTGTATGCTTACCCCGTGCCTTTGTCTGTGTATGCAGCACACAACCTGTGTTGGGTTCCTCATGAAGCTCAGGTATGACATATCCAAGACCGCCTCCCCCGAGCGCCCCAAAACTTAGCACTATCAGTGCCTCTGTCAATTGAAACGAATCCAACAGTAAACTCCCACCCCGCCGCAATTATTTCCCAGCTTTGGATGGGACTGAATAGTAGAACTTGACTTTCCGCTGGTCGGAATAGCGGAATAGTGTTATACGGAGATCACTAGTACCAACCAGGTTTTCAAAGTGCGGATAAGATGGTGAATATGAAGAAATGATGTGGGATTATGCAACTATCAGATACATGTGACTAATGTGCAATAGGTCCAGCTTTCGGTAGCCAAGCAGATCCGCGTTCATCATTCTCTCCACAACACCACACACATCATCGCAACTTGAGAGCGCGTGAGCTCTATTCGGTCTTCGAGTCAACTATTCTCTTGGCAAAGGTACCAGCAACGATCTCGATGATGCTGAACGGAGCGGGAGGATGAATGGACAGAAAAACTCTTCCGGAGGGCAATCTGGACAAGTTTGGTATGCCGACCCGGCCCGAGGAGAATCGCACCGGATGATCAGGCGGCTAATAAGCTCAATAGCGACCGCTGTCGGCGGTAAGTAATCGTCAAAGAAAGCTTTCTGCTAGTTTCATGACAAATTTGTTCCACTGATCTCTTTGGGTTCATTGCCCAAACTGACTTGGTCTATTTGTTCTAGGAGAAAAATCCGATGTCATGGCGATGGCGAAAAGGTAAGTTGGCCATCCCTACTGCGCAACATGCTCAGATTCAAGCTTTTGGAACTCATGCTCATTCTGATTGGCAGTGCACACCATGTATCACTGGAGGCGTGGCCTGTATTGTGTCAACGAAGTTGAAGCGTAACAGAAAGAGGAAGAGGTACGCTAGATTAGGAAGTCCAAGAACCAGCAAAATATGAGACTGACGTGGTCAATGTCCCCTTTACTGACCGCCATTTCTACATGTAGCTACTACGAAAATGAAGGAGTTGAGGAAAGACATGATGATTCCGCAGCTTCAAAGACTCCTGAAGCTCATGGCGGCACCGTTGCCTCGGCTTCCTTTTCTCTCACTCAAGATCTAAGGAAGTCGCAACCGATCGCTTCAGAGCACTCACATCTGAGTACACTCACAAGTAATGGCGGCCCAAGACCTCTATCATCTTGGCAGCGCCGCACAGAAGCCTCTTCAAGTGCAAAATCGAAACCATTGCCGGAACCTGTGGTCGGCCACATGGGTCGGCTGGTATCCAATGACGACCAGACAGCTATGTTCGCGGGGTCGTCAACGGGCGTGCACTTCATCAGTCAGGCTGAGCAGCAGTTGCAAATAATACGAATCCATACCGAAACATTCCCGAGCAGCATCTATAGTCTCTATCTTCACAACATATGGGGTCCGTCGCCTAAGGATACCGAGTCGCAGGTTGTCGCCGCTATGATATCCCAACTTCCGCTTGACGCCGCTGGGATACTCGAAACGACCATCGACCATTGGACACCACTTTACCCAATTGTACATAAACATTCTACCGTCGAGGCTCTACGTCGCTTGATCGGAGACCCTGAACACGGCGATATCAGTTTGCTGTCCCAGATTCTAGGTTTACTTGCTCTGGGAACATTGGGACATCCAGGCTCCTGTGTCCAGAGTCATCATCATTTTCTTTGCCATTCTGAGAAATATTACGCAATGTCCGCTGCGTTGACGAATCAGCTTCAAGAGCGACCGTCGTTACCGACGCTTCAAGGGTTGGAGATTGCCCAGATCTATCTCCAGCTATCGTCTCGCTACTCAGCTGCTTCGCAACTAGGAGGGATGGCTACAAGAATGGCACAGAACCTTGGACTCCACCGACACTCCCAGAGGTTCAAATTCGATCCTTTGGAGACAGAACTCCGGCGGCGCGTGTGGTGGTGTCAATATTCTCTCGACACGTACGTCTTTTGTTTGTCCGCCCCCTTTTTGTGTGTCTCGACTAATATCTTTCCATCAGATTCTCCAGCGCCTACCACGGGATGCCAAGGTTGATACGCGACCAGGATGTGGACACAGATCTACCCTCCCGTCTTGACCACGACCAAGTATCGCGTGAGAGCGTGGCTTTCCCCTTACCCGGCGAACGGTCCCAAGTTGACACGGCTCTCTGCATGTTCAAACTCGCAGTCATTGTAGGAGAAGCCCTAGAGAAATTGTATTCGACGACTAGACGGCGCGGCGGTATCGTGAAAATCACACAACTGCAAGCCGAACTCACAATGTGGGAGCGAATGTTGCCAACGGACAAGGTCGCAGACTTGGAGGACGAGGGCGTAGACTTACCGCCGGCGGTTACGATCGACACCTTCCAGGTAGCTTTCCTACGCGCTGCATTTTGCAATGCCACGGTGCACGTCCATCGGCCTGCGCTTGCTTTCACAACCGCTGACCCTCAGTTTCACGTTTCTCTGCTGGCCTGCGGTCGTGCTTCGGGTGAGCTTATCAGACTGACTGCTGCGATTGTGTCAGATTCAGTCGTGGAGATGGCAACTCCAAAAATTGACTCGATCATCATTGCGCACCTCTATCCAAACGGGTTGCATATGTTGTGGCAGGCAGGTCTGACGATATTGTTTGCCAGATGGAAGGGTCAAACCCTTGCTGGCGACGAGGAAGACGAAGACTTGGTCAAGACATGCGCTTCGACGTTGCGTCATTTGAGAGCTGATGACTCCAATATGTACATCACTCAATGTGCCGAGGTTCTCGACATGCTTCAGATAAAGACATTCTCAGCTAGAGAAACCCAACAGCCTGCTCTTGACCAGCTGCAATGGAATGTCTGGGATTGGCCCATGGCGTCAGCGCTGGAGCTCGCGAATACCTTGGATGCAATGCCGCTGGATCTTCAATTCGAACCAAGCATGGGGTTATAAGACTTTGCTATCAACCTCAGCTGTAAGTGGGCAAAGTGTCTTGGTGTACCATCACGATGTGGATGACCTGCGTAAGTGGGACCCAGGCTACAAACACATTGCCAAGTGCGAATTATGTTGAAGAACCCATTTTTCAGTCGTCACAGCGGCCGTGTTGAGGGCTTTAGAATTGATGGGCTATGGATGGCCCGGATAGGACAAAACTGACAATGTGTTCGCCCTTGTTGGTTGACGGGGTCGTATACGACAAATAGTGGTAGCAATTATCACTCGTCTGTTGGTGATCCTATTGCTTGTTCTTCTTCTTTTTGTTCTATCTTACATTGTAGGCAGGAGTCGGTCGAAGTAGGTAGTGACGGCCTGGGTGGTTGTCCCACCTTTATCCGGCCGTGATGACTAAGCCAGTTGTCCCACTTCGCCCAGGGCAGGTGCCAGCCAGCCCATGGTACCTGCCTATTACTCCTTATCAGCCTTTGCTGTTCCAACAGCCCTCTTTTCAACGACGATGTCATCAAATGTAGACTTGGTAGCCTCAATCGGCACTTCAGCTCTGGCCCCTCTTTTTCTCAAACCCACGCGGAAAGGTGTATTAACCGTCCCAAAGATACCGTCCCAAAGATCTGGCACCTGCATCGTGAACCCACGGTGCCCACACCCCGGGGTGTTGAGGTTGATCCGATCAAGGTGTGGGAGGGGCCCACGATCTGCGTATCGATCCTACTTATCGCTGACGGAAATGTCTTCAGAATAGTTGTCGCAAACCCGAGCGACACCCGGCTTTACATATGTCTATTAAATGCAGCACGCTGAGAAAATCACAAGAAATGTTGGAAGCAAAGTTGAAAAATGGGCCGTAAGATTCGTACCAGGCTAAGCCCAGCTTGCAGTCTAGTTCGCTGGCCTAGATGAAATGTCTATCTCTCTATGGCCTCCCAAAAAGAACCCAAACTCCTATCCTAATACTTCGACGGGGGGAATATAACGCCAAGCGGCGTCGGTGGCAATCAACTCCTTCTAATGTCCTGGATGGACGACGTGCGGATTTCGTCACGCCGGCAATGCAAGTGGCTGTTCCAATGCTCTCAGGATGGAGGAAAGCTCAGTTGTTTACTGGAAGATCCAGCGGTGAATGTTGCCGAACTGGAGTGCCCTCAGGCCAAATGTCTTCATGGGACATCATTTACTCCTTGTGCAGAGAGCCGGTGACGTAGTTCTCAGCACCGAGGGCATCGATGACAGCCATATCCTCCTGGGAGAGCTCGAAGTCGAAGGACTCGAAGTTCGACTGGATGCGGTGGGCAGTCAGGGACTTGGGGAGAACGATGTTGCCGCGGGTAGCGTTCCAGTTGAGGAGGATCTGAGCAGGGCTCTTGCCGTACTTCTCGGCGATCTTGCCAATAGTAGGATCCTCGAGCTTGTTGCCGCGGGCAAGGGGAGAGTAGGCCTCAATGGCAATGCCGTGCTTGCGGCAGGTGTCGACGAGGTCCTGGCGCTGGCAGAAGGGGTGAACCTCAATCTGGTTGACGGCGGGGACAACGGTGGTCTCCTGGAGAAGCTCCTCAATGTGGTGGGAGCTGAAGTTGGAGACACCGATGGAGCGGACCTTGCCGAGGCGCTGGGCAGTCTCGAGAGCTCTCCAGGAAGCGAGGCGCTTCTCCTTGTCGTCTGAGGGGGAGTGGATGAGGTAGAGGTCGAAGTACTCGAGCTGGAACTTCTCGAGAGAGTCGCAGAGAGCCTTGAAAGTGGCCTCGTAACCGTGGTCAGCGTCCCAAAGCTTGGTGGTGACGAAGACCTCAGATCTGGGGGTGTTGGTCTTCTCGAACCACTGCTTCAGAGCACGGCCGCAAGCCTCCTCGTTGGCGTATCTGGCGGCGGAGTCGATGTGACGGTAGCCGGAATCGAGAGCGGCGATGACGGCGTCCTCAGTCTCCTGGCCGTTGGGGGCCTTGTAGACACCGAGAGCAATCTGGGGAATTTCGTTGCCGTCGTTGAGGCGGACGGTGAGGCGAGGAGAGTCGCAGGGGGAGGCGTATCCAGAGTCCTGGCGAGTAGGCATAATCTTCTCCATGCCGAGCTCAGGCTGACGGGTAGCGAATTGGGCGGCCATTTTGAATGTTGTGGATGTTGTTCTTATTGTTGAAGAGTGTAGAGTTGTTTAGGTATCAAGAGAAGAGATTGATGGATTGTTTGAGGCCGTTGAATGTGATTGGTGTGTGAGTGATGCTTCGAAAAGAAAACAGCAGATGTTGCCGAGTTATCTATTCCTTTTTATCCTTTTCGACAGTCTCGCTCTCTGCAACTACAACCAGTTGATTCTGATTACCATTTTCGGACCGATGGCGTCCTCTGTTGTCGCCAGCCGCGGACCCGCTGTGAATGTCCCGTCTGTGCTGGGTTGATGCCCCCGTCTTGGATGGGACCCGTTCTCCAACATGCTGCCCCGTACTCCGTACAGATTATTGAGGGTCGGTGCCTCCTTGGTGTTACTTGGTGTTGAGTCGGTATCTCGATGTCGATTCCGAGTCGGTGCCGGCGGTTCCCAGTCGGTATTCGTCCGTTGTCTCGACGGTACCAGGTTGATGCCCCGTTATCTCTGGGCCTTTGACCCGCTGGTACTGGAGCCAATGACGTAGAAGTTCTCCGCCGGTGAATGGGCCGATGACGTGCCGTGTCTCCGCCGATGCTGCGCCGATGGGCGACGTCCGAGTCAGTGTGTCCTCAGTGTCTCTCTGACGGTAATACGGTATCTATTGTAGGAGGTGGAGGCAGGCCTCAGTTCGCAGCTCCCACTGCCAAATCCCCGACCTCTGGCTGCTAACCTCGACTCATGTGGTACATGTCTAGCGGGATAAGCGAGGTATCAGATGAATTGGCTGTTCTGAACCTTCTGGTATGAGGCTCAACTATAGGACTAGATCGGATTGTTGAGCCTCAAGATTTTCGGCGGCTGTGGCGAATATCGACTTTGACATTAGCGCAAATCTTACACTCAAAAATTTTACGACGCAAGAGAGTAAAAAACTGGAGCCCACTGCAGGAATCGCTGCAGTGATCCCAAATTCCTGTGAGCCAAGCCTCAAGGAACCAAGGTACCATGTTCGGTCAATTATTCCCGAGGACAAACTATCCGTCCACTAGGCGCCGTTTCAGCCGCGGCCGGAGAGACACGCGAAGTATCGATGAGGCACAGCAATCGGCATCGATATCGAGCTGAACGGTAGGGGGGCCTTGAGGGGCCTCGGAAGACGAAGTTTCCACGTATACGCTGGGTCAGTTCTCAAGACTCAACACGCCAGTACGTACAATATCCTGGGTAAGGTGTATTGTGTAGAATGGAAAAGCCGCACTTAGCGACAGACGCAACTTCGCCCGTTATGACGTCAAGCTGCCGAAGGCATCACGGTGGAAGTGGACCATTTCAAAACGTGGTGCTGCTTATGCCCCATCAGAAGATGGATCTCTGAAGCCCGAGAAGTTCCCGCAAAAGTTCATGTTGAGTGTGAGATGCGTGGTGCAGGTACGAGTCCAGGACACCGGAGTCCACCCCGTCAAACGAGCGTTGGAGTCGTGGAACGGGACTACGGATACACTAGGTACACAGGACGGGATGGCATCAAATGGCATGGATTTTGAGATGGGGTGTGCGAGGCAAGATGCGAGTCGCGAATTTTGCCATTTCGCAAGTACATGGGCAAAGACTGGAAAAGTTGTTCTAGCGTCTTGTCGCTTGGGCCTTTTGGGACAAACTCACCCATCCCTGCCACACATCGATGATTGGCCCTGCCTCCCATCAAGACTCAGGAACGTGGTTTCAGACTTTTCGCTGATGTCATTGGAGGGTCCTGATGTATTGTGGTAGGGCGAGATGAAGGCACTCCGGGAGGCAGATGGAGACAAGAGATGAAAGCAGACGGAGGCATGTTGCCTGCAGGACCCCTATCGGGAGTGTTCGGAAGGGCCCGCTCTTTCTTCAGCCTGGGCACCCAATGTCAAGGTCTGTATCAATGGGTTGCCTCTTCAGAAGTTCTGTGCGTTTGCAACAGCTTGATAGCCATTGGATTCTGCGCCTTGTCTTATCGGCGGATGTCCATCTGTCCGATATTGACTGGGGCGGCTCAATGTATCAAAGTTGAGTGCTCGGTGTCGGTGTCGCCAACGGTACGGATACAGGTATGTGAACTCTGCCAAAGTTGCATGTGGCCAAGGATTGGCGGGTAGAGTTTTCTCAAAGTCTTTGCTATGGGCAATAATTGTCCGCAAGGTGGAAAGATAGAAAACGGATGTACACCGACTTCCCAAGACAATCCAATGGCAAAGTCGGCTCCGAAGGCTAAGGCGGTAGGGCCCAGCGATCAACGGCTTGTCCAAAGAAGATTTTCACATGTATGCCAAGTTGACAGCGAAACAGCCCGGCAAGTTGGAAGCGCCTACTACACACCGGGCAGTAGATCGGCAGGAGACGCCCGGATTGTCCTCTGGCCCGACACAGACACACACGAGAGAGAACAGGTAGGTAGCATAGCCGCGCCAAAAAAGCCTTCCACAATCCCTGTTCAGAACTTCAGGAATGTCGATGAACGTCGATGCATGCCGGACGACGCGACCCCCCTATCTATTTCGCGCCCTGAGACAAGGCCCTATCAGTGACCCATGCGAGGCTCCAGTTTATATTTTATCTCAACCAAGGCGACGAGCACTTTTTCCCAGCCTGGCGTGATTGTGGACTAAAATACAGACTTTCTCACTGGACAAAATGCCTCGTAAAGTGGACATGGGCTGCACTAACAACAAGAGGAACCCCCCGTCTCACCGTGAGAAGATATGATAGGGGTATCAACTTGCAGAACACCAGTAGGCACGCAGGCAAGCCGCAAGCCAGGCAGACAGACGATCCCTGGTGGAGAAGGGCTGCAAGGTGGAAAATGTCGCCCTCAGCTCCCGGCACGGTGCATGAAGCAGTCAAGCAGGAAGACCAAAATTCCCAATAGAAACCCGTGTTATTGGCGGTGAAGTTGACCTTCACACCGATGAATGGGGCCAAAGCTCCACCACACCGGCATGAAATTGATAATGGATTTCGCTTTCGAGTCTTGGTTGCTATGACGGCCATCTTCATTGGATGATGATCTAAATTTCAAACCTTTGCTGGACACTGAACCCTGGCGAGGCTGCACAGTCAAACTTGGTTTCATGAGGGATTTCACGCCCAATGCCGCAGGTAGTAGCCTACGACTGCGGTAAGATTACGTCTTAATGCATCGGCATCAGGCAATGAGGCCGGTTTGCGTCCGGACAGCGGACTGAAGAGGTTGGTCTAGGGAAAAAGAGATACCCGCAGAGGTAGCCGAGAATAATAGCGAAACAGTGCCTTGGGAGAACTTTCCCAATCACCGTAATCTACCTCTATGTGAGTTTGATAGCGCCTGCGCCCGTCGTTGCGAGCAAGCATGCAGAACTACGCCTCATCCAGCCATCTTGCAAACGTGGCAGTAACTCGGCGTCATAGCTCTCACTCGTATGCACATGCAGAAAACAAAGATAACACAGAGTTGCGTCAATCAATGCTCGACGTCGCACGAGTCAGTAATGGCGTCAGCAAGGGAAACTCAACTCGATGACTACAGGGAAAGAGATGTAAATCACTTCGACTAATGTTACAGGACAGAAAACGGCAACGTTGATCTACATCATTGTCGGTCAGAATCGGGAAGCAAAATCACGGCAGATCACATTTGCGAAGAAACAGAAAATGCCTCAAATTTCCATGATTTTATTGCTCAATCCTGGCCAAGATGGCAACTTGAACGGATTCTGGTATTCTTAGAAAGATCATCGGCGTGCACTGTCAAGTTCGAGTCAACAGAAGGAAAAAAAAAAGCTTCAACCGCCCCAAACCATCAAAATTATCAAATTACATCAACCCCACAGAAATGTCAAATGCCACGATAGCTTCAACCCCGGATGAGGACCACTGTAAAACCTCACCGTCTCCGCCGACCCCGCGAAACTCGCCGATCTTCGTCGAGGGTTATGATCATGTACGAGGAAGCAGGTAAATAGAGCGCTTGCCTATGTGGCCTCAACACCGACACCATGAACTGAGGTCGCAAGTGTCACGGCGTTGCCATCGGGGCTGGAGCGTCGTTCAGCAACAGCAGTTTCCAAAAGAACACTAGACTCCCGCCATCATAGCTATTCAGCTGCGGCTTGATAAACCCAATAATGTATTTAGCGACAGCGCAGCATTTAGCTGTTACATATGCTTGACGCAGATTTGAAGTTCCACAAGACCAGTCTGACCAGACATGATGAAAGCCTTGTATTCCATCAACAAGTCATTCGAGGCGGCTGAATAACATTGAATCGGGTTTCACAATCAAGTTCGAAAGCTAGCAGGTCTAATCATACATTGCATCGATAAAGTCGATTACTCTCCTTGCCAATCTGCAATACTGTCAGCAACAGACGTTGAAGTAAAACATTGAAGTCCCATTTTTGAACCCACCGCAAAGGTGTCGCCAACGACCGGTCCATTTTTTTAGCCCACGATGTTCAGACGGCGGGTTTTATGGAGAAACCCGATCGTCCGAATGAGGCTGAATGGCCAACGTCGTGCCAACAAAATGGCACTCACGATGCGGTCAATAGCCTGATATTGCTCACTTGGACGCCATAAAATTTGTACCCATACTTTGATTGATTGCTCTGTCAGATCATGTAAAGTAGTAATTGGCTTCTTCATCAAGTTGAAGCGGATGTATCATAAACTGGCGTCGCTGGTTCGGAGGCCCTAATCTATCGATGATGATGTTCATCTGTTGTGCCTGTAAGAAGCGCGAGGCAAAGAGCGTCCAAACAGGAGCCAGGAGCGATTAGAATTGCACAGAACCAATTTCAGTGAGTTAGCAATTTTCTTCGCAGCTCGAAGGACAATCCTAACTGCACGAAGGCTGCGTGCCGCCCTTGCCAGGGCTGTTGAATACAAGTACTCTGTAGTGCCGCATTTAGCTCACTCGTCAGGGCATCTTAGAGGTACAGAATAGCTACATGCGAAAAGATTTAGTGGTTCTCATTGCATGATACGAGATGCGGCAGCATCTCGGCCAGGATGTGGGCCGCGAGAAAGTTGGAATGGGAAAGATCGTCGGCTTGTTGAGACCGTCATCGGCGAGAGTGGGGAGGTTGTCGTCGGCGACGGCCTGGTTGGAGTCGTTCGGGACCGATGTGGGGTCATAGAATGCCGGAGCCGCGTAGTGTGATGCCAGGGGCCATGTAGGAAGCGCGAGACGTTGTCAATGTGCCGAGGTCCTCTTTGCTACCTACGCATGCTACGCTACCTTACTTTCGTCACTTCTCTCATCCATACAGCTTGTCAAATGATAGAATACTTGGGCTTACTGTATCATGTTCCAATTCTGGAAGGTAGCATTGAGAATACAGCTGCATCTAGTCAAAGAAAAGATGGCTACAAACTGGTAGAAAGACTCCTATGCGACCATGAGAAAGTTCCGCATCATTCACCTTTGATCTTGGGTCATTTCCTAAGAATACCTCAGGAGCCTTCTAGCAACGGTGGTATTGCATTAAACTGTGGTCTCTTTCCATTGAGAAGTGCGTAGGCGACTCAACGCGGCCTATGATAATACCGCCCTGAGGACGTTTCTCAGCTACATGTAGCAAAACATCCACCTTGCATGCCAGATCTTGAGCGCTGGATCTTCTGAACGCTGCGTCACTGGATGTTGCGAGACTAATGAGTTCAAGGACGACGGTAAACACCTTGTATCTGCCTCTGGTTCATACCGTCAACCAAAGAAGGCATATCACCTATGTGCTCCATGGCTTAGCCTCGTTTCAGCTTTTGCAAGAAAGACTTGATTTTACGTACCAGGTTTAAACTAGAAGTCTTTAAAGCGCGATGGGTACGAGTCATCTCAAAAAGCAAGCATGCATTGGACCTCCAAGAGACGATGCCGCGTGATATTAATGAGCGGGAGCGGAAGGATGCGTTTATAGCTGTTACGCATCCCCATGGCATATTCAGTCTATGAGACTTCCGCAATATTTTGACGCATTGTAAAATATTCAAGGAATGGTCGAGGTGTATTAGTAGTTTGCTCTGGACTATCATGCGCTCGTATTGGATCCTTAGAGGCTATGTAGAGAGTTAAAACACCTCATGAGAATCTTTAGCCCTCATCAGTAAAAAGTGTCTCGATTGCGTCGCTGCCAACCACTCAAGTGACGCCCTCAATAATGCTATCTAAGACTCGTGACCTCACATCACCCTCTGTGGATCACGTGCTTCATGATCTACTCTTGTCTCACTCAAGTAAATTAGTGTGAGGCGCTCATTGAAGCAGAAGTTAGCTCCAGACCAATCGCTTGGAATTTGAACAATCACCTGCCTTTAAGTTTTGGCTAAGATGTCATTGACCCTAGCATATCGATGTATTGCTATTCATCTTATATGGCATCGATTACTCTCGTCACTTGTGAGAACGACGCACGCCTTAAACCAATTTCCGGCCGACATAGAAAGTTAATATCGAACACTCGTTAAGACTCGATCTCAGCTTAGACCGCGATTAGAAAGTCCTGGCGAACAATACAGATCTTCTGTCCGATTGACTTTACTGAAATAATATAAAGAATTCAGACATGAGCAGCTTAGCAATGCTATCTTTGGTGCCGGAGAGGGAACCGCACATCCAGCCAAAGACAACGCAGTTTTTTCTCCCATTGCCAAAAGAAATTTGAGCTACCTTGAACAGTTTGCTTGGAGCCAAGGTACTAGTTGAAGGCAACGTAACAGTATAATTCTTTCGGGATGCAGTATAACCCTCATAAACGCGTCACTCCCAAGAAACTGAGTGGTATCTCATGAAAATACAATGTACGGTTTCCAATCTTCTCAAACGAAGCTATGCACCATGCAGTCTGAGTTGCTTAAGGTCATGCCACAGTGGGGATGGCATTCTTGCCGTGTTTGTCTTCAACAGACTCGATCCCTCCCTTTTCCTCCTCTCTATCGACAGGCCTGATACCAACCTCAGTTTCACTGAATGAATCGGCGATATTACGGTATCTCGGGACAAAGTTAACGGCAAAGGCATATGTCCATGCCAAGGCAAAAAAGACCAGAGGGATGACCATTGCAATGCCCATACCCTTGTGGTCGGCAACAACACCGAGCAAAGGAGGTACAACAGCACCGCCAGAGACGCCTATACCGAACACATTAGAAACGTTACAAAGGACCTTGGCTGCAGGATAGAGTACTCACCTGCAATAATGAAGCCACTGCCACGCTTAGAATGCCGGCCCAGACCTCTCATACCCAGTGCCACAATTGTCGGAAAGCAAATAGACTCGAAGAATAGGACAACATATAGCATAGCCATGCCGGTATCGCCTTTCTGGGTGATGGAAGGGGCAATGAATATGATGCAGGATGAGAGGAATGCCAGGAATACCCAACGGGGTTTGATATAGTGCATAATGCCAACTCCGGCGAAACGACCAATCGCAAAGGCGCCTTGGGCGCCAGCAAGAAGTTTCGAGCCAAGCGCGTTATCAGTGTTCTCGCGACGCTCTGTGACATAGTTGATAAAAAAGCTTGGAACGATTAGTTCTTGAACCTTTAAGACTGCAGGCAAAGTTTAACAAACCCCGCGATGGCTACCTGAGCACCAGTGTAGCAGAATTGGGCGAAAGAAGCGTGGAATAGACGGTACTGCTTTTTGAAGGGCTTGTCGTCAACGCTGGCATGCGTCTCGGAAGCCTGAAAAGCCATGTCGGCATCTGTGATTTCTGGGATACGAGCCAGCCAGAAGACGATCGCGAGTCCCCAAACAAACACGGCGATGGCAAGATAGACCCATTGAACATTCTCCAGAGCACGTTTATCGTCAAAGGCGAAGAAGACATAGGATCCCATGACGGGGGCAACGACGGTTCCGATACCGTTGAAGGCTTGAGAAATGTTGATTCGAATTTCGCTGTACTTGGGGGGGCCGCAGACGGTGATGTACGGGTTGGCGGCTGTTTCGAGGGAGCCGAGGCCATTACCGATGATGAAAATGGCGGCACAGAAGCCGCCGAAGCTCTTGGCGATAATGCATGGGATCGCAATGATAGCTCCGAGGCCGTAAAGGAAGAGTCCAAAGACAAAGGTGGCTTTATAGCCCCAGTGTCTCAAGATCCACGCCGCGTGCCCAAGACTGGCAATGAGATAGGCTCTGTCAGGTTAAAGTCAGTCTCCGCGCCTTATGGTCGTAATGATCGCGAGAAGGTAATGTCCACGGCAGCTGATAACCGTAATTCATCGCGCGCTGCCTTGCTTCGTGCTGTAGTCTAGCGCGCCGAAGAGGAGCAGAATCGCCAGTGTCGTGAGGTCCGATTGCTACGAGAAAGAACTCTGCAGGTAAGGTGAACGTACCCGAAATAAGCAGCTTGCAATCCAGAGGACCTAGCCCTGGTAATGTGAAGTGTGTCCTGGAAGTGCTTGTTGAGAGTATCGAGGAGGCCTAGCAATGCAACATCAGTACTTGGGCCTCTGATCATGCTATTAGGTTGCCGCGACGTACCGTAAGAGAAGCCCCAAAGAAAGAAGAGGATAGTGACGAGCATGATCGGAAACAAAGACTCCTTTAGCGTCAATTCGGCAGCATTCGTGCGGACATTGTCCTTCTGGCGCAAAGACCGTTTTTGGAAAAACTCCTTGACGCCCATCTCGCAGGTTTGGCGAAGCCCACAGGCGCTATGTTGGATCTGATTGAAGCACTTGGGAGGTGTTAAGTGTAAGGTGTCGAAATGTTTGCGACCGGTATGGTGGCAGGTCAAAGCCTCAGGGTGCGGACGTGGCAGTAGCCGTTGGACCGACGGACTGCACTGGCAATGTGGTGAGACGCGTCCAAGAGCAAATATAATCCTTCTGGAACGAAGAGAGCTGGGTCGGATGAAAGCTTATAAGAGCTCAAGCCGGCCGTACTTTCGGTCGTTTCGAGCCTGATCTTCCCCTGCACGAAAGCGAGATGGACATGACCATCTTTGGTTTCTTCTTGGCTTCTCCATGGGTACGTGGCTGGCAGTCCCCGATCAAAAGGCCAGTAACGTAGGTACTCCAGTCCTTGCTGTGAACAAAGAGTTCGGGTGGAGCAGCGGTCTTCTGGACTGATCTGGGGTAACAAGCGTTTGGGGAGGATTGCGGGGATGGTCATCGCGTGCTCTAAGTCGCCGGGGAAGCATATATGGCCCCATCCATCTCCGTTCGAGGTGCGGGGTGAAGGTTGGAGTAGCCAGTCGAAGAAGACGAGGTGGATCTCTGGAGAGCGCAGAGAGGATGTACGGACTCACGGAGAGTTCGCGACGCAGCCTTGGCATGCCCATCTCTTGCTTGACATGGCCCCGATTCCCCCGAATGAACGGCTCAAAGGTTGGCCGCCAGACGAGGGTGAGTGGGAATTGTTTCAAGTCTCTGTGGTGGTGATTGGATCTGGAGGGGGCGGCAATTCATCGAGTCTGGGGTAAACGATCCGGGGTTCGATATAAAGATGGACCGAAGGATGACGGTCAGACTGCCGAGTGAGCTGGTGGGTTATTGGTTCGGTGGACAAGCTGGAGAAGGCCGGTTGGTTTCTTCGACTTCTCTACTAGAGCCGGGGCCGGGGGAGTATGTGACATCACCTGCACAGTGTTTGCGTCTCGGCATTTGTTACACTGAAATGTCTTTGATTTGCTCTCGCGACCAACACTCCCTGAACTGAACAACAATGCGGGCCTGCATCTATGGCGTGGGGGTTAGACGAATAAAGCCTGCCAGATCACCAGGTGCTTGGGAACTGTTGTCGCACCTGCGACGTAGCCTATCTGAAAGTCGGAGATCTGAATACCGTCAACTGGGGTCTCTTTCCCAAACATTCGACGATTCGATAAGGTTTTAGTCGCTTTTAGGGCGGCTTAGCGGCGGTTGGGTGTGGCCAAACGAGGCTTCCTGGCTATGCCAGTTGAGGTTACGGATTGACCTTTGAGCCGCTGGCGGGAAGGCGTCTTTAGCTCCGCCAGCCAAATTCTTAAAACTATAGTAGGCCTTGAAATGGTCTCTGAACAGTTTTCAGAGGTTGAACGAAGGACCACGCAAATGTTTTTGCTACCTTCAATTGCACACTGCAAAAAGCTGTCTTCGGCCCATCTGCTGATTCCTGAACGTTCACGCTCGGAACTAAAATTCCCGGAGAGGGCTGAGATTCAGAAGGTCTACCACACCAGCTTCAGGACAAATGCAGGCCTAATCAAAGACGACAAGGCGAGAGGGTGTCATACTTTGCCATTGGTTTACACAACAGATAGAGGGAGACCACGTCGTTGTCGAAGCGCTCCCGAACTTCTGTGATCAGAAAGTGAACGTCTTCCCTGCCAAGTGCAAAGAGCTTGAATGACCAAGTGACCTGAGGTGAGCCAAGAGCGTGGTTAACTGCCGAAAACACTGCCGCGGGCAATTGAACCATTTCCCGACCGGGTTCAGAAGGACAGACCGCAGCTGGTGCCATATGAGAACAGCCGCACACCAACCCTCGCTGAAGCTGATACAAATTTGCCATAACCGCCTTCACGAATTGGCGGATCTTCATCGCCTCCATTCGAAGGTTTGCCTCTATGACTAGATGCAGGGTCCAGATGTTCTTAAGATCTAATCTCTATGGATTGGATTGTCCCTGGACTGGAGGGCAAGCACTCCGCGATATCCTTCAGTTCTCGTGCATTTCCATGACTTTTGTTAATGCGGAAGGTGGCCTCCCAGAGCTTCTCAACTACTTGATCCATAATACTGAGTGAAGTAACTGGGGATCTATAAGACCGGTCACTAAATGCTGCAGGCTTGCTGTGATTAGGCAAGTAGTATCGCGTGGCCAAACGCCCTACCTCATCTTAATACCATGATGGCCCCACGAAGTGAGGCTGTTGGCAAGATTATCTTGACCTATAGTTTCTCGTGAAGCTTGTTTGACACGCATATACTACTCAATCAATTGAGTTTCCGCGGTATTTTTATCCTAATCAGTCACAATCATGGGAGACCTGAAGGCCCTATCTTGCTCCGGGTTCAATCTATTGTCGAGAAAGCCTGGGGCCAAGTCCAATACCTTTTCCATTTTCTTCAATCCCCATCAACAAAAGTCTCTACTCGACAGTATGGTGTCATTCTTAAGCTTTCACTAACAAGTTTGAAGTCAAAGAGCATTGGCGACAATGTCGACAGCAACAATATTCCACGACGATAAGGTAGATAGATCAACATAACGAGTCGACATAACAATCATACGCTATGAATACACCCCGGGGGCCATTTTCCATTGTCATTTGACTGGGACCATCTTTGCACGGGCGAACTGTAATAGTGCGCCTCACCCGATTCAGAACTACAGAAAGACGCACAGTTACCTACGACGTTCCTAGTTTGGTAATCCAATCGCAATTTGACTGAAGAACTAGTCGAGACTATTGTGGCACATTGGCATTGTCTCCCTGAGCGACCTAGGTAGTGTTTTTTAGCCTGTCAACGTAACCTGGTAAAGTTGAATAAGATAGGTGAAGAGGCAAAACCGGACCCGACAGAAATCTACTCTAAACCAGCATGTTGGAATACAAAAGTCCACAAGACTACACAGGTTGCCACCTCAGTCATAGACGGCATTCAGGTCAAGATATCCTGACTTCAGATCTCCGAAAGGTACATGTAAGGACCCTCGACCTTCGCTTGCCAGACTGAAATCACCAAAGAAGGCCATGACTGAGCTGGCTCAACGGAGAAACTTGCTCCACAAACCTTTCATCGGCTTGAGATTGAACATCTTCCCTTGTGAATCAGATAAAGATGATATTGTCTAGCGGAAAGAACGATTATACTATCCTCGCTCAGTATCCTCTAGAAAGGATTTCTGCATGCCAAGCGCTATTGAATGAGCGAGTCGCCATTAAACATCCGGATGAATAGAGCTTAGTAGTCAGAGCCTAGACTTGGTACCATAAGATGAGTTCAAGTCTTAGATTCACTCGACAACCTGTACCTACCTACATGGTTCAGGGTTACTTATTTCTCTGGTGCATGAGGCTGTTCCCTGCGGGAGACTTCTACAGACTGCCAGCGTGAGATCATGTAATTTGGCTGATCAAATCTGATGGGGCTGGAAAGTGGCCGTCGAGGCTCCGTCAAATCGTCGGACGGCGTCTTCTAGGCGGTCAGACTCCGACCATGGCCCACTCCAGGCCGGCAGGCGCCTGGTTTCGGTCGAAGAGAGATGCTGGTTCATGCACGGCGGGAAGACATGCTAGCTCGATGCAACAATATGCTGCATGCTGTCAAAGCTAGTCATAGCCTGGTAGTCCATGCTATCCCTTGCATCGATCCTCAAGTCTTCTCAGGGTAAAAGTCAGCGCGGTGGGCGTGGTCGGGGCCGTATCTGTAGTCTATCAAAAACACAACGAGACGAAAAGGGAACCAAGAGTTACTGCCTCAGCGAGATATGGACGAAAGGCTGAAATTCATTGAACTTTGACTGCAAACCAAACTCGAGGGAGTTCATTCATTATATGTAAGATTCAACTAAATAGCTAGCGGTAGGTCAACTGGAACTGAGGTTGACGGTCAAAGTGCTAGCTAAACTTGATTATCCTCGTTGCCATCAACCGAGCAGATAGCGGACGTCTAAAATCTCTTCATATTCATCGAGTTTAGATGAGGCGTCACCCTGCCTTAGCCAGTAGAAGGAGAATGCTGGACAGCTGTGCCAAGGTAACCGCCGAGGAGGATGACATGTGTCAACAACCACCCCAACCGTGGACCTAAACGTTCCAATGACCTTCCATATCGAAGCAAAATGACATTGACTGCAGAAAAGAATGCAATAGGGCATACGATCAGGCGGCATGCACTTCATGCGACAGTGGCAATAGCATGTCGTTGTAGGGTAGTATGCAAGTAGTTCGCACACTCCCGTAAATTACACCCAATGATCAGGTTGGCACCCCTGGAAATCCATCACCCAGCATCGCCCGGCCGAAAAAGATGTCCTTTGCCTGTCGTGTGGTGTTGTGTGAGGTCGGTCAGTCCTGACCTACGGATCGAGCACGTGGGTTCGGGAACGGCGAACTTGTGGACGGCTCAGCCGAAGTGGGGGCCAATGGAAGCGGCGCGGGGACGGCTGGACCTCGAAGAGCCGGATCTCAAATTACAACTGCAGGGTTGTAAGTTACTGAATCCATAAACTCGGGTCACTAAAGATCTATCACGCGGCCTGGTAGCTGCAAGCCTATGGAGGGTGACTTCGAACTGTCTCACCAGAGCTGATGACCCGTCAGGCTCAAATTGCACCCTCAAGCCTTTTGCCAATGTCGTGACGTGCAGCACTTGCGGCACATCAGGCGTGGGATTGGAGCGCCGGGATTCTTGTCATCAGGCAGACAGAAGGCTTGATTCAATGGCAAGCTTTGCCAACCTTCCACCACTGCCAGGGAAGATGTTCCTTCAATACCGATCGACGGGTTGGGCAAGTCTTGGACGCATCCTGGCATCGAATACCCGACTTGGCAATAATAATGTTGTGAGCCTCCAAAACTCCAGTTAAAGGTTTTGGTGGTGAACAAAACTTCATCGTGGTCATTTCGACGTAATTACTTTCGAAATCATCCGAAATCTGTCTTGGGCACTGGCTGGACTCGCTGAAGCCACCAAGGTCAACACGTGCAACATCTTCGCCAAGCAAGGTAAGAGAAAAACGAATCGGTCCCAAATGAACGGCTCAGCCAGGTCTCTCCGGCTTGCCACGGCGGGCTAGAGTTTCTTCGGTCTTGTTCGGCCCAAAGCAAACCGGGCGAAGTACCTCAATCGGGAGACCGAGCGGATGGATGGAATTTGTGAATCAGCTCACAGCCAGGAGCATTTGTCAAAGTCGCAATACGCCCGCGCCTTCTGGCCACCTTTGACGCCCGTAGGCTTCAGCTAGAATGCATGGAAATATGCGAAGACAGTCAATACTGGCTCATAATTCGCCGGCTGGCATGTCTCTCATCGGAAAGTTGGTGGTGACATTACGGGGCTATACCGCAATGGGGACCGAGCGCCAAGAGCTGCCCGCAAAAGGGTTCGCAACAGACTTTTCGCAACGTGCTGGCAACGCACATTCCGGGTGGTCGAGACATCGGGCCAGCGTTGATCTGGTGGGGATTGGGCTGACTGGTGGCTGAGCGAGTTCGAGGGGAAGATTGGGAGCCAAGACCCCTCGTTCGCGGAGACTCAAGAGACATCTGACTCTTCCTGGTGCCTGTGGAGAAGGAGGATGTCGGTGTCCATGTTGGCAGACCGGAGAGGCAAACTTTTATCGGTAGGTTGGGGTTATCGCCCATTGGCGACATCGCCTCAGACCAAAAGGCCCGTCAAGAAGTCAAGACAGACAAGAAGTTGTGTGCAAAGAGACGGCGTAGCAACTGACGAGACGAACAAGAAGGGTTTAAAGGGCTTGGCATGGTCTTAATATGTTGTTCGCCAAGTTCAACAAGCAGGGGGGGGTCAACGACCAAGTCAAACGACTGTAGCAAACAGATGCCACACGTGGAGGGTTGACGCCGCATGATTCGTCAACTCCAGATCCTCCCCAGATGAGATTCCACGCTCAAATAAAGCTTGCTGGGTGGACCCGGACTAAGCTACTAGCATGCTAGGGATACCGACATCTTGGCACGCTAGCCGTAAACACCATCCTTGATGCATCCCGTTCGGCCTGCCATCGAGGTCCCATCGTCCATTACCGGGAGAGAGAGTCGATGAAGTGGGCGAGAAGGGGGCGTCCATGTACGAAGAGAAAGTCAGTCGGCCATTGATTACACATTGAGCCACGCTTGATTGAGGAGGAGGAGAAAGACCTCGGAGCATTGGGGGTGTATCAACAACAATTTCACCCGGGACCAAAGCTGGTATCTGCTGCAGGAAATACAGCGGCTACTTTCTGTCAGTCAAGGTCGCCAAGGGAGCACATAAAAGGTTTATCGTGCGCATCTTTCCAGTCTGCCGATGCTCTGTGTGTCCCGTCTTCTCCAGCAAGCACCTTTTCCCCTCCTTCTTCGAGACCACAAAACCTGCTCGCCAAGTCACAGCCAAGCAGCAATCAGTCACAATGGCGCTCGACGAATACACCTACGTCTTTGCCATTGGCACATTCTTTGCTATGCTAGATGCATACAATAACGGTGCTAGTAAGTACAGTCCCTATATCGGGCAAACAGGCGCAGACAAGACACCTGGTCTGCAGTTGCCGATAAACTTTGGCGCTTCAAGACGTCAGACACTGACTCGGCCCAACTTTCAGACGATGTCGCAAACGCCTGGGCGACCAGCGTGTCGTCAAGATCCATCACCTACAGACAAGCCATGATCTTCGGTACCATTTTCGAGATGTTGGGCGCCATCACCGTCGGTGCGCGTACGGCCGATACTATCAAGAACGGCATTATCCCAAACAGCGTCTTCAACGGCAACCCTGGCGTTCAGATGCTCGCCTTCACATGTGCTCTGGCCGCCGCTTCTTCCTGGGTCATGTGGTGCACGCGACACTCTGCCCACGTCTCTTCGACATACTCTCTGGTTTCTGCTGTTGCTGGTGTCGGTGTTGCTGTTGCTGGCGCCGATAAGGTTCAATGGGGTTGGAACGGCGGCAAGGGTCTTGGTGCCATCTTCGCTGGTCTGGGTATGGCCCCCGCCATCTCAGGCTGTTTCGGTGCCATTATCTTCAGTCTCATCAAGTTCGTGGTTCACGTTCGCAAGAATCCCGTGCCATGGGCTGTTTGGACTTCGCCCTTCTTCTTCCTCATCGCCGGTACTATTTGCACGCTTTCCATTGTCTACAAGGGCTCTCCCAACCTGGGTCTGAGCAAGAAGCCTGGCTGGTACATTGCCGCCGTCACCATGGGAACCGGCGGTGGTCTTTGCCTCCTCGCCGGTCTCTTCTTCGTCCCCTTCGTCCACGCCAAGGTCATTAAGAAGGACTATACCATCAAGTGGTACCACTTTGTCTACGGCCCTCTTCTCTTCAAGCGTCCCGCTCCCGCCGATGCTGAGAAGGCCAAGGTTCCCAACTACGCGGTCGTCCAAGAGGATGAGCACGAGCAAACCCTTCCTTCCCACGAGTCTGTCAAGTCTTCCGAGTCTGGGGATGAGCCTCTCAAGGAGACTCATGAGAAGGAGATCCACGTTCCCCAAGAGAGGTCTCTGGCTGCTGCCGAGATTGGCCAGGGCCCTACCTACAAGCAACTTCAGGCCGAGGGCGAGGCTAAGTTGCACGCAAAGATGATGAAGAAGCGTGGTCCTCTCGGCTGGGCCATGCGAACCCTTCGCGACAACCCAATGGGCGCTGGTCAGATCTACGAGTTCCACAACATGAAGATCGCCCTCAAGCGAATTCCCGCCATGATCACTGTCGGTGTTCTCTACGGTCTTCACTACGATATTCACGCTGCTCAGACCGGCGTCGCCGGTACCCCCGAGGGTGAGCGCATGAAGCGCGTCTACGCCAGTGCTAAGAAGTACCCTAACGAGGTTGAACACACCTACTCTTTTGTCCAGATCATCACCGCTTGCACTGCTTCCTTCGCCCATGGCGCCAACGATATCGGCAACTCTGTCGGTCCCTGGGCCGTCATTTACTCTGCCTGGAGTACCGGTGACGCTGCCGCCGCCAAGGCTCCCGTCCCTGTCTGGCAGCTTGCTGTTCTCTCCGCCACCATTTCTCTTGGTCTCATCACCTACGGCTACAACATCATGAAGGGTGAGTCTCATCTAAACCAAACTCTAGGTATTCACGAAACTAACAAACAACAGTCATGGGCAACAAGATTACCTACCACTCCCCCAGTCGTGGTTCTTCCATGGAGATGGGCGCGGCCATTACTGTCCTCGTCTTTTCCCAGTACTCTCTTCCAGTTTCCACTTCCATGTGCATCACTGGTGCTACGGTCGGCGTCGGTCTGTGCAACGGTACTCTCAAGGCTGTCAACTTCCAGCGTGTTGGTCTCTTGGTTTTCTCTTGGATCATGACAATCCCCGTCGCGGGCACTCTTGGCGGTGTCCTCATGGGCTTGTTCCTTAACGCTCCTCACTTCTAAGCGCAACGCATCTTTCTCCGGTGGGGACTTTCATTTGATACCATCTTGACTAGACACATAATGTACATGAACAAAAAGGGGGCTTGGCACGGCATACAAAGACGGGTGGTTTGTTAGTAGCATCAAAAGCACAATCATGACAACCTGCATCTTCACAACCGAGCCAAGGACTTGGCGTAGTCGGGAAGTGACTGAGTGATATATATGAAAGCGCAGCCTCGGTGACACTTTTGGGGAAGAATCCCACCGGGGCCGGAGCGGGTGCCCTTCCGCGGCCCGTCCCACTCTGTAAGCCAAGCCAAGCCGGACATGTGACATGTTCATACGACAAGAAACTAAAAGTGTACCCTTTATCTTCGGGGCTTTCTTGGCAGAAGCAAGCTATCACCCTATGGCAGATCACGATGTCTCCGGGGACGATGCAAGGGACCAGCCGCGGTGTAAACCGGGACGGACAGATATTCAATCAATCCCAGACAAACTTGGCAAAACCTAAAGTCAGCTCGTTGAAACAGAAGACAAGACGTGGGCAGCTTCTTTCTTTGTGATTGGGCGCTGAGTTTGATATCGGGAAGAATTGTCAAGACGTCGTGGGGTAACGCCAAGCTTCCATTGTGACTATGCGAACGTGTCATCACCCATCACTTTAACTGCTCATGAGGGTGCCAAGATTACACCATTACCACAGTGAGGGAGAGCCCTGAAGAAGGAGGGTAGCATGATGACTGGAGTTGGCAATAGCTCGTGTGATCAACAATGATGCTTCAGCTTGGCACTCTCTTAAGGGCTGTAGTAGCCATCTGCTCGTCACAGTCTCTGCAGAGAGTGCTTTTCTATTTTTGAATTCATATTGATATGGTAAATGAGCTATCAGCTTCATGTACGGAGTAATCCATCCGTGTTTAAGAGATCTGCTTACCCCCTCATACTTGGCAGACTGGAATTGTGGCGTGATGATAGGTCAGGACACGGTGTTGTAGTATGGCATCAATATAGATACCGAGCAAAACAAGCCAAGTGGTTGCCAAGGGCAAAATCTAATGTGATCCACTCACCTCATCAAAATGGAATATCGAAGCTATTTTTGGATAAACTACGATGTCCTCGCATGGCCCCGGATCCAGCAGACATTCTTAATTGGTTTATTACTAGGATCCAAGGTAAGAAATTGACGAAGAACTCCTTCAGAGCGGAGTCTAGTGTATGATACCCGGGTTTGAACATGAAGCATCTGCCATGCGTGATATTTTTCAAGCAATTTTATTGAAGCACACGTAGAAGCTTCATGATATGAGTCACGAGCTCCAGCATTGTCCTAATAGGAACCATGGAAAGATTTCTCTTGTTGAGTAGGGTCAACTGCGATAGTCAGCAGTTCCTAAGTTAGCTGAGGAGGATTTCAAGCTATCTCAATGCATTTCGACCGTCCCTATATCCCATAGGTAGCACTCCACAAATCGTGTACGGAGATCGTCTTGAGATCGAACGCTTATGCTACGTTTGGAAAGTTTAAACATAACTTCGCGTCTAATTCTGATCAACTTACCGTAGGTGTTTGTTTACAACTTGTGTTACGGATGGATGGGCGCCTCGACTGTGGAGAGACTAGGTTAGGCACAGAATGCTGCCATGATAGTGAACCTATTAAAACCGTCAGCTCCTTGAATCTATAAAACCACACAGCTCGTGGAGGAAAGTCTGCTCCAGAGAATCAAATCAAGTGCCAATAATCACTGCTCATTTGAGTGCGTGCATACGCTCACGTCTATGACAATGTCAATAAATGTGTGGCCCACTGTCCAGTGACGTGAGAGTTCCATATCGACTACGTTGAGGCAATCTTATGCATGTCGTCTATAGCTTCTCGGATATAACTATGACAGACTAAGTACCTACTTGGTATTAACTCGTAAAGTTCACTGCTCAAAGCTCACGTTGCTACGTGCCGAGATAGGAGCAATTATTAACTAGTCGAGCGCCGAGCGAAGCATAAGGTAGACCAGGTTGCCAGGTTTGGCAATGAAGTCAAAGAGCTCGCTCAAATTCAACTCTGGCATAGCTTACTAGTTGATTAGCCGCTTTTGTGACCAAATAGCAGTCAGCAGGGCTTCATGAAGCTTTCATGTGCACAGGAACAAAGTCATCAAGCGTTCATGCGGAAGTTCAGCGGACTGGCCCCGGTCTATGCCCCGGAGCCACGACATGGGCCCCCTTGCTTCAAGCATGAAATTTCGTATTAAATACGATAAAAGCTGAAATTTTATTGGCAGTCCCGTCGGCCCCGCACTGAACCACTAGACCGCCCGCAACAAGGGACAAGTTGAATTCGGCGGGGAGCTTCGCCGAGCCATGGGACCTGTGAAACAGCTACAGCTGATGAGTGACGAGTCCAACTTTTGCTGCGGCAGATTTGCCAGATACAACAACGTTGCAACTATTAAATAACAGTCTACTTGATCTCGTTCGACATCCTTGCAGCACCTAGAAATGTCAAGGAATTGATTCTAAACCGACCATCTCATTACCCTTAGATTTCGAATCGGGTAATCTCAAACAATGCCAGCTGGAATTACCCAACTCTTATCCATTGCTCCTGGAGGACCAGGTTCCCAGGCTCCTCTCGGAACTTCGCACCCAAGGGTGGGGGCTTCTAGCACAAGCATCGATCTCAACCCATGTGTTGCCGCGACATTCTCGGCACCATCGTTACTAGGAGCAGAGTTCCTTTCCTTAGAAGCGTCTCTAGTCGCAAATTTCAGCGGACCAGTACCCGCAGAGTGGAGATTCTCTCAACCTGCCGTCGAACTACACAATGCCTCATTCTGCAATATCACCGTGTCCTACACCCACCCTGGGCACAGTGACGTCGTCAGTGTCGAGACCTGGCTTCCATCCAAGGATTGGAACGGGAGACTTCAAGCTGTTGGCGGTGGTGGGTGGCGCGCTGGCCGGATGCTTCTAAGTTATACTACTATGGCCGGTGCTATCGCGGACGGATATGCCACTGTGACTACAGACTCTGGACTTGGAGACGCTATGGGGCCTGATACGTGGGCTCTAATAAGTCCTGGTAACTCAAATCTATACGCACTGCAGGATCTTGGATCACAGACATTGTATGACGAGGTAATACAAGTGAACATCCCTAGCTGTATTGAGGTTTGAGCTTTGCTAACATGTACGGACTGAAGGCAATCATCGCCAAGCATCTCATTGAGACTTACTACGGCAGAGAGCCTTCTTATTCGTACTGGAATGGGTGTTCGCAAGGAGGTCGTCAGGGCGCGGCACTTGCCCAGCGGTATCCATCAGTCTATGACGGTATCATCGCGGCAGCACCAGCGATTAACTGGGCCGGGGTCCTTATCAACACCATGTGGCCCAGGGTATACATGGACGTCACTGAGAAGTATCCTCATCCATGCGAGCTGCAACAGCTTACTGCTCTTGCTGTATCTGCTTGCGACAGGCTTGATGGAGTTGAGGATGGGCTTATCGCCGACACGAATGCCTGCAAGAGCATATTTGATCCTCACGCATACATTGGATCAGAGTTCTACTGTCCATTGACAGGGAAGTCGGCCAACATCAGCTCCACTGCAGCCGCTGTAGCGAATGCCATGTGGACAGGCCCGTTCACGGCTGAGGGCGAATCAACATATCTGTATGGTTTGGAAATGGGCACTGATCTAGTGTTTGGTGCTCAAACTAGCTGTACGGAAGATGGGAAGTGTACAGGGGTGCCCAACGCCGCTGTCACGCTGTTGTTAGCCTACTTCATCGGCAAAGATCCCGCGATTACGACTACAAAGATATCCTTCAAAGAGTTGGAGAGAGCATACCACTCTTTCAGACAGCAGTATGACGCATACCTGGGGACTGATGACCCAGACCTTTCGTCTTTTCGCAATGCTGGAGGCAAGATGATTACATTCCACGGCTTGGTAAGTTTTTTGGCCATCGTCAGATACATTTACGAACCCCATGTAACTATTAGAATGGACTAACACCAGCTTCAGGCCGATCCGCTTATTCCACCGAACAACACCTTGAACTACTACAAGGACGTTCTGAATCAACAAGATGATGCGCAAGACTTCTACAGGTATTTCCTCGTCCCAGGACTAGGTCACTGTTGGGGAGGCCCCGGTGGTGGCCAACCGACTGCCTTGTTTGGTCAGTTGAGGTCTTGGGTCGAGAACGGAACAGCCCCCGAAAGCTCACCAGTCACTATCAACAAGCCGGACAGAACTCATGAGACGCAGGTAATTTGCCCATTCCCAAAAAAGGCAATCTATAGTGAGACGACACTTGGAGACCCAGCAGGTTGGTCTTGCGTTTGATGGGAAACTTCCCGACTTCATCAAGAAGTACCTTAGTCTACCTTACCTTAGTAGAAGTGTCCAAGTGAATATCTTACAGGATGCATATCATATATTGAAACCAGTGTCCAGCTTCTAGGCTGTAAACTGTCTCGCCCGAGCCCGTACTCTTCCCTTATTTAATCTTATACCTAAAGCATACTGAGAAGATAATGGGCAGTAGTGAGCCCCTGCGGGTACTGCAAGTCATAATATTATGTACGTTTTCCCAATGCGGTGAATTTCCCTAGAGGACAAGCCGCGTAGATGGAGGCGCTACGGTCCACCGAGGCAGTGCTAGACAGGGGGGCTCGATGCCCCGTAGGGCCTTAATTAGTGGCGCTACCCATCCGTCTTCCTTGAATCAGTCCACCTCCCCAACTTCAATGTCCCCCTTTGCTCACTCTCGTAGGAGAAAAGTCTTCAAGAAGCCTCAAAGCACGCCAGTCTTTCCCACACAACACGTTCAGGAGTAATAGCCATCCAGATTCACAGCTAGATTTGGGATACAATACAGTGATGAGCGAACCGGACGCGAAAAGCGCAAAACACGGAGATCCAGGCTGTACGTGTACGACATGCCACATTACGAAGAGGCGATCACATAAGAAGTCCCGGAATGGATGTAAAACCTGTAAGCGAAGAAGAATAAAGGTATGAAGTGTGATCGCAATCCTTCATTCTCATACTAATTCATACACCAGTGTGATGAGGCCAAACCCCAATGTGGGCAATGCTTGAAAGCTGCCATAACCTGCGACTTTACTGCTTCATCCTCAATCACAGACATCGTTCCAACTCATGATGAAATTGTCGAGAACGCTTCTCAGGCAAACTCGCGGAGAAGGGGCAGGCCGCGGAAAAATTGGGACACAGCATCCAAAGGGCTGAGTCCCCAAGAACTCTTCGGATCACCCGATAGCCTGAGATCCAGGTCAACCGACACAGCTCTCGTAGTCACCCGGAACGGGGACCAGCAGGCACAAATAGCCCCGGAATTACCTTGGATATGGACTATAGATGATCTCGAGTTGCAACACCACTTCTTGACATCTGACGATCTTACGTATTCAAATTCACGACTCTGGCGTGAGAAGGTCCCCCGTCTTGCCTTCAGCCAGCATTACGTTCTACATCTGCTGCTTGCAATCTCTGCGCTACACTTTTCCAGAGAGAAACAGAATTCTGCCGATTCAGCTCGATACGAGCAACTCGCGGATGTTCACTACCATATAGGGCTTCGCCAAGTGATGGCAATCATGCCCACATCAAATAGAGACTACGCTGGAGCACTTTACATATCCACTACGCTTGTTTGTGCATATGCATTCGCAAAGAAGCCCAGCCCAGAACACCTCTTGATAATTTCAGACGGAGAGGAAGTGGCATGGTTCGAATTGCTCAGAGGCGTTCGGATCGTGGTTACAACGATGGGATGGGACGCCATTTACTCCGGGGTCTTAGGTCCTTTCCCGGCTGACGAGGACGAAAAGTCACTCCCAGAGCCGGGTCCGACAACACGACCAGTCCAATGGGAGCCTGCGTTAAGCAGTCTTGCGGACATGATATCCAACTCTGGCGACCCAGAAGCCTCCCTCTATTTAGAAATGGTTCAACGTATTTCGTCTTGTTTTGAGACCACCTTTGGCACGATGAAGAAGCCAAAACTTGATTGCAACGGCAAGATGGAGGTCATTATCGGTTGCATTTATGTGATCGAGGATGGTTTCCTACTTTGTCTGAAACACAAGAGGCCCTTTGCACTTCTCGTCCTGGCACACTTTGTTGTGCTGCTCAAATCACTCGAATGGATGTGGTACATAAAGGGATGGGCAAGTCACATTCTTCACGGCATCGCACTGATTTTGGGGCCTCAATGTCGACAATATCTACGATGGCCAAGAGAGGAGATTGAAAGACTTGGCAACGATCGGGACCGTCTCAATGAGGGACAGTCAGTGTAAAGCTAGTATGGGGCATTGCAGTCGGTCTCAATCTTTCCAAGGAGCGGGATTATTCCTTTTACAAAAGAACCTTGTGACCAGGCACACATTCTGATATGAGTTAGCGGGCAATTGATCCGAGGTCAAGTCTACCCACTTGAAGGATGCTTTTGGACGCCCCGCTTCGTGATTTGACGAAAGTCCCTACTTTGCTGCTCAATTCAATAGTTGGAGCGTAAGCGCCGGGCTTTGCAAGACGACTTGATATTCCCTTGCATGAAAGCCGCTGCCCGGATCGACCCGGCACAAGTGTCATATCATTTGCTCCAGCAATTCAGCTTTACAAATACGTTTAGCCCATCTTTTAGCACAGTTGGAATCCTCCAATCACTCCATACTTCAATCCACCGAAGAGTCTAACATTCTTCGGGGTCTGGCTGAGCCACATTGGCACTGCGCCCCCAACTCAGCTCCGGCCGAACGTCACCTTCGATTGGGCGACTGCCTCGAGATGGTGTGAGACGTCAGCGTTGGTTTTGAGGATAGATGGGGTCTTTGGAATCCTGAAAGAGCAAAAGCCCCAGGAGCAGACATGCGGATGTCTTGACTGTACATGTAAGCATGCAACTTTCAGGCAAGATCACCAATTAGAAACTGCCAGTGTGACTCCGCGCCCCGAGTTCGTGCTGTCTTGAAATTGGAACTAATATCTTATGTTTCCCGCACTGCTGTGCTTTGAGTTTGATTTGATCCGACTTTCGTACATCCATGAATCTGAGAGATCGTCCAGTGGTCCTTAGACTCTGCCTCGTGAAGTTCGAGGTGCCGTCTTCAAGTAGCTTGCTGCTTCCGAGTCGATGTGTAACTTTGGTTAATTCCTATAAAGTTACACTAACTACTCATTAGCTGTGTCTTTTGCTCCCTCCTTTACCTCTGCGTCAAGGTCAAGAGACTCAACAGCATCGTTTGACCACAGACTGGCCATCATAGCGAACACTGCTGTCTCGATCTGAGTGTTTCTGTCTGGTGTAAACAACCCAGTTTCTTGTTTCCGAAAATTATAAGACCTCAAGGTCATTGATTACCTCGGCAGACATTGAAGTTCCAAACTTGGTCACACGACGAACAGCAGACGCCTCGGATATTATTTGAAGCCCAAAGATTTAACCAAACCCAGCAAATCGGCGAAAGTATACAGGAATTTGCAATATGAGCCAGACTGCCACCTCTGAGAGAGAAGCGGGCCCAGTCACGAAGGCCATTCGAGTTGCCGTCATTGGCGCTGGTGCTTCTGGTCTGGTCACGGCCAAGTACCTCCGTCAGGCCAGACAGTACTTCGGCGTACCCGATGTCGAGGTCCGTGTCTTTGAGAAGGAGGACGGGGTGGGTGGTGTTTACAAGTACAAGGCCTACGAGGAGGCCGAGGTATGGCAGTCCATCAATTCTCCTTACCACCATGTATGATTCTTGGGGCTGGGGTGTTCCCTTGCATGCAGCATTTCCAAATCCGCGAATATGGCTGACAAGAGTTCCAACTCCTAGATGGTGTCATCAAAGTACCTCACAGCGTTCTCGGACTTTCGTGTCTCAAAAGACCTGCCCGACTTTCTGCCGGCAGAGGAATACGTTCGCTACCTCGAGGGCTTCTGCACCCACTTCGATCTCTGGGGTCTTATCGAAACAAAGACCGAGATTCTTCGAGTTTCTCATACTAGTAGTGGCCACCGCGTCTTCTTTCGCCGTATTGAAGGGTTGAAAGCTGCAGACAGGCGAGATGGGGAACAACAAGAAGAGTCATGGGATTGTGATGCCATCGCCATCTGCTCCGGTCTCAACAACGTGCCGTCCATCCCATCCATCGAAGGTCTTGAGAACATGAGTTATCTCCATTCCTCAAAAGTTAAGGAAAGGAGACAGTTTGGGTCGAATACGTCCATAATGATCCTAGGTGCAGGGGAAACGGCAATGGATATTGCCCACCTGGCCGTGACCTCGGAAGCCCGGGAAGTCGTAATGTGCCATAAAAGCGGGTTCTTCTGCGCAAAGAAGGTAAATGAATCACATCCTGAGCCTGAAAACAAAGCAAAACGGCCTTGCGATTTGATAGGTCTGGCATACTTCAGCGCTGACTATATCTGTAGGTTGTGCCTTTACCAGTTGTCATGCACGTTTGGAAGCCGGACCCTCGGCAAAAGCCGGTCGATACAGCAATTGCGAGTTTTCTAGACACTGCATATCTTCCAGAGCGTCTCCAACACTCCAGCCTACTCTGGACCGTGTACGACAAGACGTTCAAGTGCCTGCATTATATCTCTGGCGGAACGGCGGCTGGCCCGGATCAGTGGATCGGAGAGATTGAGGGCGATCGCAACAATGTTGACTCCTGTAAGTACCTATGAATGAGTATGAATGGCTCAAATAAGTCTATGGCTGACTTGCGAAGTGTTTCTGGTCAAATCTGATCGCGCTTTACCATATCTTAACGAAGGAAATCGAGCCCAAGACATACTCTCTCGCATAAGAGCTTTTGTGATGAATGTTGAGTTGAAGCCGACAGGGGGTAGAAAGATATTGACGGCACCTTGGCCATCGGCTTTCCGAGAAGACGGCACTGCCGTTTTTGCAGACAACAAGAAGTGTGAGCACGCTGAGGCGCTATCACAAGTCGTCAAGCCCGACTTGATCATCGCTGCAACTGGATACGTGCGTCGATTCGACTTCCTAGAAGATGACTACCCAAAACCCGACGAGTTGGATGTACGCGGGATTTGGAGGCGCGGCGAGGTGACTGCGGGCTTTATCGGCTTCGTACGCCCCGGCATTGGTAGGGTCCCCTTGGCTGTTATGGATGAGAGTCTGTCATACTTACACCATTTCTTCAGGTGCAATTCCACCTCTCGCCGAACTGCAAGCCCAACTGTGGGCTCTTAACCTCCTCCGGCACAAGTATCCTCAAGAGATGGCACTGTCTACCGCTGATTCCGACAGAGGAGAGTCGAACAACGCTGTCCCTCACTATGAGGTCGACTATGCCCTCAAGGCTCGAGGCGGACATGACTTGTTTAAAAGTAAGCACGGCGTAGAACAGGAGTCTTATGCTTATCAACTTGCTCTCGATATGGGTAGCGCTCCAACCTTTTCTTTCATGAGACGCCAGGGCTTCAAAGCATTATACACGTGGGCAATGGGGTCGAATTTCAATACAAAGTTTCGACTCATCGGTCCTTGGAGATGGACAAAGGGCGCTCTTCCAATAATGCGCGGCGAGCTGTTTGATGTTGTCAAGCAAACAGGGGGCGGTGTTTGTAAGTCTATGTCTCAGACTGTGTATTGTATTATACTGAAAACCATCGCTAATTTTCGATCTCAGTCTTCACAACCTACACTCTTCTTCCTCTCTTACTATTTGGCTCTCTTACCCTGCTACTCCAGGCAACAGCCGGCATATTGAGACTGGCGGGAATGAAAGAACGGGCCAACAGAGTTCTGGGCTCAGGAAATATCCCACGCCGCGAAGGCGATGGCCTCCAAGAATGGGAGTAATGGTTCGTTTTGGGTGAAGATCTTGGGTTGACTTGAAAATGATCTCCAGCACTTACCAGATAAGTTTGATGGACTGGACGATGAGAAAGCTTTGTGACGTTTAATGAAAGAGGGAAGACATTGATGTGAGATTGCCTCAATTTAGCTGTATACCTTTTGAGGTTCACAACAAGTCAGATTTGATGATCGAGTCCCTCCCGTCTTGATCCCTCGTACACTGAAATTTACATGGAGGCCCGGGGGGCTTCGACCAGGTGTTCCAGCGGCTGGATGATCTCAAGTGCCCCGCGCGGGGTACCTGGACGGCCTGTTGTTCTCAGTTCCTCAGGGACCGACTGCAAGCCGTTGATTGGCCGCGCCTAATTTTCCCGATAACGATAAGACCAATTGACGCTTCACCCAAAAACATTTTTTCTTTCTTGCGACAGCTTCGCCTGGACGAATCTTCAGCCCGGCAAAGTCTACCTAGTCGCAACCATGCACCACCTCGTCCAATCGCACCAATGGGTGTCCCTGAAGCTGCTTTCAGAAGATACGAAGGTGCTGCAGATTGTTCCCAATACGTATGTTGACGAAGCAAACGTCTGGTGTGACGACAGCTAACTCTTTTTCCCTTGCTTCAAGGACGATTTCCCTAGGTAAACTCGGCTCGTTCCCCAGCAACCTCGTCCTTGAGCGGCCATTCCACATCACCTACGAGATCCAAGATAGACGCGATGGCGAGAACTTCAACAGACTGCGCGTCGTCCCTACGAGCGAGATTCATGCCGATGCCCTGGCCGATTTGAACGCCCAAAACGCCGAGGAGGAGGGCACCACCCTCGAGAATGTCATCGCCGCCCCCGATGGCGCCGAATTCGAATTGGTGGACCAGGAGAGTGGCAATGTCGTTGCGCACTCACGCCGCGAGATTATCGACGACGCCGCCCGCCAGACTCTGACCGCCGAGGAGATTGAGCAGCTGAAGCAGGGTAACACAGATGCCGGCAAGGAGATCATTGCGAAGCTACTACTGTCGCATACCGCAATCGACCAGAAGACGGCCTTCTCCCTTGCCAAGTACAAGTTGCTCAAGACCAAGAAGTACATTCGACGCTTCATGATACAACCGCTTGACCCTCTCACGCTGGGCAAGTGGCTCTTGGAAGAGAAGGATGCTGGAAAGGTGCTGGAGATGAGGGAGGAGATGATGGGACTCTTGAACTCGTGGGCCAATGTCCACTTCGGCGGCGTATCTCCTGTGGACAAGCCCGAGACTGTGACGATCGATGGTTCTGGAATGCTGGACAAGTCCGAGATTGGCGGTCGCTGGCTTGTGGTGGAGGACACGGGAGGTCTCGTCACCGCAGCCATGGCCGAGAGGATGGGCATATTATACCCCAAGGACCCCGAGGACGTTGAAGAGATGGAAGATGCTACAGATATTGTCAAGGAAGACACGAACGGAGTCAAGCCAGCAGACGACACCACCGCCATCATCGACGATGCTGCGGTAGAACAGGCACAGGAGACAAGCACAGAGGCTACAGCACAAGACTCGACAACAAAGCCCGAGGGGACCACAGCTGATGCCACAGTGGCAAACAATGGCGAGACAACAAAGCCGCAACCACCTCGACGAAGACACCCGCCCCGTCGCGACGATTTTGAAGCCATGTTCGCCCCGACCAACACCCTAACGCTGATCCACCCCAACAGCCAGCCGAATCTCGCCCTTCTCAAATACTACAACTTTGACAGCACAAATCCCAACCCGCCTTACCCCTTCACCCGCTCGCCACCAACCTCTTGCCCATTTCCTGGCTGCAACTCTTGGAGCCCGAAGAGGACGTCACATACTCAACACCGCCCCCCGAGGTTTCGGACGAAGAGCTGCACTCCTGGAAGGCTAATCGCCGCGGCAACTACCACCGGAAGCGAAGACGTTGGGCGAGAACCCGCTACATTGTGGACTCGACGCGCGCTGGTGGTTTCTCTGGGCTCGTCATCGCCAGCACGATGGATACCGTGTCCATCCTGCGTCACACCTTGCCGCTCCTGGCCGGCGGAGCGCCGATTGCCGTCTACTCGCAAAGCATCGAGCCGTTGACGGAACTTGCCGATTGCTTCAGTATTGCCCGCCGCGCAGGCTGGTCATCAAATCCTCCGGCCGAGGCGGCTGGCAAGTCTGTTCAGGAGCTGGAGCGATGGGAGGGATCGGACGATTTCCCCATCAACCCGACTCTGCTCTTGGGTGCCAATGTGCAGACGAGTCGCGCAAAGCGCTGGCAAGTTTTGCCTGGCCGCACGCACCCCATGATGATGGGGCGTGGCGGGGCGGATGGCTACGTTTTCACGGGTTGGAAGGCAGTGCCGGCGGAGGGCAAGGTCGAGGCCAGAGGCAAGTTCAAGAGGAGAAAGGTCGAAGCATGAATAAAGTGAGGATGTTCTAGCTAGACACCGACGCAGCGTGGGATGGCGGTCGAGGGAGAGAGAGAGAGCACGGAAGGGATAAGAAAACCTCGGGCATCAGAAGGTTTGCATATAGATACCCTAACATCCTCCCATTGAAGCTTATCGGGCTGTGATTGGAGTAATTGGCATCGTCATATTGGCCTGGCTTATTCGCTCAAACATTTTCCCAACTAAGGTATTCTCTCTTGTCTCTGGCGATTCTTTTTCGACGACCCGCATCACAACGTCTTGCCCATGAACTTTCTCTTGGTAAAGCTCAACCACCACTTGCTCGGCTTTCCATCGCCGCCTTCTTCGTACACCCGTGCCAGTAATCGGGCTGCCAACTCTTGGCGAACTTGGGCCATGTACTGGCGGAGTTGCTCGGCGTCTTGTCTGTCGCGCGGGGGCTCGTACATCTGTGTCATGGTCAGCCTCTAGAACTTCCACTGAACCTCGGGGGGCGATCGTACCTGGTTCAGGGGCCACGCCGGGTCGCCGGGAATGGCAAAGTTGGTATCAAGGGCCACATTCATGACATCCTTGGAAGCATCACGCACGCCGGCACTAGGCTTGATCTTGGTCAGACAATCGCTGACGAACCAGATGCCGTAGACCAGCAGGCGATCAGCTGGGCCTTGGAGCTCGAAGTTGCGGAAGAAGGTGTTGGCGCGGAAAAGGGCGAGGACCTCGTCGAGAATGTCGTAGCTTTCGCTGTCTGGATCGGGAGACTCATTGGCGGGCAGAGGCGGGTTGGGGAAGGGCAGAGTATAGGCCGGGCCGCGGGTCTTCGTGCGCAGGGGCAGCAGCGGGAAGTTGCCTATTGTGCGAGGGACGTTTGGGTCGGCATTGAACATGGAGTTGTAGGCCTGGGTAGAGGGCATCGTCAGCTCGGTTTAGGCGGGCTGAGGAGTAGTTTGGGTTGGGCTGCGCCATAGCCTCGGAGAGAGAGCTCAAGTAAGCCAAGGGAGGAGCATTGCATAGACATACCGGCATATTGAAGTGTATTCCTGACCAAGCAATTGGTCTCGTAGGATGTGAAGCTGGTCTTGATGAGGATTGGTCGCAAATGCAGTTGAGAGACGTCAACTGAAGATGGAGAGCAAGCGGCCGATGGTGGGGCGCGACACTTAGCTGACGGGAGGCACTGACGTCCACCTCACAGGCTCACACTGCCACTCTCCAAGTCTCCAGCACTCTCCTGGACTCCTGAGGCTTGACGAGGTGCTTCAGCCTCACGTTGAATTGTGGGGTCGATTGGCTGTGGCGCAGCATTTGCGCTGCACGTGCCTAGGTACCTTATGAAGTTGGAGTCACGAGAAATCAAGTCATGAGTTTGCTTCGGAACCTTGATGACTCAGGCATTAACAAAGCCATGCGCAGCCACAGAATCGATGACATGGCCCATGCCCAGTACGTACTGTTGGATGGGGGCTGGTGCCTAGGATCACATGACTTCGCACTCTCCGCGTGTCGCAGTTTCCCGGTTGCAAGCGGGCCAAGAGTCCCAGGCAGTGGCAAGTCGCGCCCTTCTTTCCTCTCAAAGAGGTGTGAAGCCGAAAAGATGCGCGTGTTCTGGGCCCCTTTTTTTGGTGGCCGAGGCTTGCAGTTTGGCGGCGGCGCGGTGGATGAGGAAGGAGGAGGAGTCGTAGGTGGGCATACCTGCCGTAGGTAGACTCATGGAGCAGGCAGGCCGCAGGCACTGGAAGGCACCATCGCGATGGCGACGGGGAACTGGCCTGGACAAGACGGGAATGGGGTCTGGCACACACACACTCCGGGTTTACACAGGCGAAAAGTGACAGCGCAACAGCCAGGGAAATCGACGAACAAAAGTTGGAATATTTGACTCGCGCACCCGCGTTTCATTCCCTCCTCCCTTCGTCCCCCCTTGTTCACCTTGCTCTCTCTTCTCTCTCTAAGTCTTGTCTCTCTCCACCGGGCGCGTCATATTCGTCAACAACAAATCCGTTTTTCCTCGACGGAGTACCGTCCTCATAGACGGTAGCCCAAACATCCCGACATCCCTCTCATATCCTTTCGTTTTCCTCTGCCTCGTGTGCCGACAGTGACGCTTAAGCCTCAAACCCTTGAAAGCTCTGTCGATCTCAACAGATTCTAGACATATCGGTACCCACACAGAGCACCACTTCTCTGACCGTACATCAAACTGCATACGGATATTCTCCGATCTCTCTGCGGATCCGGGTCCTCTTTTCTCTCACTCAACATCACTTCGCGCACCCAGTTGCGCAGACTACTGTCCGCCTCACCGAGTCCATCATAATCCACCGGCCATCATCCACCGTTAGTCCACACCCCCAAAGTGAAAGAAGGGGCGCCAAACCATCTTCCCCCCGTCGCGTCGGTGCTCCAAGGCTCCAAGCTCAAGATTCAACCCGACACTGGGCCCGCGGCGCAACGCAAAGGCCCCCCCTAAAAACCAATACTACTTGAAAAGAACGAAAGGGAGAGCGCCACAACCCGATGCTCATTTTAGAGTGAGACCCCCCAATCACTATTCCTTTATTGTCACAACCTCGTTGTTTTCATTCCATCCCCCTCGTGCCCTCTTACCCAATTATAGATTTCACCTTCATTCCTCTTTACCTAGACCCGGACCATGTTGACAAAACCACAGATCAGTATTCAATAGCACCAGTTTCGCACGACAACTGTGCAACTTCTTCGACTCCTCCACCGCCGACATGCATCTCCCCAGCAGCGCCCCGACGGCTTCGTCAATGTCCTCGCCCGAGCCCATTCACGCGACGCCCCCGACTTCGAGTCCCATTCCTGCTATGCCCTCCCCCGCCAAACGCAAAAGAAGACTTCGTGTCTTTCGGCCAGACAAAGGCTCCCTCTACGACAAGATGTGGGATCATGCTGGACTCTCCCTTTTCGTTCGTCCCATCTGCTGGACCGAGCTGCACGTACAACTCCTCGACGCCAAGTTCGTTGAGCTCCCTCCGTGCGACACGCCAGTTCCTCCTCCATCACCGCGCGGGGCCCCTGTCTCCCCGTCGAGATGTCACATGAAGCCATCAGTCGCGGCCTCGACACTAAGTAGAGAACTTACGGCCATGCTCGCGCCGGGATCCACGAGGACCTTCTACACAAACTCCGTCCGCACAATCATGTCTACCCTCTATCCGGGGAAGCTGTCGCGCACCCGAACACAGCTTGATTTGCACCTCTACTTTGGCGGTCTAGTGTATCGCGATGCATGCCGCGTACAGGTTGCCTGGGATGCGATGCCCTCGCGCAGCGGCTCGATCGCCTCCTTTCAATCCGCATCAACCCGCCCGGCCGAATCCTTTACTATTGTGCCGACGGGTTCCAACGGTAGCGCAAGCAACATGAGCAGCGAACAAACGGCCTACGCTCAGTCGCAGCCCGTCCTCGCCTATGTTGGCAAGATGCAGATCGCGGCGACACGGAAGAACATGTACCGCGTTATTCAAGGACCCAACAGATCGTACAACGGACCGGTCGAACGTCTACAACAACTACGCTCCAAAATGTTCGTTCCCAGCAACCCGACGCATGACCCGTTGCTCGTGGGCATCTTGTTGGCCATGGCGCAAAGAAGGTTCCACGGCGAGCCACAGCCGTCAGCGAATAAGTGGGTTTCCTCGCGACCCATGCCTACTGGGCTAGGAGAGCCTGAGTTTCACGATGTGACGGTGCAACTGCTCACAAACGACAACGAGACATCCGAATTCATCGTTTACAAGGCCACGGTCACAGCAGATCTGCTCCGCAAGTTCCACGAGCCAACCAAGAATCCCCGCGTAGGGGCCGAGAGGACACTAGCTGAGAGAATCGGAGAGGTTGCGGATGCGGGTGGCATGCGCATCGAATACACAAGAGTGCCTGTCTGGCCGATTCTCGGACTCAAGGAAAGACTGGGCAAGGCGCTCGGCAAGGAGGTTGTGGGAGAGTTCGATGAGGACAACATCGAGACATGGGAAGAGGAAGCGGAGCGAAACCCCGACAAGCTCAAAAGAAGAAGAGATCGTGAGGCTCTCGTCGAAGTGTTTAATGGCAGCTTCGAGGAAGAAGCTCAAGCCGACGGTATGCCTCTCAGTGGGAAACGAAGATGTTTAGTTGACGAGGAAAGCGGGCAGGTGGGCATGGTCGTCTGATGGAAGTTCATTGCCCTTGATCATTGCATAACGAAGCCACGAGGCGTTATTGAGAGAAGCATTCATCGCATTTCTCCGAGGCCGCTGCGGATGCGGCCACGGCATCGGGAACATGGATTTGGCTCTGTTTTATCGAGTAAATGGAGTTATGGGATGTCAGCGGTGAAAATTATGGCCGACTCCTGGCACGGATAGATGAGAAACATTTTGAACCCGGCAACGGTCAGAGTCATGATGGTGTTCTTCTTTTTCACCCCCTTTTTCATAGGGAGATCCAAGTAGGAAGGGATAGGTCTGCGATATATTCGAACGGCTGCATGGATTGTTTGGCATTGAGAAAGAAGACTTAACGTTAGATTCCCCGACACGAGCCAAGAGTCCAGTCGACTCAGCTAGTGTCAGCGATCAGTGCTTTGCAATAAAACTAGTTTTCGAGCACACGAAGCCCCATTGCCTAGCGATCACGATATTATCTAAAATATTGACAAGAATAGAGCCGTGGTTTTCCAGAGTCAGAAACGTTATCAAACTAATATCCTACAAAAGATCCAATGTGATTAATTTATGTAATCCAACCAAGACCACGCCTCGCCAGGCGTATCATCGCGTCGACTATTTGGTTCTTACGCAGGACTGGGGGTAGCAACGCCCACTCGATCCACTTGAGTAGCGGTATCATTGTCTCACTCGGTACCACAGCCTGACAGTCTGCCTGCTTACAGCCTCGAAATGTGTGTCATCGCCAACCTCCCCCAGGCCATCGGTATGTAGCGGATGCTGCCGGGCGCCAAGCCAGATGCTTTCTTTTCCTCCTGTCACTACGGGCTAGTTCCCCCGCACCTTCTACATTCGCCTGGGGCTATTGGATCCTTGACATCTTCACGTGCTCGAAATTCCACAGATGGGCGCGGCAAGACGAGTCGTTGTTCACACTCAAGTTGAAGTATTGTGTGAAAGCCGAAATAAAGACGGGAGCGCCGTTTGATGCGAGCGGTCTCCGAGACCATGTTGTGTGCGTACGAGATGAGGAAGAGATTGGGAGAAGAAGTTGACTTCCTCCTCTCCTTCGGCCGAGATAATATCCCCCCGAGTTTGCCTCGACCTCTTCTCTATAAGTATAGCTCACATTGTTACACATGGCCACGTTTTCTTTCAACTCTCATTCTTGGCCATAGTGTCGCTCTACTATTCTCTCCTTCCACCTCGCTCTCTCACATTGATCTAGCACACGATGATGGCTTCTCTGAAATCAGCTCTGGCTGTCGTTCTCATCCTAGCTGGTCGGTCAGCGGGCAACTCTGAGCATCACCACTACGAACTCCGTGCTGCTCCAGCTACAGTAGATGCCCCGGCCGGCACCCTCGTCGGACGATCACTCGGCTCCGTCGACACTTTCTCTGGCATCCCCTATGCAGAACCGCCTATCGACCCGCTTCGGTTGAGACCGCCTCAAAGACTCAACTCCTCCTTGGGTAAGTTTGATGCCACAGGGAACGCAGCTGCATGCCCTCAGTTTCTCTTGTCCACCGACAGCCGGAACATTCTCCTTGATGCTGTTGGCTCATTCCTTACACTACCGTTCTTCCAACCCATCACCGGCCAAGAAGACTGCTTGACGGTGACAATTCAGCGTCCGTCCGGCACACAATCCGATGCGAAACTTCCAGTCTTGTTTTGGATATTCGGGGGTGGCTTCGAGTTCGGCTCGACATCTACATACAGCGGGGCAAGTTTTGTCCGCGATGGAGCCGACATGGACCGTCCCTTCATCTTTGTTGGCGTCAACTATCGATTGGGAGGCTTCGGGTTCTTGCCTGGCTGTGAAATCCTGAAAGATGGCGCAGCCAACTTGGGACTGTTGGATCAACGTCAGGCTTTAGAATGGGTTGCCGAAAATATCGCTGCCTTTGGAGGCGACCCTGACAAAGTGACAATCTGGGGCGAATCAGCCGGCGCGATATCTGCTTTCGACCAGATGGCACTGTATAACGGCAACAACTCTTACCAGGGTCGACCACTGTTTCGAGGAGCCATCATGAACTCTGGCAGTGTTATCCCAGCTGATCCAGTTGACTGCCCCAAAGGCCAGAGAGTCTATGATGCTGTCGTGAAGGCAGCTGGTTGTGAAGGATCAGCCAGTACCCTGGATTGCCTGCGCAGCGTCGATTACGAAACATATATGCGTGCCGCAACGGCGGTGCCAGGCATCCTTTCATACGAAGCTCTTGCCCTGTCGTATATTCCTAGACCAGACGGCATAGCACTGGTAGACAGCCCTGACATCCAGGCAAAAGAAGGACGCTACGCCGCGGTGCCTATGATCATCGGCAATCAAGAAGATGAGGGGACATTATTCGCACTCTTCCAGCCTCTGGTGTGGACAGCGTCACAACTGGTCAACTATCTGTCAGAGCTGTACTTCCACAACGCCTCAAAATCCCAGTTGACCACCCTCGTCAGCACTTATGACAGTCGTAATTCTGCAGGAAGTCCCTTTCGGACGGGGATCTTCGAGATCTATCCTGGCTTCAAACGTAGGGCTGCCATCCTTGGAGATCTCGTCTTCACTCTGGCGCGCCGCTCGTTCCTATCTGTAGCCAAAGCAAAGCACCCGGACGTCCCAGCTTGGTCGTATTTGAGCAGTTACAATTACGGCAATCCCGTGCTCGGTACATTCCACGCTTCGGATATACTGCAGGTGTTTCTCGGGGTCTTTCCTACCTTTGCGCGGCAGAGCACCCGGTCTTACTATCTCAACTTCCTCTACAACTTGGATCCTAATGTTGGATTGGGCGGTTACGCGCAATGGCCGGAATGGAGTCAGGACCAGCAACTACTCTGGTTTCTAAGCGATCGAACAGAACACCTCAAAGATGACTTTCGAAACGAGAGCTACAGGTTCATCTACAACAATATGCAGTCTTTGAACTTCCGGGATGACTCGGATGTACTGCCGCGGTGGTCTCTTTGAAACATCATGTACTCACACACAGGCCGCAGGTAGTCAGCCTGAGGTGTGGTCGGCCTGTTTCTTCTTCTCTTTTGACGGGGTTCTTCTATCGAAAGCGAAAGGGGTATTGCCAACGCTAAACTATGTACGTAAATGAAGATATGTATCTGGACAATAACTGTTGACTGGATCTGGCTCCGGTGATCCCAACATGATTTGCTGCAAGTTTTCGTTAGTGGTGAAGTGAAAGTCGAGCGGGATTGAATAGCTCACCTTTGAAAAGACATCAGCTTGACGGATGCCCATCTCCTCCGCAATCTTTGCAAGCCGGGCTTTCACATAGCTCCGTTGCTTCCTGGTCGCGAAACGACTCGATCCAGTGGCCAACAAAGGCCACATACAAGATACACCAGCTAAGCCTTTGGGCATCTCGGATGTACCGCATGGGAAGTATGGAGTACTCAGAGCATCACCAGTCCAACCGAAAAAATACGGAGTGCTCGAGATAATGTCCGCCACTTGCTCAGTCCCAATGCGATTGGCGTCAATGTACTCCCTCGTCAAAGTATGATCGCTCGGTGCGCAGACCCACGCGATACAACGGACGATGACCTGGTTGAGGAGAAGTCGAGATACATGGGTATTGATGTGCTTTCCAGCTGCCCATACGTTCGGGTAGTCGTAAATAGGTCCTGGAAATGCCGAAACGTAGCCAATCTTGTCCTCGGGAACCTCCGCAGCTGATCCTGAGATGACTTTTCTCCAAGCTGGCGGACACTTGTCGAACCATACACCAAGGTCGTCGTCCATTTTCCGCGCCCTCTGTAGAAGCTTCAAAGCTTTGTCGATCTTGTCGGTAGTCCGTGCTCCCTTCAGGAGACTGTCGGCCTCGCCACGGATGAGTGTCGTCTGGAGGTTCAATACCAAAGCTTGGTGGCCAACCGTATCGCAGACTGCTTGCCGTGCCCACCAAGTCAAATCTTCCAAAGAAATATTTGCAAAGAAGGTGTACTGCCGAACCTGTTTTGCGCGTTAGATCACCGGTTCTTGACACAACATTTTGTTTGTAACAAAGAAGAACGACGTACCGATGTCGCCCGAACGAATTCAAACATGCTCAAGCCTATGCCGGATGTTGTCTGTTGCGGTCCACGTAGCTTGACTATCGCAGTTGCCCCAGAAATATGCTTCTTGAACCCAGACATTTCAACGTCATCTGAGACCAGTCCTTCGTAAAAGGCCAAAAGGATTGCCGAGGCAAGCGTAGTATCCTGCCTCACAGCTATTTTGTCTTGCATAGCTCGAGTCAAGTCTTCTAGCGCTTTGCTATAGTGTAGATGAGCCATCGAGGACAATCTTCGCGAGTTCGGCCTACCAGCCAGAGCGGCCATGGATACGGCTGAGAAGGCTGAGTGCAAAGGAGAAGCTTGGTAGCTGGGCATATTCAGTAGTGGTAATACGAATGTGAGAATCCCTCTACCAACTCCCGTCGGTGGAGCCAGCACGTAGTTTGCCAAAAAGTAGCATGTTGCTTGTTGGTCGAGAGGTGTTTGCAAGGTGTGCGGCATGCCATATGTCCCCCCTTCAATGTCTTTGAATGATACGAAGGTGTCGGGCGCCTGATTGCTGATGTACGATAAAGAAGAGGCGTATGACATTGAAGGCGACGCTTCAGAGGAAGACGAATTTGAGTACCTGTCAAACCAGTCGTCTTCTGTGATTGGAATAATTTGCTGTTTTCGCGGAGGTGGTGCTGCTGGCGGTGTCCATTCCATCACCTGTGGTTGGGTTTGGCATTCGTTTTCCGCATCCTGTTCCGTCGCGCGACCCTCCCGGATAGCCTTGCGCAACGCAGCCGACTTGGCTTTGCGGATGGTTGATTGGGTCTCATCGCGGAGGTTGATTTCGAATGCATCTCGATAGCCAGGGCAGACTCTTTTCGACTTGGCGCATTTGAGGCAAAAGGGCTTTGTCTCGTCACACTTGATCCTCCTCGCGCGGCAGAGCTTGCATGCCCTGCTCGGGTGACCCGTGTTGACCATCTTTGAAATGCAAATGATCTAATGATACGGTAGTACTGTTGTTTTCCTTTCCTCGAATAATGTGTCCTATGCGCGCGATCCACGGCCAGTTGACGGTTCAGGTTTCGACGGGGTTTGTGTCATGTGGGCGAAACCCCCTATCAAAGTAGGAAATTCGAGGAGGAAGGAGAGGGGCGGACGTGCCTCCCTAAGACATAAAAGGAAAATGTGCAGACAGAACCGGACTCGTGTCAGACGCGGCCGAGGGCGGCTGTCGATGAACGTCGAGAACAGACTGCTGACGGTTGACACAAGATGGAAGAAGCCGCACAAGGAAGTTAATATGTTTCAACTCTAAAACCCGCCCCGCTTGCTTTGGTGACATTCAGCAGCGCCGCTAGTTACAAGGCATCTAGCTCAGAAGATGACGTTGCGAGTCAGGGTAAGGGAGGATGGATAACCGTAGAATGGGAGACGGAGAACGATGCTCCTTCAATAGATGTCAGCCGCTCTGGGGGGAGGGTGGCCTATTGCACAAGTCTGTTCGGCCAACCGTCAAACCCGACAGTTCAACCTTGGATAGAACCTCTCAGCACATGTCGGCATGCCTCCCCATCGGCGGCTTGAGCGAGTGCGAATTGTTGTTGTCAAGATGCGCAGCAGTAACATCAGACGAAACGGCTAGCCCAAGCGTCACTGCAACTGAAAGAGTGAAACCGGAACTCCATGCGAAGACAACTGGAGTTTCTGAAACCTAGCCACCTATAATTTGACGCATGAAAGTATCCGAACAGGTCTGGCGCCGTTCTTGTCCCCGTCTTCTGGAAGCCTGCCGGTTTAGACAGAGGCCATCTCGGTAGCTCTCAGAGCATCTGCTCCTAGCCAAGAAGTCTTGGAATGGAGATGACTGGGGGATCTTTTGCCGGTACACATTGCCTTACAATATTCTGTTCTAATTATGTCTCTGATTGTTTCTTGCTTGCCGAATCTGCCAGTCGTTGTCATCCTGTGGACCCGTGCGACTTCCACAAGGCTCAATGGATCATGGCCTAAGACTTGTCTGGCAGAATGAGCTCAGTCTGAAAACTTGAGGGTTAGATCTGGAACTCGAACTCAGCTCTAGCTTGCTCCAGAAAGGGAAAGTCCACTCATCTGACGAAGATAATAACCCCGAACAAGAAAACCGTCGGATGGTTTGGAGGGGCAGAAGCTCTGTATGCCGCCCACGCTGCCCCGAATACGGCTCACATGTCATGGTCTTTTCTCGGCATTCTCCTACAAAACCCGACGGATAGAAGAGTGTTCATTTCGCTCCCAGCAGCGAGTTCCCAGTCACTCCAGTCTTTGCAGGCTGAAGCCGTCGTCTGATAGACCGAATTGACGCGTTCACCCGCGAGTCTGGTTTCTTTCCTGACATGACGTGACAGCTTGCACAACATCCTCGGTCTCAGTATCTCTCTCTGCAATTGCCGAACTAAGTCTGTGATGAGAATCCGAGTGGGTGGAACACCTATTGGAGCGGTGTTCTGCCAGGCCTCAGGATTCTCATCCCAACGCACTTCCATCGATGCCAGAATCTTTCCACGGGGACAATAGCAGAGAACATCTCCAGACTGAATCAGTCCTGTACGAAAGAGATGATTGATGCTGTGATTCGACAAGGATACATGTACTAAAGCAATACACTGACGGAATCACTAGAACTCTGAGCACGCGAAACGTGATGCATCGGGCTCATTTATCTTCTCCATCAGGCTCGAGAAGCCATCATCGACATTCCAGCCGAACGCGGCACCACTACTATGCCAGACACACACAGGTGGCTGTGCACTGATTGTACCAGCTGCTACGCGAAATTTTCCACGACTACAGCATCGGAATCCAGAATTCTGCTGCACCTTTGAGACCAGACTCAGTTCCGCATGGACCAGGGAGCAATGGCCGTTTTCTCTACGCGTTTCCAGACTTCCAAGAAAACACACGAGACAAGAAAATGAAGATCGTCAAGTCAAACAAATAGTTACACAATATTGGCGTTGACGCGAGGGCTCTGTGCTAAAGGAAAGAAGACACAATTGATCAATTATCGAGGAAACGGCAGAAGTTCAGAATGCACTACAAAATACTGGTCGGCCCGTCGGAATCTCTTACTGATCTTCAACGTCGCCCGTAGCGGCACCTTTCGTCCGCTGACTCGAGTATCAGATGCCCATTCTCGAAACCCGAATCGCACCGAATGGTAGACAGAGTGAGCCGCTCCAGCCGTAGCTGCTGTAGGCGGAATTCGGATCAGAGGAGCGGACTTGCGATCGGCCGACAGCCCACGCAACTGGCATACGTCGAGCACTGACATGGTGCAGTTTTCCCCAGGAATAACCAAGCAAAGACGTGATTTAGCCGCGGGGAGTCCTGCGTAGAAAGGTCCGGGAAGTGGGTGAGGGACTGGGTTATGCCTTGCAAACGAGCAGCGCGGGATAGGCTATCCTTTCCTTGAGTTTTACTATTAGCTTCCCACCGGTAGAACAGGCGTATCAACTCCAGATTTCAGCTCATGTCGCTGAGTCCGATGTGCACAGTCTTCAAAAGTTGGGGTCCTTGCCCGCGGATACGCTAAGGACATGAGAATAAGACGTTGTTGGCACTGTTGGGTAAGGTAGGTGAGCACTATCAAGTCCGAATTCCAACTCCGTTACCCGCGGCCCTGGAAACATTTTTAAAGTATCGCAGTACGAAACCAACAGGGGCTGCCGTGCGACATTTTCCAGGGTCAGGGGGACTTAATGGACGATCATATAGCTGAGCAGCCTCCGCCAGTACACGTGTACAAGCAAGCGTTTTCCTTACCGGCAGTTGGTGCAATGACCACATCGCGATCTGCAGCCCCGGCACGATTTAAGCTTGATGCTGGCTCAAGGCAGATCGACGCAGGCATATTATCGCGATCCTCTTGTCAGCGGGCAGGGCCATCGATCCCCGCCCTAGTAGAGAGTTGTTAGGTTACCGAGACCGATGCCGTCTACGGATACTTATCATCTTGAAGCCAGCTCTCCGGCCATACGGCCGATCATGCGGCCGAGATGGAATTTCAGACACCTCCGAAGCCCCCATGAATCTTGGTCACCACCATCTAACGCTACAGCTTTGCGGGAGGCGGGAAGATCATCGAGGCCGATGCGCCTGTCAATCATCGCGGGAAGAGCAGACGCTGTCAAGCAGAAAACCTTCTCTCGCAAGCTCAGACATCTTGACACAGCACACCCACAGGATAGACACCTGCCTGAATAAACTCCTCTTAAATCCACAGACTGATCAGTGCTTGCATTTTCTGTCTCTTTCAAGTGAGTGAGCCAAGCTCGCTCCAGTCTGACACATGGAAACTGCTCGCCGGAATAACGGCCCGTACAGCAAGAAGTACGAAGTGTGTAAGAAACGTGGAAGTTCCTCCCGGAAGTCATGGCAAGATTATGTTGTATTAAAATTACCACATTAGTGCGCACGGAAGAGATCCAGGCAAGGATTCACTATTTCCAGCCAGCACGAAAGCTCGAGATGGAAAATCAGCCGCAGCATCAGGTCGGACTCGCATTGCTCGCATCTTCGAACGGCACAAAGAGATGACAGGATGATTGACGGAAGAGATATTCATGGCAGCCAGTTGCCTTATTGGGCTGATAGACCCGTCAGGATGGGTCACAGTTGGGTGCATGTTTTGGGACGCGAACAGACAGCCCAGGCAGGCTGGACACGCACAAGAGACAGCAAAAGACAGGCGGCGACAGGCAGCGACAGGCAAGACAGTTATAAAAGACGGGATGAAAAGGTCATCTTCTCTGCTGAGTTGCCTAGTTGGGGCCAACTCTTTGCGATGAGAGCACCGCTTTCTCGTCCCAAAAGGGTAATGGTTCGCTGTTCCCCAACGGCGCCTGAAACGAACTTCCTCCTACCACTTACCCTCTCGGGCAAGTGGGTGGAAAGTCTACAAACACACCTCAATACTATCCTAATACCGGCCCGCTGGTGAAAACTCGTCCAACGTCGCAGCGATCCAGTCGTGAGTGCTCGGGAGAGGAGTCTGTAGAAGGGAAGAGGAGGAGAAAGGGGCGAGGAGGATGAAGCGCAGAGGCAGTATGGTAGGGATGAGTTGCGGCGGAGTTGATTCTAATAAGGGTCTCGCTGGCGCCAAAAGGCTCTTCCAATTCTTAATTCTCCTTTTTCGAAAAAGAAAACGAGAAAAAGTGTTACATCGTTGAACGAAGGGACACTACACTGCATCGAGATACCCAAGCAACTTGCTTTCTGCTTTTGAAGAGTCGAATACCCGGTGGACGAAGCGCACCTAATGAACACATCGAATACAATCATCCAGCACAGCATTTCGTCATAGCCAACACGTCTCAAGAATCAAAAAACCCGGGCTCTCGTTCATTGACGACCCCGATCTGCGTACGCCTCGCCTTTGGCCGTCATCAGCCTTACTGCCCTACTGCCCTGTCTGGGCGTGCCCATCGCGGCACTCTTCAAGTCCGGAATTCCGCAGCACGTCGTTAGTCTTTCCTAACACAGACTGTCCACTCTCTTGGTCGGTCTACTACCACTAGAGGCCCGCTTGCCTATTACATACATGCAGTTCGTCACTACATGAGCCGCAATGCAACCTAGGAGTCTGTCATCCTCGACCATTGACTCAAGTCCGTATACGGTTTCTTACACATAGGGACTCACCTGAGACTCTCTATCCGCATTTGGTTGTTTCCTATCGGGCCTGTTCTCCCCTCTCAAAATCTCTCAACGCTGGTTGTCTCCACAAGCCGACTTCCCGTCCGTACCCCTGACCCGGCAGGGCTCGAAGAAAAGAGGCAGCGTGCCTCACTTCTAAAAGCAGTCATGGCCGGTCTTGCTGGTTTCCTGTCTGCCGCTGCTCCTCTCATATCTTTCAACTTCGTCGCCGCAGAGGGAGTTGTCAAGGCGGCACAGGCTTCTACATCACCAGCACTTCAACTAGCACAGGTGGCAGCATCCGTACCAAAGCCAGCAGCAACACCGTTGTCATCAACACCAATCTCAAATCCACGGAGACCTGCCGCGCCGGCCGTAGCACTAGCAACTTTGGCTTCCCAAAACCCCTCGATAGCGAAAGCGGGTGTACCGTCAGTTGCTGGCCAGCTTCAACCTCCACAAGTAATTGTTGAAACGAATTACATCGTTTACACTCAAGTCAGAACTGCTGCGCCGTCATATATCACTGTCACACAGACGGTACGACCGCCGCCGCCTCCTCTACCACCACCACCACCACCACCACCACCTGTCAGACCACCGCCTCCCCCAAAGCAAGCACTTCCGCCGTCTCCTCCTAAGCAAGTACAGCCTCTGTCTCCTCCTAAGCAAGTACAGCCTCTGTCTCCGCCGAAGCAAGTCCAGCCTTCATCACCACCGAAGCAAGTTCAACCTCCTTTACCGCCTAACCAGGTCCAACCTCCTACACCCCCAAAGCAGGTCCAGCCTCCGTCGCCCCCAAAACAAGCAGAACCGCCGAGACTTCCATTTCCGCCTCCTCCTGCGGCTAAAAGTCAAGCACCTAATGCAGTGCCTCTTGTGATTCCCGCACCGTTAGTTGTACCAGCACCACTGGTTTTACCATCAACACCAACCCCGAAGACGACGCCACAGCTGGCAGCTACTTCACCTTCACCGCCGCCGCCTCCACCAGCAGTAGCACCTCCAGCAACGACACTTCTAAGCATTTCAAACTCACCGCCACCGCCGCCAGTCCTCAACCCCATCATGAGTGCTCAGGGGCCAGAGAGGGGAGGCATGTCTAACCCGAACCTCAACCCGCAAGCCCAGACTGGTCCTCCAGGTGGTCCTCCTGGCGGGCCTCCTATGGGGCCTCCTGACCCGGCCAATGGTGCGTTCCCAGGAGGTATACCGAACAAGAACGTTGACTTGCCGGTTACCATTATGTTCATGGTGCTATTCATGCTTGGTGCGTACGTTCACTTGAGCATCTACCGGAGGAACGCCAAACGTGGTCACAAGTTCCTGATTTCGGATATTGTCTTCGACTTCTGTATGATCCGAACAGTCACTTGCATCTTCCGCATTACGTGGTCGATTGTGTCGACCCGAGGAGTTGTGTTGCTGGCGTTGATCACTGAGAATGGAGGGTAAGTCAAGGGGTCTGAGCCACGGACGGAATGAACGCCTTGCTAACACAATGCTCAGTGCCGCACTTCTCTTTGCTGTCAACATCTTCTTCGCCCAACGACTGGTCCGCTCGATCCATCCGAAGGCTGGATGGTGTACCGCGTTTAGTCAGTTCAGCTTGATTCTGCTCTTCTCGGTTCCGGCCTTCATCATTATAAACATGACTTCGACGATTATCGCCTTTTTCAGCGTTGGCAATGTAGATCGTCTGGAAACTACAGATACTTTGCTAAAGTTTGGAAGTTCATGGAATACTTTTCTTTCCATTTTCCCTGTCCTCGTCGTAAGCGGGTGCCTCTCTGTGCCAGGCCCCAGGCCAGAGAAGTTCGGTTCCGGCTCGCAGAGGGTCAAGGTGGCCCTGCTCTACCTGGGATCGTTCCTTTTGATTACTGGACAGTCAATTCGCCTGTTCGCTGTTTTCAATAAGGAGCTACCAGGGGCAACTCCGAGCGTAATTTATGGCAAGGCCGTATTCTACACGACGGGGTTCTTCTTTGAGCTCATTGTCGTCGCACTTTACGCCATTATGCGGGTTGACCTTCGGTTCCACGTTCCGAACGGAGCAGGTGGGCCCGGGGACTACTCCGGCGACAGGGACAAGGGCAGCTACTCAGTCGAAGAGATTGAGCGGCTTATTGACGATTTGGAAGTGCCGCACCAGATTATGCGAGAGAGAAAGGGACCAGAAGACATGGAGATGGTGTTTACCATATTCTTCGCCACCAAGGACGCCCAAAAGGATAAAGAGAAGAAAGAAGTCGGAGAAGGGTCAGACGAAACGTCGTCTGGTATCAACGCCGAAGACGAAGCGCTGCCGGAGAGGCCGAAGAGAATCACCAGAAGGCAAACGCTCATCGACGCCATCAACCGGCCTCCGCGACCGCCCATGACGCCGTCGGCATACCCAGATATTCCGGACATGTACGCCCAGATGGGCGAGCCAGAGATGCCGCCGAGACGTCCTACGAGGCCGTCCATGTATTCTCAGTTCGACAACGGGCAGGCGTATGACGCTAGGGCCGATGCGCGGTATCAGCAGCAGTATTGGGGAGCATCGCCGCCTTATGGAAACGAGAAGGAGGGCATGAAAAGCGCAGACTTGAGACAATGAAGAATGAAGGAGGCAAAGCATTGAAGCGAAGCGAGCGAGTTGCGGGCGGGAGCCGCTTAGGCGTCCGTCTGATGTATTCTAGTCACATATCATGATTACTTTCCACTGGTGGCGGGCTTTCACGCCGGAAGTAATGGCATATGAGACAGAAAAATGAGTTAAAAGTCGGCAGTTGTGCCATTTCACTTTATTTCATCAGCCCTTGGCTGGTCTCATCATGGGAATCATTTGTGACGACTGGCCAACATCAGTCATGATTGAGAAGCCGGCTTGTGAGTAGAGGTGAACAATGTACTCCTCGGCGTCGAGGTACATCGGGTAGCCCAATTGGTCGGCGATTTCGGTCCCTCGTTGGAGGAGGGCTTGCGCATAGCCTCATCGAAGGTAGGCCGGGTCGGTAAAGATCAGCTCGAAGTCTCGTACACGGTTAGTGTCTTATGGGTGGGCGGCCGACAAGATTGTCAGCGGGAAGGTTGTTCGTGGTGAGCGAACCGGCTGGCCGAGCCCAAAGTTGACGTACAAACGTGAGAGTTGTTGCCCATGACGCGTTCGTGCTGAGACGCCATGTCGGAGAAGAACTCGTCAAGCAGCTCGTCTTTTTGCCCTGCATTAGCGGGTGGCCATCGCTTTCGCCACGACCAGGTTCCGTTGTCTTCGGGACGGATGATCCAGATGAGGGTGGTGGCCACAGGCTCGCCTTGGAGAGGACAGCTGTCAGTCAAAAGCTACGAATACACATGGTGCTGCCCACTCAGCGGAGTCCGGAGTCCGAAGTACGGAAAGTGTAAGACAAGATCGGGATTCGGACAGCCGCCGGAGTTGGTGATGTCGTGGAGTTTGACTGCCTTTCTCGTTTCTGACAACAGCAACCTGACCTTCTTGAGAGCCGTGCTCCTTGGAGACCATGAACTGTCTGCAGGCATCCGTCATGTAGGCCCGGCCGTATTCGTTTTGGGGGAACATGGTCTGAAAGAAGTCACTATTGAAAGACTTCAGGAAAATTTCGGCAATAGCGAGAGCGTCTTCCAGCTTGGCCGGTTCGACGGAAACGGGTACTGCCGCCATCGGAAGCAGGATCGACAGTGACGTGAGGGACAGCGAGAATGAGCGTCAGAGCGAACGACAAATCAGATGCCAAGAGAGAGTAGGAGGAACGGCGGGTATTAGGGAGCTGGCGAGGCTCAACGGCTGGTGAGACGGTTCGGGTGGGAGAAATGAGACGAAGGAGACATCGAGATTGAAGGAAATCCAGGCATTAGCCCAATATTTCAAGGCCGGCAGCCAGGTAGCTATGGACAAGCCATGGCATGACTCCGAGGCCGAGGCCGACTAATACGATGTGGACAGCGGGGTGCAAAATCGCACCCCAACTTCGAAATCCCCAGATGGCGTTCCACCAGAAATCCCTGACTCGCCTACGGATTGGTCTACCGTACTCAATGACCAGCTCGTATGCGCGGAGGGCGGAGACGTCTCCCCGACCTGTATCCGTAAGTAAGGCAGGTTACTTTGACCACCCAAACATGATCAAGGGCGTTTCTGTGAGATGGAAGAGGAAGGTCGAGACAAGCAGTAATTCTTCTCCGTGTCCAATAGCAAAAGAGAAACTAAAGTCAGACAGTCATACAGACATGATGTCTGCACCATTTGACGGCGCTTGATCAGGTATACAGAGACACAACACAGAAACACAAAGTAGCAGGATTGCAGGCTGACGTTGGATGAGGCCCGACACAAAACTTGGCCAACCCCTGAGGATTGAATGATGGGCGAGAGCCCGTGAGCCGGGATGCCTCCAAGTTCCATTGATGGAGGGGTAGTTTCGCTTATGTAATGCCAAAGTTTCACAGAGTTGTGCCGAAGGGATGTGTGGGGCCGAACCACCGCCCCCGTCACGTCCGTTGGGCGAAGCTTGAGTGGTCACGTGCAAACCGTTTCTCTACGCGTTTGCGACGCGTCTCCAAGGCCGATGCATCACGTCAAGATGGCTGGATCGTCATATTCCACCACTTCACCACCTCGTCCGCAAATCACCAATTGAGCTCCCCTGCACCGCAGTCACCATGTCCGACTTCGAAGATGAGATGGACGTTGACGTCCCCGTGTCCAAGGACATTACCTTCTCCTCAGACGCCAAGCAGGGCAAGCGCAGCGCCGCCAACCTCCCTGTCGAAGCCGAAGACAGTCTGCCATGGGTTGAAAAATATCGCCCAGTAAGCCTCAACGACGTGTCTGGTCACCAAGACATCCTTGCAACAATCAACAAATTTGTCGACTCAAACCGCCTACCCCACCTCCTCCTCTACGGTCCCCCAGGAACCGGCAAGACCTCGACGATTCTCGCCCTTGCCCGCCGCATCTATGGCGCCGAGAACATGCGGCAGATGGTCCTCGAGCTCAACGCCTCAGACGACCGTGGCATCGACGTCGTTCGCGAGCAGATCAAAACCTTTGCCTCGACGAAACAAATATTCACCCTCGGCCCATCGGCCAAGTCAGGCAGCGGTGGCAGCATGGCGTCGTACAAGCTCATCATCCTCGACGAGGCTGATGCCATGACGAACACGGCCCAGATGGCGTTGCGCCGCATCATGGAGAAGTACACCGTCAACACCCGCTTCTGCATTATTGCAAACTACTCGCACAAGCTATCACCGGCACTGTTGTCAAGATGCACGAGGTTCCGCTTCAGTCCCTTGAAGGAGCGGGATATCAGGGTCTTGGTCGATAAGGTCATTGAGGAGGAGCATGTCAAAATCATCCCCGACGCCACGGAAGCATTGGTGAAGCTTAGCAAGGGCGACATGAGAAGAGCGCTCAACGTGCTCCAGGCATGCCACGCATCAAGTGAGTACTCACCCGGGTGTGCTTGAAAGCTCCAAGTAGCATGCTAACAGAACGCAGGTACACCGCTGCAACCCAAGAACGCACCCAAGGTGGCCGAGGCCGACATTGTGAGGGAGACCATCTCCACCGAGACGATATACAACTGCATCGCCGCACCTCAGCCCGATGCAGTACAGGAGATCCTCGACGTTCTGTTGAGCACAACAGACGTAACATCTTGCCTCAATACCATCAACACATTAAAGGTGTCACGGGGCCTCGCCTTGGCAGATATTATCACGGCTCTAGCGGAGCAGTTGGCGACGCTCGAGGTCAAGCCGGAAATCATGATCAAATGGCTCGACGGGCTCGCGGATATTGAGCACCGGGTGGCCGGCGGCGGCAGCGAGACGGTGCAGACGGGAGCTGTGGTGGGCGTCATCCGGAGCGGAGCCGAACTGATGAGCAAATGATCAAGTCGCAATGCAGACGTGCGGAGGAAAGATGGATAATTTATGATGTTATGATCATCTACAATCGCCGGCCCGAATGACTTTGCATGACATGCCGAACTGCCGTCTTCCACCCAACCTGGGTCAAGCGGCAACACCCAGCCCCTACTTGAGCTGGTGCTAATCTTGGAATCTATTGCACTAAACCAGTCGACAGCAATGGACGCCAAGTCGCGGGTCGATCCGCGATACGTCGATGTGGCTTCCATGAATACCGTCATGGAATGCCATGTCTAGCCATCTCCAGCCACCCGCTGCCGATTTTTTGCCTTGCCTTACCTTGCCCTGCCTTGCCTTTACATGGTTGTGGCGTGTTCGTGGATTGCGCAAGCCGAAGTCAAAGTCTTCAATCTGAGTCGTTTGAATTGTCGGCCCCTGAAACATCTCCTTTTTGTCGCTACGCTTCCTCCAATCTTCAAGATCGCATCAACTTCGAGAGGTCGGTATGAACGGGTTTAGGAGCCAAGGACTAGGAACCGAGTGCGTCGAAATCGGATTCTTGATATGTACTGTAATATAAACACGGAAAGGTTCTTCTATTGCGAGCGCTCGCTCTGACCGTTTCTCTGCTTCGGCCAACAAAACCAGACCCATTGAGCAGTAGACGTGTTTTCCAAATAAACGCCAAAGCCGTCTCGAAACCCAAGTCTTGCCTCGCCTGTCACGTCATGATGATATACACACACTAAAAGAAGAAAAATACACACATGCCTGCGGTGCTATACAAATGCCAGACCGGTAAACGCCTGGCTATTTTACCTTTCATGGGAAGCGTTTTGTTTTCTCCCTGACAAATCCGAGTCAAGGGAATTCCAATGGAAGGGGGTGTTTTCCCCACCATGCCCAAGAATCCCGTATCCAAGTCCTTGGCGTACTCAGACATGGGATATGGCTTCACGTGAAACATACGTCACGTCTCAAAGCCTTGGATGGCAGCTGTGCTTGCGTTGTGGCATATCCTCGGCGCTGCGCTTTCGTAGCGACGTAAATGTCTCGTGTCGACACCTATTTGGTGATGACTGGTGCGTTTCCACCTCAGACATCGGGCCATTTGACGGGTCCGCACTCGCCCTGCTGCTCAATCCAGGCGTTAATCTTCTCTACAGCCCAGCCGGACATTGTGCGCTTCACGTCTGTAGACTCGCGCTTGACGGGATGGCCGAGCTTCCATGCCCAACTGAAGCCGCAAACGCCGTCCTTGTACTGGAATGAGAAGCAGGACCCGTCGGCCTCGCAGGCCTTACGGCAGTTGCCAAAGGATAAGTGCGCAACCTTCTCCTCCTCTGTCAAGTCTTCCTTTTTGGCCCGGCTGAGTTGCCAGTCTTGGTGCTTATTGGCTGATTCGTCGAGGAAAAATCGGTCATCGGCGAGGTTATCCCAGTCGGCGCGCTCAGGCTGCATACGAGGTGCAAAAAATTCGTGGTAGATATCCTTGATGCGCATGACTGGAGGCGGCTGGGGAAGGCTAGGGTCGGAGTAGCGCTTGTGCTCGTATTCCCAGAAAGTGGATATCTCCTCGGCATTCATGTGATGCATCGTCACGATGGGATGGCACCAGTGAGTAGGTCCATATGGAAGGGTAAAGGGCTTTTCGCCGTTGATCGTAGGCCACTAGGAAATGGTCAGTTCAAGCTGTGCATGACACAAAGAGGTCCTGTTTGATACTCACCACATTATGAACGTTGACGTCGGCGTTGTCCTTCATGGCTAGCGCAAATATGTAGTCTCCGCAGCATTCTTTGCCTGCACGGATATCCCACTTGTTGCCAACATCCTCATGGTCCGCCATCATGTCGTGCATAGCCGTCTGAGAGACAATGTAGCCGCTGCCGCCGTGGCCAAAGACGAAGTTGCGAATCATGGTGACACTGCCGAGATAGTGCTTGTTCTTGGGGTTCAGGTTCTTGAGCCACTGGACAAGCGTGGGCCAGAGCACGTAGGTATCGGCGTCGATGAAAATGTACCAGTCGTAGTTGGGTCGCATACGGTAGGTCTTCTCGGCGATATGGACATTCTTGTACTTGTCGAGATTCCAGCCCTCGTCCTTGCTTACAGCCAGTTTGTTACAGCTCTGCTGATCGGCCTGGCAAGCCTTTTGGCGACGATAGAGATCGAAATCTTGGTTGCCTTCCATAGCCTCGGGAAGAACATTGTCGAGACTGTCCCGAATGTGGTAGTTTGCGACTGTCTGGTCGAGGTCGGAGAAGATGAAGTATTCGGGCAAGCACTTGAGCATGGTCATGAGCTGAGTAGGGACCTTGTCGAAGGACTCGGTTGCGCCCGTCTTCATGACGACGAGGATGTTGCTCGTGTCGGGGAAGGAGTCGCAGATGGGGTCATGAGGACGGTAGGGAATGTCTTGATTCGATACATTGTGCTGTGCGAGGCGGTCGTCTTGGTAGCTCGGGGGCGGCGGAGGCGGGGGACGACCATCGGAGCCTGCGCTGGGGGAGCTTCCGGGAGGTGGAGGTGGGCTGTGGCCTTTGAAGGGGTGGTAGTTGGGACCTTCGATCGCCCAGTCGCCGCCGAGTCTCCTCGAGGAGATGAGGAAGATGACCGCAGTGACGGAGACGAGGGCAAGAACGGTGAGGGCGCGACGAGATAACATGTTGATGGCGACAATAGGGTTTATGCAAACGTCATTCCGTCTTTGGCTCAATCCCATGATAGCACACGTCGATCAAGGAGGTGAGAGGGTGCCGGCGGCGACGGCGACGAGGGTAGTTGCCAGACTCCAAAAAAACGCGGAAGAAAGTTGTAGCCAGGTAATAGCTGGCTGGGTTTGCCGTTTGAAAAATAGTATACAGAATTCGGTAGACTGGCGGTATGCGCGCAGTCGTGTCGCCAAAGGGAATCTCGTAAGATGCAGCAGAGAAGAAGGTTCCAAAAAACTCGGGGATGTCAAGAACAGAATAAGGCAAGGTAGTGAAAAGAGTGAAGACGAATGAGGTGGAAGAGAGAAGGAAGGAGGGAGGAAGGAGATCCTGGGTCGGAATATCTCAGCCACTGTGCGCCGGAGCCAAAGGGGTTAATAGAAGAAGTATTGAAGCAGCAAAGCTTATTGTCTCGCTGGTTAGAAGTTGGAAGCGAAGGCGAAAGGAGAAGAGGAGGGCGGGCCGTCGCAGAAAAGAAGAGTTGGACCCCTGTCTAGTTTGATGGGAAGGTACTCCGTACATAGATACACAGATACCGGGCAGGAAAATAAGTACAGTGCCGAGTGTGTAAGGAGGTAATTAAGGCGGGAAAGCGAGAAAAGCGAGAGACATGAGGCTGCGCGGGTGCCTTGGGCAGGCAGTGTCCTGGCAAGATGAGGTGAAGCAGATACCTGGCAAAAGAATGATGGGAAGGGACCCGAGGAGCGGGACGCGCTGGACCAGATGGGGTTGAGATGGATGGATGGCGTGGGGAGCCAAGCACAAGTTTTACAGCATCACAAATTGTTCCTGTCCAAATGGCAAAAAGGGACGTTGCAGTACCTTATTATTCGCAGGACTCAGGAGTACGGTCCGTAACAAAGATACGTACGAAGTACCTACCGGTAGTGTAAGAGGGCCAAAACGGTCCGTCCGTCCTTGCAACCGGGCATTTTAGCTTTGCCTTGGATCCGGGTACCTTTGTACAAAACGCGCTCCGTTGGGCCTAAGAGGTTGCAATTGATAATGGCTACGATTTATGACTGACGTTGACATGCACCTCACGGTGGTGGCGCGCAAGCTACCTCACGGTGCCGCCAGAGCCCGTAACGACCAAAGCAACTGTCAGTCGTGAAAAGATGGTTGATTCATAGTCTGAGGGGCTGGAGTTGGAGTCTGAGTGATAGATTATCGTTGCAGTCGAGTTCGAGTGTATTGTTCGAGGTTGAGGATGTGGACGAACTTTGTTCTTAACATTTTGTGGGTTTCCTTGGGCTTGGCTTTCAGGATGAAATGAACCTTGATCGAGTTGGGCAATGGAAACCGACCAGGGTGCCTTCCATTTCCTCAGAGAAAGAACGGATACGTACCTTGAAGGTCATCCCAGAGCGGGCACGTATTTCGTGCCGTGGCCCGCACCTCCAGGCTCCGAACGGCGACTTTTCCAGGTTCTTTCCATTGTCTGTTCCTTCTTCGTGGAAAGCGACACTCACACGCGATTGCCGTCTAGGTAAGGTATCTGGTACCTTACGTAGCAGGAACAACTTGCCGTTTGCCAGACCTGCGCAAGACGGCGAGGAGCACTTTCTTCGCTTCCACCCTCTGGCTCCTTTCCTTCTCTTGCCATTCTGCATGGAATAGTGGAATTCCGAAAGACGGCAGGATCTCACGCAGGGGTGGCGATGCTTGTGCTGCTTACACACCACCTGGTTGGCTCATGACGGCCTAGGCGGCTGTCGCTTACGGTCGGGACCTCCTAAAAGATGACGAGATGGATGCAAGCGCAGCAAGCAAGGGGAAAAGAAGAAGGCACGCCGCACTGTTGTGGATCAGAGAGAGAGAGAAAGAGGGACAATCCAAAAAGGGTTTGACGGCAGGCATAACCGAGATGCACACCAGCGGATCATGAGCATAAAAGGGGTGTGCAATCTGTCAATACGAACTATTCTGCCACATCAAGTCTGCATAACACCACCATCCCAAATGGAGCATCCAGTCAAATGTTACCTTCGGCACCTTACCAGTACGTACCTTACTGTGTAGGTGCTCAGCTCCACTGTCGGTAGAAGACAGCTTGCACAATACAAACCGCCTTTTCGTTCGTCGGCCTTACTCTTGTCCTTCATCTTGTAGGTATCCGAATGGATTTTGTTCTGCGGCCTGCCCCGTCTCACAAATAAATCTGCGGCCGGTTGTAGCCACATGGGTCCTGTCTGCTCGGTGCTGTCCAACGTCGACCATCCGTCCAAACAAACTTGAACGGTTTCTCTTTGTCTGCTGTCTTGTTTCTACGTTCTCCTAGTCCCTGCCGTCACCCGGCCGTCGGAAGCTATGGCAGCCACAAGCTTACCGCATTTCCGGCCTAAAGCGAAGCCACTATACCACTCCAACTGTCAACACGAGCTCTACCGTCCACCCGTCTGAGTTGATCACGGATCTACGAACGGATGTTTGGGCGCCTTGGACTGTGACTTCCAGGTCTCCCAGATGCCGCCCCGACGTGTTCAGTGGGGCAAACCACCGTGTTTCCGCATGGCCTTGGCTCGAGTATTCGGACAAAGAGTTCAACACCAAGGCGGGTCGGACAAAGAACCTCGAGACTCAAGTCTCTAAACATGCACAGATATGGTATGCCGTCAGTGATTGTCGAGTCAGGTCAAGCTTTCTGGGCAGAGGCCCGTCTGACGAGCACTCGCTCAAGCGCTCCCTCCTCTGATCCCCATGACACTCCACCGGCCTATCACAACTTCTTTTAGGTTCAATTAACCGACTCACTCGACATTGAAACATAACGCAGCAGCGCAATAAGGTAAAGGTAGGTATTCGGGTGAGACCGAGATGCATTACTCAGCGGCTGCTATCTGTACCACCAAAAGTGCTCCCTCCCCTGAGGTACCTACAAAGAGGGCGCTCATGACAAACGGAGCGTTATCCGTCCCTATTTTTGGACATGTCTCCATCATGTGTCAATCGCAACGCTACGGAGTACTAGCGAGGCCATCTGTCCCCCCACTGGCACCTCATTGATGCTGAAACTCCCAATTGAGAAGCGCATTGCTGGGAGGTCATCGTATGCTGCTAAACACACTGAAGGGCCTGACTTTCACCATCCTAATGAGCTGGGCTCTCATAAGAGCGATGCGCCTCCTCATTTTATTTGCTTCACCATGAGGATACGTAGCTAAATCGGATCCCGCGGCGCTCCCATTAGCCTGGGTCCTCGCCGTCGCCCCACCCCTACGCCTGCCCCGCCGCTGTGCGTCACGCCGATTCATTCTATCACACATCAATGCCGAAATACCAATCAGCCCTTCACTCTATTTGACTTCTTACGCACCCATACACGCAATGTCCATTGTTCACTATCATCTAGTTCAGAGGTCATTTTAAACGACCTTGGAACAGATGGGGGTGAAAGTGTCGCCTCGAACCCGCGACCCTGAATCAGTGATCTCGAAGCCCATAGATAGATACCTGGGGGCCCGGCATCAGGATCCAACCTTAGGTGGGAATTGCATCAACCCGCCACCAAAATTACCAGTGACGAGAATACACCAAAAAGGAAGTTGCCCGCCGTGGTTTTACGCTTGCTCGCCATTCAAGGCCACCTTGCTTGAGTGAGGGTTTTGACCTTGCCCATTCCTCCGTTTGACATTCGTTGTCCACCAATACTACTGAATCAAAATCGCTCACGATGAGCGAAGAAGTGCATAATTTGGTTATCACTCCAGATTTACTAGTCACTAATCGCTACCAAGCTAGGTCCGAATTGACGAGCTTAGCCTTCGCGAAACATACAAAACTTGTGTCAAAGGTATAGTTATACTTAGATATTCACAGGTTGTCGTCAGCCTTGGCCATCCTGTTCACGACTAACAAGAAAGACGTTGCTAAGTAATGTTTAAGCTGAACCCCCACCTTTGCTCTCCGAACAATAAGAAATTACCCACACCAATAGCTAAGTCGCCTTTACCATGGCCTCGATGACCAAGAGCCTAGACATCAATTTCAGCAATTTAATTCCGCAATCGCAAGATACGCCTGAACCATTCTATTATGGCTTCAAAGTAGAGCCGAGAAGTTTGACCGTTGACATATATAAGTTCTTTCTCTTGCGGTCAAACAGAACAAGAGTATAAAAGCTTGCAATGGGTTCCTGAGAACAAGTTTGCTGTTGGAGGCTTCCGAATACTTGAATCTCCTGCTATATATGTGTGGGAACAAACGGCAATCGCTAGGTATACACGGAGCCGAGCTATGTCACGTGTCTTCGGCACGTGACACACCTCAGCTCCCTCCTTCCATATCACGAGCCTTCGCGTTTAGATACTCTCCTTAATAACAACAACAGAACACCAGATTAACCCAACGATATTGCTACCGATCGCGATACCAGGAATACCTGTGTGACTAACCTGTGGTACACGCAAACCAACACTGATCAGTGGTTTTTTCAATCACAGATTAGCCAGGTATTTGCATTACCTACAGAAGAGACGTTTACGACCCCTAGGTCCTTTACGTGCTAATCAAGGCATCGTCGGCCCCTTGGCCCACGAGACCTTCACTTTTCCTTCCGACCCAGCGGTCCGTCGGAAAAGGCGTCCTCAACGCTGCCATCGTTGGCCTCGCGAAAAAGCTCTTTCTTACGCGCCAGTGCGCCTTTGGAAGAGGCCTCGCCCAACGTGGTATTCCTTTCACCTACTACCTCGAGACGCGAAGTACGCGTCTATTTGTTTTTATCTCCGAATCCAACAAGCCTCATATTACATTACTATCGCCAAAGTATAAGCAACCAAGATGGCGCAACGACCACCATTATCGTCATCACCAGATGTTCTTCCAGTCCCCGATGGATTCTACCGCTTCATCGATGACGCCAACTGGGGCATCTACGACCAAGAAAACTCCCTCCTCCTTGACGAGCGCGACAGCAAAACAATATGCTCCTACATGGCCTACAAGATCGCCACTTGGCTCCACGATGGCCTCTTGGGCCATGAGCTCTGGGAGGCGTTCCAGAAGGACTTCGCGGACTGGGACGAAGCCCTCTTCAACGCCGTTGATACCAGACCTTTGGGAATCCTCCGCGATCACCTTCTCCATCACGGCGTCTACATCAGCAAGGGACACAGGGACCAGAAGATTGCTCCCAACCTCGTGGGGATCCTGGAAGAAGAACACTTCCATCCCTGGACCGACGATGAAGTCGAGAGCCTGAGAGCCAAGTCCTCATACTTCGACAAGCTAGTTGACAACAATGACGAGTTCCTCAAAGATATCCAGCGAGGATATATCACTCCTGAACAACGCCGCCAGATGCGCGAAGAGCAGCAAAGACAACATATCAAGAAGGAGCCGGAATTCGACCCTGAACTGGATTTACAACTCCAACAGATGGTCCAGAAGCAACTTGCCAGGAACGACCGTATCAGAGAGCTTACAGAAAAGAGCAAGAGCCGCTGTTCGTCACCTCATCTTTCTCCCCGTCAATCACTGCTTCACCAAACGATACCTCGTCCATCTTCATCACAACAGCCTCGCTTCCAGCAAGGCCGAACCGGCTTTCAGAACGACCTTCCGCCCATTACCGGCTTCCTACCGACTCACGAGCTTCCCAAAGAACCGAAACACACACTGCTCACTGTCAACGGCGAAGACCTCACGGTTGATGTCAACGGACCTCGGACCTTCCGGTCTACAGTGGTTAAACCATACCATCACGAGGAGGTCACCGACGGGCCAGAACCTGACGCCGGCGCCGTCGCTGAGCTCACCACTGGTCCCCCCCACCCCTCTGGCGAATCCCCCGTCGATACGTCCCCTGGAGAAGAGCCCTCTGACGATGTCACTGACGCTGAAGACCATACAGAAGATACCATCGTCGTAGCTATTGGTCCACGGAAGTCACTCCTAGCTACTACGTTACCGCTACCGCGTAAACGCGGCCGCCCCTATAAGCACTACGTATCTGCTGAACGTACCTTTCTACAAGAAACCGACGCCCATATCGATGAAGACCCTGATACTGCTTTTATCTCCGCTAAAGAGAAGTCTGACCTTGACCTTGCGATCAAACTACGCAGGGAAGGCGTGCTGACTACGCCCGGCGAGCCATTCGAAGCTTCGGCAAAAGCCGAGATCGAATCTCTGGTCAGCCGCGGCGTATTCGAATTCATACCTCGCAATTCCATCGCACATACCAGCCGAATATTCAAATCGCGCCTGGTCAACGAAGTTAAGGGCAAGGGCACCGATCAGCCCTATGAGAAGTCCCGACTTGTAGTCCAGGGCTACGCTGACGACGAAAAGTTGACGATACTTACACAGTCGCCCACTATTCAACGCGCTAGCCAGCGTCTCATTCTCGCATTGGCGCCGTCTTTGCTCCATAACGACCGCCACGTACTCTGGCTCCGCGATATCACTCAGGCCTACGTACAATCGACTTCACCTCTTAACCGCGCTATATACGCGCACTTGCCGCAGCAAATTCGCCACCAATACCCCAATGGCACCATCATGAGGGTTGTAAAGCCCCTGTATGGAATTGCAGAGGCAGGAACCCATTGGTGGTCCACCTACCATCATCACCACAGAGAAGCTCTCCAGATGGATACGTCCACATACGACCCTTGTCTTCTCCTTTCATCGCCAACTAATCCAGACTTTGCTCTCATTGGAATGCAAACTGACGACACAATTGGTCTCACAACTCAACCCTTTTCCATTAGAGAGGATACTGAGCTGCAGGAGGCAGAGTTCACTGTCAAACCAAAGCAGCACTTGACTCATGATAACCCCCTCATCTTTAATGGCGGCATCATCACAATGACAGGCACATCCCTCGTTCTTCGACAAAAGGGACAAGGCAGCAAGCTGCAACTTATAGACAGCAAGTCGCCGACGGCCCAGCAAGACTACGTCCAACAACGTGCTCGAGGAGCATACATTGCCTCCATCTGCCAACCAGAGGCCTGCTATGATATGTCAGCAGCCGCTCAACACAAAGACCCAACCGAGGGTGATATCGAGAATCTCAATCGGCGCCTACAATGGCAGATGAATTCGCTTGACCGTGGTCTCACCTTTATCCCATTGGATCTCTCAACGTCCAAGCTCTTCGTCTTTGTTGATGGATCATTTGCCAACAACCAAGACCTCACTTCGCAACTCGGCTTCCTTATTGTATTAGGCAACGAGACCTCTACCCCTGACCTGGACAACGACCACTTTACGTTGGACGCCAACATTATCCACTTCTCGTCAACCAAATCAAAGCGTGTGACTCGCAGCGTGCTTGCCTCCGAGGTTTACGGCATGGTCGCGGGCGTGGATATGGCATACGCGCTCTCGTCGACACTGGCGATGATCATGGACAAACTGGGCCACCCAAAGATACACACGGTGGCATGTACCGACTCATACTCACTATACGAGTGCCTTGTCAAGCTCGGAACCACCCAGGAGAAGCGGTTGATGGTCGATATCATGGCGCTTCGGCAATCGTACGAGCGACGAGAACTTACAGAGATACGATGGATACGTGGCAGTGATAATCCAGCAGACGGACTTACCAAGGCGTCGCCAAACAAAGCCCTGGAGAGACTTATTTCCACAAATACCATTACGATCAAAATGGAGGGATGGGTGACACGCACCTAGGCAAGGTGAGGGTATCTGGAAGATAGAGAGCATAGTGAACGCGCTAGAGATATGGGGGTTGGGAGGAACCGCATGTGCGCGATCAATACGTCTTATTGTCGCCTAGATATCTACAGACCCTTTTCTTCCACAAAAGAAAAGATTGCCAGTGTGGGAACAAACGGCAATCGCTAGGTATACACGGAGCCGAGCTATGTCACGTGTCTTCGGCACGTGACACACCTCAGCTCCCTCCTTCCATATCACGAGCCTTCGCGTTTAGATACTCTCCTTAATAACAACAACAGAACACCAGATTAACCCAACGATATTGCTACCGATCGCGATACCAGGAATACCTGTGTGACTAACCTGTGGTACACGCAAACCAACAATATGTGTACTAGGTAAACCATCAAATTCTTGACCGAAGAAAGTATTAAGCTTTGTGGCATGAGTGACGTCCCTTTCTGCCCTAAGAGCCCTTACAACTTATGATTGGCTCTATTTAGCTACTACCCTCTAGATTTCATCGGTATTCCTAGTCGGACAGTCCATGAGCACTTGGCATTCCCGTCTATTCCTTGAATCAAGTTCTCAGCCCAACTAACAATAATCGAGGTCTTAGCCGCAGGAAGAGACTGGGCAAAAGCTTCCACGTGGGCTGCCCTAGCCTCTGCCGGGAAGCATCGTGCTATAGGAGAACAGCAAGACATCACGTTGAATTTATTTGTAGTTCATAATGTCTGAAAGCCACCAACTCGCGACAGAATTACTGTGAATTCCCGGTCATGAGGAGTCCAAAAAACCACCCGATTCCTAACAAGAGCGTAAAAGGCTAGCTCGGTGACAAGTAAGTAGTTACTGTTGAATGCCACTCAATCATGAATCTTTAGTGAACGGCACCTGGCTCCATAGACAGCCTGACAGGGCGACCAATGCCATCACCGGCTCTCTCACAGAATGTATCATGCACGTGTTCCCCTCGGTCCTGAACGTTGCCACAGATAATGTTAAAGATCAGCATACAGTACACATCGCAGCTTGGTGAATGCAAGTCACACTGGAAGCTAGGTTAGAAGGCTCTTGAACGAGCTGCTCCTGATCAATGACAATGAAGATCTACGGCAGCTTTACCCTGTCACCGATAGAATGTCACAAACATGTCAGCCGAGTCTAGCCTAATCTAGGACGGGGCTTTCCACGGCTATGTTAATAACCATCTCCCAATGAGTCGAGAGTTGAAACCTCTCAGTCCCCAAATGTGGGCAGTACACACTGCTCATCTGGACCAACGAGGCAAGCAATGAGGCAATACGACTGGTATTGACGGTTGGTTGGTGATGTGAAGGTGAAAGGTGGCTACGGTGGGCTGGATCAACCAGGAAGTGGATCGGGCAGCTGGTGCCTGGGGCACCAGCCATTGCCTCAGGTATCCACAGTCCCACACCAAATACAGACAGTCAGCATCAATTCTGGTGGAGATAACTACCCTAGACATCCTTTGAGAATAAGATGCGCCTTAATCAAGCTGTGGAGGCAATACTACTGTATTGGATCTGATGATGATGATGATGGGAAAAGCTGAGCGCTGGCTGGGCTGGATATCTGGGCAAGGTGTAGGTGGGGCAGCTCCGAGATGTGAAGGAGCTGCCTCACGTAACCCACCTGCACCTGCCACACAAGCCTACCTCAAAATATAAGCCTCTGTAAACCCAAAGTTAAATTCATCAACGAACTATTGTCGCCTAAATACATGGCTTTCTACTCTTCAATTGCGTGAGTGAGACGTACGCTTAGCTTTGCTCCAAGGCAGGGACGGAAAGGCGGACTGTAGTTTTTGGATGCCCAGTACACATACTCGCTATTTAATGCCCTCAGATCCTTCAGTAAACTAACCTGGAATGTCTCAAAAGTCTCAATTATCTCCTCGAATGTCCTTGCCCAGCGGCGCTTGTCTTGTCCAGATGTTCATCCCAACCTTTTGTCCACCTATGACCGGCAACCCAGCATGCAAATTACGTTGGTCTCCAGAACCGTCAACATGAAGATTTTCCCAATACACGAAACTCCCCTCCAGCGGCCGGAATGTGACGCCTCTCTCCCAAGGCTCGTCGCAGTCAATGAAGGAGCACCATCGGTCGTCGAAAGGAGCATTTAAAAGTGGGAAGTTGGTTCCCCCTCCAGTGACGTTATCGGCTGACACATAACCAAAGAAAGAAGAGAGCCGATTGCCGCCTAGATGAGCTCTGGTGTGTGCGGGATCCGTGAACCAGTCTGTATGAAAATGGTACTGCTGGCCTTTTCCATATTTGACCAGTTGTAACGGTTCTACATGGCTATTTGGCACACTGTATCCCTGGAACGCTATTGCACGCTCTTCGATGCAGCGAACGACATCGTCCCGCCAAAGGCTGGTGCTCTGAGATGTGCGTACGTTGTGTGTGGTTTTGCCGCCAGAGGCATCGATAACGCCTGAATGAGCAAAGGTACCGCTCCTAATAGATGTAAGTCAAGGGGCGAGAGTACACACTGCGAAATGGACTGACGCCGTGTCTAGTAGATGTGACCGCTCAGCGGGTGTGATAAAGTCAGCGATGTAAATGACAAGAGGCGATTTAGACATCATGTGAGTCTTGTACGGCGGATGTGTGCATGCAAAGCCAGAAATGGGTTTCTGGTCCTCAGATAACACGGGGACGACCAGCGTCGCTGCTAGGGCGAAGGCTGCATTCGATAGAAGATTGATCATGTTGCTTGAACGTTGTGGCTATAAGACATCAGATTTTGCTATTAAATTTTCAAGACGGAAGCAACCTTACTTTTGAAGCCATCGCAGCCGAATTTGAAGTCGGATGATCAATTCGGTAGACAGCGGCTGAAACATAGGGCGTTTGAAGCCTGAGTTCGCAACCTTCTCTGGACCGTTCGTTTGGGTCCCTGTGCCAGGTTCGTGTCCAATTCAGGGGTTTCTCCGTCTGATCTGCGTACCTTGCCTTAGCTTCAGACGTCGAAACGCCACGGTTATGGGGCGTCAGCCCCTAATCTTACTGGAGCTTCAGCCAAATCGCCAGCCACTCATTTTGTTCAGCTTTGCAGAGAGAAAGAGAGAGCTGTCTTCTAATATCGGGCTGGTCGGCCGGCCTCGTTGGCTTAAAATTGATCATATTAGCTTGAAAACGGCGGAGATGGACTTGGCAGCGCTACGACTTGTTCAGGCTCTTCTAACGAAAAAGGTTGCACAACTCTCTGTGTTGCAGATGGGTGGTGGATTGCAGCGTGGTCCAACAAAAAGGGTGGTGTAAACTGACAAAACATGTGGTCTATGTCGCCTACTAGTGAAACTTTGTAAGAGCATCGGACATATCAATGTTAATGTTGGAATAGGCCTACATTAGGCAGCAGGAGGTTGCTGCCGCGGTCCGTTCCAGCCACGGTGGTCCGTGTGGCTCAGCCACACGAGGGTGGTATACCCCAGACTTCCTGCCGCCGCTGGCACCTGGTTAGACTTCCACTAAAGAACAATAAGAACAAGCAATATCACCACTACAGTCGGTGATCGTTGCTACCCACGATACTCGAGTATTTTCCTTTTCCACCTGTGAATCCAACAGTTAAGAATATTACAGTCCGGATGTCTGGCATCGTGTCTGTTGCTCTAGTGAAGAGGTGGCATAATATTCTGGACTAGAATTGGAGATGTGGGCCTAGACACTACGGGTCAACCGATGATGATGTTGCAGTCAACGAATTATGCGAACAAAGTAGCAAGTCTCCAAGAACTTCATTAGATTTTTAGGGGCGATGTTATCAAGAGCCTAAGAGGTGGCAGGCACTCTCTGCACACGACATGTAGAGAAGCCCCCGCTACAGCGTTACTCACAAGGTACCTATGTAAAACACTAGGTACCTGAAAACATTCTGAAAGACTAGACCAGGCCTATGCGCTTGTTACTTTAGAAATTCATCTATATGGAAGAAAGACCAAGCTTCCGCAATGAACAGCCAGTGTAGCACCATGCTGATTCCTATGTAAGTAGACCCAAAGACCAAGGTGCTTTATGGATCATATGGCCCGGTCGCCCTACGGCCAGTGAGCAACTCTGCCTCGCCCGATTCTTTGACTAGGTAGATGTCTTCGTGCCTGACGCCAAATCTGTTTTCCAAGTAAATGCCTGGTTCGTTCGTGAAGGTCATGCCAGGTTGAAGCATGATGTCCTTGTTCCACTTATTCAAGTACGGCGACTCATGAGCTGTTTTGTTTCGATTAACTACTGCATTCGGCTTTCGATTATTAGTAACATAGGAAACGCACCTTTAATACCGATACCGTGGCCGAGACGGTGAGTGAACCCATATCCATAGCCGGCATCTTCGATGACTTCACGAGCTGCAATATCCACACTCGCCGCAGTGTTATTCGGCTTGAAAGCGGCGGCGGCAGCGGACTGTGCATCCAATACAATGTCCCACACTCTGAACTTCTCGGCACGCAACTCAGAGTCAGCAATGAGGCGCTGGTGTTCCTCTGGGTTTTGCATCCATGATTTCAGCAGAGATCCCATCCATGGAAGGGTCTGTGGCTTTGGTGAGTCGATGAAGAAGCTCCGACAGATATCCGAACTGTAGCCCAGATAGTGAGCACCAACATCGATGACAACCATGCTCTCAGTAGTAAGTTTCTTCGAACCAGTCACGAAACCCCCGTGGGGAAGCGCTCCATGCTCCTCAAATAGCACAATATTGAAGAACAGTTCAAAATCGATGGAGAGGAGAGCAGAGTTGAGAATCTCGGTGACTTCATCCTCGGTAAGTCCCGACACCAAACAAGGTCGCATCGCTCGAACAGCAACGACAGTCCCGGTGTTTACGACGCGGAGCAACTCGACCTCCGCAGGGCTTTTTTGCTGTTTTACAAGTTCAACTTCTGGAGAAAGGCCGACAGTTTGGAACCCGGCAGCATCCAATCCTCTGACAATGAAATCACGGATTTCCTCGTCGACCATGAGCTTTCCCTGATGACCATCGAAGAGATGTGATTTGAGCAGAGTGTCGTATGGATTCCAATGTTCTTCCCAGATGACAATGTCCAAGTCATCTTCCCTTGTCGGTATACCGAGCATGCGTACCCTGCCCTCTTCGAAGTGAGGCGACAGAAAGGCAGTTTTGGCTCTTACTTCCCCTGATGAAGACACTTGAGGAAGAATGAGCATAAGAAATGGTCGCTCTTCAGGTTCCCAAGGCTCCCAATCAACCTGGGAGATATTGCCATAATACCTGTTCCAGTGTCAGAGACTTGGAGCTTTCGGGATTCTGAAACTGTCAAAGGAGAACTTACTGGAAAGTATAGCCAGGTTCTAGCACAAATGCGTCTACATTTGACGCAACCAAGGCTTGCGCGAGCCGGTCTCTGCGCTCGAGAAACTCATCTGGAGAAATCGGTACGGCGGGGTCGAGGAAGGACAAGTCGGCGTGCAGGTTATCAATAGCACACTGCTGCGCCTTTTGAAATGGTGCTGCGGACATAAGTGACCGCGCGTGGAACGACAGAAAATAATAGCACGAGATGGATGTATATAAAAGCAAAGAAGTTGCAATAAGCTGTAGTACGTTGGGGCGACGGCTGGCATGCGTTGGCACCCGTGCCTGATGCAGAGGCATGCCCTCTGGGCATTTTGTTGATCCTAGCATCGCAATCATACCGCAATGCGTTGAGAAATCTGTAGAAGAGCAGGCACAATTAGACATGAAAGGACTAGAAAAGTATGTGTCTTCCGGAGCTGGGACGCAGGTGAGCACACAAGGGGATGATGCAGTGCCGATAAATCAGATTCAGACGTCGGAGGGTCTCCGACCTCGCGTTCTACCCTCTCCGGGGTGCAGGAATTGGAGATCTTTTACCGGATTAGGGAAGTCTCCCCACACGAGTTATGCCAGGATTGTTGCAGCAACAGCAGGTACGAGCGTCCACCCCATTATCTACGACATGGGTGCCGATAGCGTTACCCAGTTTCCCGTCGGCTTACAAGGCCGATCCGGAGGAGAAAAGATAAGAGGCATGCCGCGGCATACGTCGTTATTCTCCCCCTTCGGCGCAGATGCGCCGAACATGAAATGCCGTTCCTTCGGGTTAAGTATGGGACTGGCCCACACGACGTTATCCGGGGCGCATGTCCTTGTGTTCTCGATTTTGCCAAGCTTTCGTAGTGTATATCGTGGTCTTTGATCCAGATGATACCAAACAATGGTCACAATGCCAGAAGTTAGCAGCGTATCTCGCGATGCCCAGGACCGCGTTGATGCTGGAGGCGACGAAATTGCCATTGACGAAAAGAAAATTACGAGCAAAACCCCGGAAGGTGGCGATGTAGACGTAGTAGAAGAAGAGCCACAGAAGACGTATTACAGCAGTTTGTCTGTATGGTTGATGGTCTTGTTCTCTGGACTGGCAATCGGCTCAGATGGCTAGTATGTTGGGTTCCTCCCCTCGCTGCCTTGTTCCAGAACGAGTTACTGACAATGCTGCAGCAATGCCGCCGTCATTGGCAATGTCGAACTGCTGCTTGCGATCCTTTACCCGGATGATCTGACGACTACTATATACCAGAGGCTCTCTAATGCTTTTCTGATCGGCATGATTGTTGGAATGATACTTTTTGGTGTCATCAGTGACCAACTTGGCCGCAAGACTGGTGCTGTGGCGACAACAATCTTGCTGGTGCTGGGAATTACGTTGTCAACCGCAGCCAGTGGCACCACGACCACAGGCATGTTTTGGATGCTTATCATTGCTCGTGGTATTGCTGGCGTGGGTGCAGGGGGAGAGTACCCAGTCTCTGGCGCTGGTGCCGCCGAAGCAACCGACGAAGACGCCAAGTTTCGCAAGAGAAGAGGCTTCATGTTTGCGATGCTCGCAGACTTATCAGCCAGTCTAGGGTATGTTTGGGGAGGCTTGGTGCCGCTGCTGTTGCTGCTGTGCGTTGACCAACAAGTCTCAAAATACCACATTGTTTGGCGAACCTCGTTTGCGCTGGGTATGGCGCCTCCCCTCCTCATCTTCTGGTTCCGAATGCGAATGGCAGTTTCGACTGCGTACCGGAAGTCAGCCATGCGGAAGCAGAGGATGCCATACTGGCTTGCTTTGAAACGGTATTGGCGACCGCTTCTTGGTGCAGCCTCAACTTGGTTCTTGTACAACTGGATTTCCATACCGTTTGGCATTTTCAGCTCAACCATTATATCGAGAGCCAATGTTGAGGAAAGTCTTGTGAAGACCCTTGGGTGGGGCGTGGTAATCAACTGTTTCTACATCCCTGGCCCGTTCATTGGGGGATACCTATCCGACAAAATTGGGAGACGTCAGACTATGGCTTTGGGCTTTACTTTGCAAGCAATCCTTGGTTTTGTTCTCGGGGGTGCGATGAATCCCATTCAGGGTGTTTTCCCTCTTTTCGTTGTTCTCTATGGTATATTCCTGACGCTTGGCGAAGTCGGTCCGGGCAGGTAAGAGCATACCATGTATCACTCTGGACCGTCAGATTTCTTACTTACACTTGCTGCAGCACGGTTGTTCTGATAGCCTCTGAGTGCTTTCCCACATCCATCCGTGGTCAAATGATGGGACTCATCTCAGCCTTCTCGAAGGCGGGAGCTGCCATTGGCACACAGGTAAGCCAACTCTTGCCGTCAGTGACTGTAGTTTGATCGATATTGACGCGAGATAAAAGGTCTTTACCGCAATTTTGAACAAGTACACCGACGATCCATCCAAGGGAAACCAGGTTGCATTCCTTATTGGCTCCGGATTCGCTGTTCTCGGTGCCATCATCGCGCTCTTCGTTATTCCAGATATATCAAGGCACCTTAATGATGACGATGAAGCCTGGAAGAAGTACCTAGCTGAGAATGGCTGGGACGCCCAATGGGGCGATGAGGTGACCCGCGACCCGACCGGCGTTATCATGGATAAAGCTGCGTCCTAGCCTTTCCATCTCATTTGACTTCGTGCACATGCATCAGCTCGATGCCCATCCCTACCCGGCATAATTATCCGATGCTCTCTCACGTTATGATACAGCATACAAAAGAGTTCGCAAACAGAATTACTACAGACACCGTTTTCGGGTTCCTAGAAAGACAAATTCACTACCAAATCCTACAATATAGAAAGAATGTTGTTGGCCGAGAAATGAATGGCTCATGCTTGTATAATTCGTAGTGCGTCCGTATTGATCTTTTGAGGACCTCCATGCCTGGATGCCAACAAAGTGAATCATGCCGATATGAATGACTTGGGTGACATGAGAAGGCAGGTGTAGTTACTAGTTTCAACAATGATAAAAGCAACCCCCGCGCAGGATACCCTACCGAGGTGACATTCGGTCAAGGTATGGAAATTTGAACCCTGGTGACCTGCCTGAATTGGCATAGTTGAAGTAAACACGAGAAAGCCAAGCATCGACGCCATGTATCTATCGCGGATCGCAGACATTGAACGATGGTGTGATTTTCGCCCGGTTATAATAAGTTTGGAAACCTCCCGCAAGTTTTTGTTCTTGTGAAACAAACTGGACTGATTTAACCAACGCAATATGAGGTTGAACTACTCTTTCGCTCTGCTCTGGGGAGGATTGTCATCCATCTTGGGATACCCATTTGATGCTATACAGAATGCCATACCGAACCGATACATTATTAGTTTGAAAGCCGGAGTCAGTGGAGAGGCCTTTTTAGGGCATATCAAATGGGTACAGGATGTGCATCGTAGACGGGGTTTGATGCGGCGAGACATCTTGGGCGTTGAGAGAACCTTTGATATTGGCGCGTTCCATGCCTATGCTGGCTCATTCGACGAGGAAACCCTGTTGGAAATCAAGGCTCACGATGCAGTGAGTGCTTTCCGGGATTATCGCCACGCCCATTATTAACTTTGACTCAGGTCGAGCTTGTTGAACCTGACACACCGGTATTCCCGTTCGAAGTAGTCACACAGACCCAAGCCACTTGGGGACTGGGAGCATTATCATAGCCTGCTCCCTTCAGTACTAATGCAAGCCTGCGCAATGGATTCGAGTACAGGTATGACGAGAATGGAGGGCTAGGAACATTGGCGTACGCGGTTGATACAGGAGTCTGGGTGGACAACCCGGATTTTGAAGGTCGCGCCGAGCTTGGTTACTGTCAGAGCCCTCCCGGATAGGGGCTAGTCAGAGGTAGTAAGGAGTCCAAGCAACAAAGGAGCATCTCAGATATATATACAGCGCGGGGAGTACACGTCGAGGGAGGAGTAGATTTCAGTAATTCATCATTCTACCCCTAACTGCAGTTGGCCTCTGAGAGCTTCCACCCTGCGTCAACATCCCAACTTGACAGTTACACTGTATACCCGGATATCCCTTTCGAAGACAGCAGTGGTATTGGTACTCATGTTGCTGGAACGATCGCTTCCAAGACATGGGGCGTTTCAAAAAAGGCGCAGATCATTGGTGAAGGTGATCGCACCAAATCAGGTACGTCAAACAAGTGCCCTTAGCTGGTAAAGCTGCGGTAGCATTGATCCTCGGAGAGCAGGGCGTCATGTCAGACTTCATGGAAGGCTTTTCATGGGCAGTCAATAATATTACAGAAACTCCTGGCCGCGCGGCAGTTTCCGTCATCAATATGAGCCTAGGTAGGTCAAGACGCAGCCCCCATCTGCCAGTCTACGAGGCTAATGATGGTGTGAAAGGTGACCCTACCAACTATGCGTTCAATAATTTAGTTCACGCAGCATCCGAGCAAGGCATTCTGTCCGTCGTCGCAGCTGGTAATGCAGCTGTTGACGTAAGCCGAGTATCGCCAGCTGGAACTGCAAGAGCAATCACCGTGGCAGTCAGCGCTGTCAACAACACTGTTTGGGGGTTTAGCAATTTTGGATCTGGAGTCGACTTGTATGCGCCAGGGGTAGATGTGTACTCATTGTCTCTTGAAGCGGGGAAAGATGTTGCCTTGAGTGGGACTTCTATGGCATCACCACACGTTGCTGGGCTAGCTTTATATCTGAAAAGTGTCGAGCCAGGCCTGGAAACGGTGGATGCCATCACAGCTAGGATTTTGGAATTGTGTAAGCGCGATGTCATCCAAGGAGTTCCGGGAAGTACTCCGAACTTCTTGGCATATAACGGTGTCGGTGTTTAGTCGTCGGGTTCCACGATCAACAAAGTTAGAACAAGTAGCCGACGATAGAGCAAAGGCCGAATACCGCCGAGCGCAACTACGAGTAAGTTAACGAGACGATGGGTCCACTAGGGAACTATCTCTCGATGGAAACTGTCAATCCGAGCGGGCGACAATCGGACTTTAGGGAAAGACATTGCCCGAGCCGAGGGGCTATCAGTATAAGAAATGCCGATAAGACCGGTGATTTCACGTTGTGCTGCTTCTCTCATCAAATATTTCGCCGTCTGCTCGTAGTGCTGGAGCATCAGATTCCAAAGAATACTCACCCAATCCTTTCTTGTAAGAAGTGACTCAGCAGAGTCATGGCCTTTGAGAAGTGCCGCTGGAGAAGAATACATCGTTCAGATTGGCTTTCCAAGAGACTGGCAGAGTCGCTCCAGTCAGTAGAATGAACCCCGGTCCCTATCTTGTACGTCAAGCCGCATTCTCTAGTCTTGCCCATTACTCTGACAGAAAATAGTTACCTCACAGATGGAAACTCTGTATTTCTAACTGCTTTGGAGTCGATGCATCGTCATTTATGTATGCGCTCTTCAAATGTCCAAGGGATTGTTGTCGCTATTGGCTACCCTATCCCTGCGGACTCAAAATTTCTTCTAACTAAGTGCCCGCAGAAGTCGAGATCTTACACCACCTGCCAATGGGATAGCCGGTCACGAAGGAGGTGCCGACGTCCTCCTTAGCTTTTTACAGAACAAAGTCAAACCGTTGGTCGCTCGGCGACTCTACGAGAGCCGCGGCGCGACTGTAGGCCGTGAAGCCCTCTATGGACATTCATACGGGGGACTTCTCTCTTTGTACGCACTATTCACAAGGACAGATATGTTCACCTGTATCTTGGCCAGTAGCCGTAGTGTCTGGTGGAATGAGGGCTACATCGTTACTGAAGAACGCCGTTTTCGAGAGAAAGTAGACTGTAAGAATAGTAGTCCATCGCTCATGCTTTTTGTCGCGAATGAGGAACAAACTCCAACAAGGAGTAGGGGCGAAGGAGAAGATGAGTATAACAGGAGGTTGAGACGGCACCGTGGACTACACATGGTTGACAATGTCATCTCAATGAATTCGAGATTAGAAAGGAGTGCGCGGCTAGAACGTCTCTCGATAAGAGTTTACCACGGAGAAGATCACGAAACCGTCGTAGCTTGCTCCCTTAACCGGGGACTTGCAACGTTCCTTGACGATTGGCCCCTAGTATGAAAGGAGCAAAGTACACCAATCCCTGTCGAGCGTAGCCCATTTCTAAACACGTTGCATTGACAATGATTATAGGATATGCAAAACCTGTGGTTTTATTAAAGATGAGTCGTTGAATGTCCATTGTCCAACGTCGTCCCCATGAGTGTGTGAACCTTGCCCACTTCGGACAACTTGATAGCCACTAGCCCTCGCCGAATCTTCCATGCTACTGGTAGAGTGCCCAGTGCATCCTGAACCCTGCCTCAAGATCTTTCAACAATGAGACTCGAGGCCGGTTATTCGTGAAGTGAACCAAAAGCGAATGAGTCTCACAGAGACTGTCTACTCGGCTGCCGGGCAGTGATCGTAATAGCCGTCGGCATTATTACCCCACCATGTAGGGAAGGGAACAGAGGGGCCGCCGGCGCCGAACACCGCAAACGACAAGATGAAGAGTACTGTAAGACTGGCTCCGTCGAATGCGCCGGTGACTAGGTACGAGTAGTCCTTGAAGATACGGGGGCGGTAGTTGCGGAGATAGAATTGAACGAAGAAGCCGCTGATCAGCGAGCTGAAGAGCACGCAGGTCTGAGACGCGTTGTACGGAATATAGCCCGCATATTGGATGAGTTGGGGCAAGTTGATCTCGTACAAGGAGTAACCGCGGATCTTGGGGACAAACTGAGCAAATACGAGTTAGCGACTGCACTGTATTGTGAAATGGCTCTTGAGAGACCTACGTATGCAATAATGCGATGGATAATAACAACGCCGAAGCCGATGCCTAAACCAATTGGCACGAGAGCGTACTTGCCACCAGTCTTGTACAAGTACTTTGCAAGCGCCCAGGATGTGGCGTTGGTGTTGTACGACTGCATCGTTGCACCGCTCCAGGAACTGTTTCCGTCGCTATCCACAAGGAGCTCTCGGTTTCCATTCACAATGGAAATCATGACTGCGTAGTTGATGAAACCGCCGATGATGGTGCCGTAGATTTGGGTGAGAAACATAACACGAGGAGGGATTTTGACTGGTGAACCACGTTAGTAAAGTATACCAAGTCATATATGCTAGCACATACGGTATTCTCCCATCTTCAGATCGTTGGAAAGATTAACAGCATTCGAGATGACGTTGTGCGACCAAGCGGCGAAATACATGTTGCCAATGGGACGCTCAGGAAGGATGAGACCTGCCAGCATCTTCGATAAGTTGTTTGTAGCAATTCCATTACCGAATCGAGAGTAAAGAATCGTGCTCTGGGTGCGAGTCAGCTCAGAACTAGATGGAGAATAGAGGCTTCCGTTTTTACCAGCGGCGCGATGAAGATACCGAGAAGCAGCGACACGACGTATGCCCAGGCTGGAAGTGTAACATTCTGCGTGGTAACAACGACGAGGCCAAGAACAAAGCTGGCGACAAGCACAATGACGTACCACCACCATGGCGTCTCCTTGTAATGCTTGGTCATATGATCGTGATGGCGATCGTCGTATCTACCACTCTTTGCGCTTTGGTAGGCTCTCTTCACGTCTCCGCCCCAGAAAAAGAAGCAGTGGGCAACCAGGGCACCAATCTGTTGTTCTGTCAGCCTGCATCACGGCGATAGAGAAATGTAGGACCCATAAGACCTACTGCGGCGTTGGCCATGAACATTGCGTACGCGAAGCTGCCCGTGAGCCTGGGAATTCCGTACTTGGTGAGGGCGTCCTGGTCGAGCACACCCCCAGTGAAGACCTTGGCAATGGGATACGCAGTGCCGTCCTCGGACCGCAGTCGGGTGGACATGAAGGGCTGCGATTTGGCATCCCAGGCGTTTGTGTAGTAAATCCCAATCATTGCAAGGAAACAAATGAAGAATCCAATGGCAGAGTGAGCTTGCAAAGTCAGAGGAAGGGACGTGTTGAAGGAAGTGATCTAGAGAAGTCTTAGTCAAGCAACCAGGCTGAGTTGATGATGAGGTCGCTTACGTATTGCCAGTCGAAAGACAAGGAGAATAGGCCCAACCCTTCATTGTTGATAGAGCCGCCAAAAAGATTCGTGAGAACAGCAGCCTTTGAGCCTGTGGCGTTCATGGCCGCAAGGCAGGGAATGGAAACGGAGTTCAGCCACGGAAAGATGTATGCCGGGAAGAACTCGTAAACAAACATGCCTGCAAAACTGTACCAAAACCAACGGAGAGGCTTGGAGTTCTTCAGATCCTGCCAATGAAGACCCTGGAGCGTCTTAACTGTAGGAAGAGTACTCCAATATACGGCGTCAACATGCCATACGGCGATGGGGCGCATAACACCGCAAATGCCGTAGCCAAAGAGGCCGATGGAGATGACGGTCAGAACAACAGTTGTCGGACTCAGAGGCAAGTCGTAGAAGAGATCCTGTGCCGCGAATACCTGAATACTAGCGGCCGCATTGGACGCAGATGTGGCAGTGATAGAGCAAATTGCATGCTCTTTCAATCCCCAGGGACCCGGGTTGATGAACTTGAAGAACTTGACGTACGCAGGAAGCTCGCCTTCGGGATGATCCTGTCTCCAACGAGCTTCGAGGTTGTCACCGCGAGGGAAGGTCTTGGCCCATGCCTTACCCACAAAGTAGCCGATGAGTACGATGAATGTTCCGGAAATGGTGATGGCGGTCGGTTTGAACTAGGAACGGAAAAGCACCTTATTAGCCAAAGTTCGCTCCACTTGCGATTTGAGAAGAAACGAAAGAAGCTCACAGTGTAAATTTGACTCATCACAGCCTGGAAAGCCGAGAGACAAGTTGCCAGGAAAATGCTCCGGAAGGTTAACGAAGGATCGAAGTCATCTCGGAGCGGGAGCAGGTAGCGGGACGCGTCGGCACCGGTGATAATGATAGCATTGTCGCTGTTGTCGTCTTTCTCGTGGTTTCCGTCATTCGACGGCGCAGTTGCCGGAATGGCTTGAATTTCGGAAGCTAATTCTTTCCCAACACCAGACTCATCGATGCTGACTTTCTCGTTGATGGCTTTGTGGGAAGGGACCGAAACAATTTTACCCTCGACGGGGTTCAGTCCCCCCACCACGATGGCATCCGTCAATGGCACCGGCATGGTCGCAACAGGAGAGCACAGACCAGGGCAGGAAAGGCAAGAATCAAAGAGACATGCGACCAAAACAACAAAGTTTAGTTCGTGAATCTGTAGTGCTAGCAGCTCGGGTTTTCTGCAAACTCAGGGGAAGGCAATCATGGTCATTTTGTACTCGATTCCTCAGCTAGGTGCTGATTGGCGACCCCTGTTGTACCACTGATCCGGTATTGATTGTCCTCATGATAAGGGGTTCGATGTCGTGATAAGAAGCGGCATTGGTGCAATTGCAGGCCTTGAAGCTGTTGTAGGACGGGTTGAATGTCGGATGCCGCTCGACAGGGTACACTGCATGTTGTCTGGACTTCAGCTGGGGTCTTCGAGCGAGCCCGGCTGATTGGAACGCCACTACACAAAGAGTACTACGAGCTTTTAGGAAGGTCCCTATCAGAAGTTTGCTGACACGATAGGGATTCCCCGGAAAGAACAAGGTTTCGACAATGGCTTCTTGCTACCAGTGTGCAAACTTAGACATGTTCTTCGGTCCCTCGGCCCATTCACGGAAAGAGGGTGTCCCAAGCAATGCCCAGGCGGGAAGGTCATGTCTTAAGCCTTGCCAAGATGTGGCCGAGACCTTGGGGCGACTGTTGGCAGACTCGGCCAGCCGTCCCAACCAAGCTAGTTCGTCCCAACTCATGCCATCTATCGGAGTTGCGATACCCTGGTTGGTCTTGCTGGAGAATTCGACAAGGATTCCGAGATGAAGCATCTGATGCTCATTTGCTGGCTCTGAGTGGGGGCGGATCCCGATCCTCGCACTTTTGTCCTTGACGTGGTCAGTCGCCCGAACTTTTGCTCCAAACGTGCTTTGATTGAACTTTTGTTCTTGACGACAATGTGGCGGGAATATCGTGTTGCTGTATAAGAGGTTACGCCTGTAAGCCCGACGTATTGTCCCAAGACCAAATGGATGGGCCGCTCAATCGGCATCTAAATGTTGTGGGTGTTGAGTTTGCCTTCTTATCGTATGGGAACACGCGGCCGCATCAAAAAAAAAAGCGCAAGGTCAACTAGTTTTCCAAATTGGAACCTGATTCTCGACCTCATGGCAGTTCAGTCTACCTAACCTCTAGGACACGACGAACTGTAGTAGAGTTCATAGAAAACGCCATAGAAAATAATTATAGGGCGTGAATACTAGGGTGTAGAGTTGATAGAGATTATAGGGGTAGAGTTGGTAGATGTTTCCTTAGCTAAAATAGACGATATAGATATGCATCGAAAGCTGGCAATCAGGCGAGTTCAGAACTTATCTTATCTTTATTCATAACCCAGTATTTATCTCTATTTGTATAGATTCGTATTTGCCGATTTGATGGGGTGAAGATGGCTCGTGCATCAGTGCACCAATCAACGCTAGAGCAATCATTACATAATCTTGCCATGCTCACTGAGGCAGCAGCCAATCATAGTATTTCTACCCAGCGTTTCCTTTGTGGTAACTATAGAAATATACCTAGATATAATAGGACGTGTTAGCTACCTACCTACGGACACGCTACCGCCATATCCCACCGTCGACCCGTAGTAGCATCGTTAAGGCTATCTCTAGTATAATAGGTATACGTACGAACCAGGCCAGTCTTGCGCAGCTGTAGTTGTTGAAGTGCGGAAGTGGAATTGGGCGGGTATGCTCGGACCAGAACGAGCAATCTGAACCCATAATAATCTGGGTGAGACCAACCAATGAAAATGCAGGAATCCAGGTGCCTCAGATGAGGGATATTCCTGGCTGCATCTGGAAAGGAGAGAACGCAACATAGACAAAAAAAATGATCACGATAATCCACGACAATTAACAGTCTGATAAGCACCAATTGTATCACGAATAGACCGATTATACCACGAAGACCCAATTCACGAGCCGATCACGAACGAATCAATACCCATATCAACGATGGACCACAAGAAACAGATCTCCCTGACGAAGCCAACCGACTGGCCCTCATGGATCAAGTACATCAAGGGCAAGGCTATCGACTACGACCTATGGGACCTCGTAGACCCAGAGGCTGGCAGAAGCCGAATAGACCGTCGAGAGAAGCCCATACAACCCCTAGTGTCTTCCTTCATGGCCAGACTGGTTCCACAGACAAGTGGAACTCAGACCAGATCAGCAGCAGCAGCAAATGCTGAGGAACACTACTCGACCGAAAGAGCCAGAGACATAGGCGACCTAGTCAGAGTGGATAGGGAACTATACATCCAACTGAGAGCAGACTATAACACTGAAAAGAAGGAGTACGAGGCTGAAGCAAAGGCTCTCCGCGAACTACGAACGATCATCACAGACACAGCAAGGAGGAAATACATAGATGCTTGCTGTGATCAAACTAAACCAACCCACGAGTGGTTGATGAAGTTGAGGTCAGTAGCTGGCATCAGTTCGACAGAAATCAGGAGGACGATCCGAGGAGAATACCAGGCAGTCCTTCAAGCCAAGAAGTTACAGTCTAAACAAGATATAGAGAGATGGTTAGAAAGCTGGGAAGCAATCATGTTAAGAGCAGAAGAGAACGACATGCCAGAAGCCACAGAGACAGATGCCTGGGTAGAGTCCCTGTTAAAGGTTCTCGCTAACTCAGCCATCAGCAACTGGGCAGCTGCGTACGAGATCAATGGTAGAAGAGACCCAACGATTGCCGACATTACAGCTCAGATCAGGAGACACCTGAGAATTCATGCCGACAAACTAGTGCCCTCCAAGGGTAACCCAGTCAAGGGGTCTTTCGCAGATGTTGAAGGAGACAACAACCAGAAGAACAACAGCATGCCCATCGCAGGGTCAAGGGGACAGAAGAGACACCGAGCAATGGACAGCATTGACAACGACAGACGATGCAAGATATGCAACGTCAGGTGCCATGATATGGAGAAATGCTTCTACATCATCCCAGAGTTCGCACCAAAGGGATGGGAAGGCAGACCAGCAACGATAGACCGAGTTAACCGCATGCTCAGAGAGAATGAGGAGCTAGAGCGAGAGGTCAAGAGCATTAGAGACAAGCTCAAGGCTGAGGGGAAGTTGGACACCAATAGGTGACTATATGGCCGGAATATGGGAACAGCATGTGCTGTTTGGTATCAACCAAACCATGCCTCGTTCCATACCAACGATAACTATCCCCTAAATCATCAGCGATCTACGACTCAGGGACAACTATCCATGTATTCAACGACAAATCAAGATTCCAGAACATGAGGGAAGCAGAAGCAGGATATTTCCTATGGACAGGAACCTCAAGGGCGAGGATAGAAGGATATGGAGAAGTTGACCTGATAGCTACAGGATCTCGCAGAAGTCAGGCAGTCAAACTACGACTACACAATGTGGCATACTGCCCTGACTTTGTCACCAACTTAGTCTCCTTCCAGAAGCTTAGGAAGAGAGGGAATCTACTGGGATACCCGCCCAAGCCAGAATTGTCTTCGTCGATCAGATGACACTTTTGTCTGCCAACTCCAGGAGATACATGGACAACAGGTCATCGAGTACAACCCAACAGGCAGCACAAGGACAGTGGCTTCATTCTATACATCATCAAGGAAGAAAAGGCCTACCAAGGCAGGACCGAGACTATGGCACTTACGAATGGGCCACCCAGGCGACAAGACCATCAACCACCTGGTCAATGCCTCAAGGGGTGTCAAGTTGACCCAGGAATTCCCTAACCGAGCCATCAGTATATGCGAAGCCTGTCGACTAGGCAAAGCAAAGAGACAAGTGAGCAGACTGCCCAGAGAGTCTCTGCAGTGGTCGAGGATAGGAGAAAGGATTGCTGTCGATTTCCATACAGTCTCGCCACAAGGATATGGAGGAATCACGTCAGCAGTCATCTTCTCAGACAGGATAACTGGGTGCTCATGGGATTACTATCTCCATGACCGTACCAGTAACACCCTGTTGAAGGTATTCACCATGTTCTTGACATGATGAAGATCCAGCACCACATCACTGTCAAGACCATCGAGTGTGACAACGAGATCACCACCACACACACTCAAGTAGCAGAGATGCTAGACTCTAAGGGTATATCAACAGAAGCGAGCGCCCCTAACACACAAGCTCAGAATGGAGCTGCTGAGAGGATTGCAGCAGTAATTAAAGAGAAGGCCAGAGTAGTAGTACTAGACGCCGCCCACGGCCCCGGCCCCCTCGGGTTAGGGCCAGCCCTTGGGGGTGGGAAGGTTGGGAAGGAGGGAGGGAGGGAGGGAGGCAGGGAGGGAGGGAGGGAGGAGAGGCTTAGGGACGTAGGTCATCATTATCGAAGCTTTTGCTTTGTGCCACAGTTGGTTGCCTTGTCCAGCTCGTACCATTAGATTGAATAGTAAGAATATGGTATCTACGGTAGTTCTATATTAAGTACCTACTAGTACACTACGTAATGATGAAACCAGTGACTATATTATCTTGACGTTACCTAGGTATAAAAGCCTTTTGGTGTTTCCATCTGCCCCTAGGATAAAACAGAGATATGCCCCCAGGTGCAGAACAAGATATGCCCCCAGGGGCAGAACAGAGATATGCCCCCAGGGGCAAAATAGAGATATGCCCCCAGGTGCAGAACTGATCATCTGCCCCCAGGTGCAAAAGAAGATATGCCCCCAGGGGCAAAACAAGATATGCCCCCAGGTGCAGAACTGATCATCTGCCCCCAGGTGCAGAACAGAGATATGCCCCCAGGTGCAAAAGAAGATATGCCCCCAGGGGCAAAACAAGATATGCCCCTAGGTGCAGAACTGATTATCTGCCCCCAGGTGCAAAAGAAGATATGCCCCTAGGTGCAGAACAAGATATGCCCCCAGGTGCAGAACAAGATATGCCCCCAGGTGCAGAACTGATCATCTGCCCCCAGGTGCAAAAGAAGATATGCCCCCAGGGGCAAAACAAGATATGCCCCCAGGTGCAGAACTGATCATCTGCCCCCAGGTGCAGAACAGAGATATGCCCCCAGGTGCAAAAGAAGATATGCCCCCAGGGGCAAAACAAGATATGCCCCCAGGTGCAGAACAGAGATATGCCCCCAGGGGCAGAACTGAGATATGCCCCCAGGTGCAAAACTGAGATATGCCCCCAGGGGCAGAACTGATCATCTGCCCCCAGGTGCAGAACAAGATATGCCCCCAGGTGCAATAGAAGATATGCCCCCAGGTGCAGAACTGAGATATGCCCCCAGGTGCAGAACTGATCATCTGCCCCCAGGTGCAGAACAGAGATATGCCCCCAGGTGCAAAAGAAGATATGCCCCCAGGGGCAAAACAAGATATGCCCCCAGGTGCAGAACAGAGATATGCCCCCAGGGGCAGAACTGAGATATGCCCCCAGGTGCAAAACTGAGATATGCCCCCAGGGGCAGAACTGATCATCTGCCCCCAGGTGCAGAACAAGATATGCCCCCAGGTGCAATAGAAGATATGCCCCCAGGTGCAGAACTGAGATATGCCCCCAGGGGCAGAACTGAGATATGCCCCCAGGTGCAAAACTGAGATATGCCCCCAGGGGCAGAACTGATCATCTGCCCCCAGGTGCAGAACAAGATATGCCCCCAGGTGCAATAGAAGATATGCCCCCAGGTGCAGAACTGAGATATGCCCCCAGGTGCAAAAGAAGATATGCCCCCAGGTGCAGAACAAGATATGCCCCCAGGTGCAAAAGAAGATATGCCCCCAGGAGCAGAACAGAGATATGCCCCCAGGGGCAGAACTGAGATATGCCCCCAGGGGCAGAACTGATCATCTGCCCCCAGGTGCAGAACAGAGATCTGCCCCCAGGGGCAGAACAGAGATATGCCCCCAGGTGCAGAACAGAGATATGCCCCCAGGGGCAGAACTGATCATCTGCCCCCAGGGGCAGAACTGAGATATGCCCCCAGGTGCAGAACAAGATATGCCCCCAGGGGCAGAACAGAGATATGCCCCCAGGTGCAGAACAGAGATATGCCCCCAGGGGCAGAACTGATCATCTGCCCCCAGGTGCAGAACAGAGATTTGCCCCCAGGTGCAGAACAGAGATTTGCCCCCAGGTGCAGAACAAGATATGCCCCCAGGACAAAACAGAGATATGCATAGTTACCTTATTATGAGGAGTCTGTTTGCTACGCGCGCGTGCGTCCAGCCCACGGAAAGCTCCCTAAGGTAAAAACCTCATACTGAGGACTTAAGCTAAAACACATCGTTGAAATAAAAAGAGGACGTTAATAGATAATTACCTGAACGCGGTATATGTAGAGATTCAAGAAAAGAAGCCTTTACATCAACATAAATAAAGAAGGATAAGGAGGAGTTGCACCTAGAGCAGCAGCAGGCGTGACGGACGAGCGCGAACGGAGGATAGAGAAGAGTAAAAGGAACCTATAGAGGAAGACAGGAAGAAGAAGAAGAAGAGGAAGACAGGAAGAAGAAGAAGAGGAAGAAGGACGCGACCAGAACAATAAGGACGCGACCAGAACAGTACGGTCGACAACAGGCTGTCAATAGACCGAATAGGTAGCTGAAACGCGTTAAACTAAACGGGTATAGCGTCGTAAAAAGCAATACCTTGCCTAACGCGTTTGGAGAGGATGCACCGTATAGCCATAAGATGCGTTGCATTCTCCTTGCCAGTAGCAGGCAAACCGACACCAATAAAGATAAGCATAGTAAGGAAGGAAGGTAAAGGAGCTATTACGACGCGTAAGAATACTACTTGAAGTAAGGTAGATAGATGACGGAAGAGGGGGGATAAGAAGTTGGGTATATGGTGGTAAGGGGAGAGTGGTTATCAACATGGGGAGGCAGAGCAGGGGCGTACGTGGGGCTACTGATAGAGCGAGGGAGACTGCAGCGCAGCTCGCCGGCAGATATGGGGATTAGTAATTCCGCTTCCGCGCGTGATGCTTCAACTGCACCCAGCCAGCAGTCAAAGAGAGCAGCGTCAAAGGAGGCATATCGCAGCAGGCAACCACCACACTAGAGTAAGAGTAGATACGTAGGTAGAAAATGATTCACAGAATGTTGTTTTAGTAGTTTTAGGTTCTTATATTGATATAGTGAAGTACGGCTATGTGATGAATAAAAGTGTATAATTGAATGTAAAAGTAAGAGCAAAGTGAAGATGAAATAATGTTAGGCAAAGCTTTTTCTCCCACAACGAACTGCTTGCAACAACGTACTAGAGCTTTCCTAACCTTGAGCAATTCAACTACAGCTAGCATATGCGCGCATATAAAAGGACTGTTGACGAGCTGGGCCTGGGAGGCAGTAATTTACACTACGGTGAAATATAGTATGTTGTATAATTGTAAACTAGTGTAGCCTGAAGCTGACTAGATGGGTCTTTCCCTACTAGATAAGCGCTTTATCTGTTTGATCTAGGGAATCGACTGGATGGAGGTGTTAAGGACAGGTAGAAGTGCCGAGACGGGCTCTAGCCAGACCAAGATAAGGTGAATGGCTATAGTATAGCTCCTCCTAACATGCAAGCTCACACGATGAAGGTGAATCCTATCCACAACCCTAGGGTGTTCAATACTAGATAGGGCCAGCGCTTGCTCTCAAAGCCTGCCCTCAAAGCCTGCCCTCAAAGCCTGCCCTCAAAGCCGGCTATAGGAAGCCAGCGGCGGAGCGGACCCGGCGGCGACCCACCCGGAGGCATCGCGCTCCATACGTCGGTAGCCCAAGGCGACCAATCAGCAGGCAGAGACCCCTACCAGCACCTGCCCGGTCCCAGACCCTTTAACATGGTCGTATATAATAAAAGCCTAGGCCAACCCACACCCACCTCATCAGAACCCCAGAGGAAACCAACCATCACCACCACAATGCCACAGACGACAACAACAGAGAAGAAGCGGAAGAGAAGGGCAAGGGACGCTGCCGAGGCGGCGCCCAACCAAAAACGCCAGACAAAAGAGGATACCTTCCTTGGCGAGAGCGAATCAGTCCGGGAGCGCGCCAGGCCCTACCTACTCGCCGTGGCCAAGATACTAGTCGATACGCTCGGGACGAGGTGGAGCGTCGGCAGGAACCGCCCGCTCGAGGCAGGGCATGCTCGCAAACTAAAGGAGGTCTTTAAGAGGAGCGGTCTAGAACGCCGCGCCTCAGAACACCGCATCCTCGTACTCTACGGCGCCGAGGAGGTCCGCCGCATACAAAGCGCGCAGCCAGGGAGCGACCGGGGCGGCGAGGACGACTTTCTCGGCTAGGCCGCGGTGAACGGCAGCACGCCCGAGGTGATGGCAGGCCAGCACCGCATCGAGGCCCTCCGGGCGTATATGAAGGAGACGGGCGGGTCGGCGTCGGACCTATGGTGGACGTGCGAGCTCTACGACCAAGGTGGGCAACCAACCGGTACCGCCCACGGGTAAGCGGGCGCGGCGGGAAGGCTAACGGCAGCTAGACCGCCTACCATCCGACCTCAACCTCAAGTTACGAGTCAACCGGAGGGACCCAAGCCAAGCCGACACCCACGGCCAGATCTGGACGCAGCTGGTATCGATCGGCCGCGACGCCGAAGGGCCGCTCCGGCGCGGGCGTGTCAACGGTGATCTCAAGCTCGTAGAGGCGCTACGGCTGGGTAGCGAGAAGGGTTTCCCGATGCGAAGGCTGGTCACGCTATGGAACCACCAAGGATGGCGGGACATGACGACGAGATGGTGCCGCACAAGGCTGGGCCTCGAGACCTTTAGCATCTCGACGTTCGAATGGATGGCCCGGCTCCGGGTCGACGACTACTGGTTTTCGACGCTGGACACGGTGCTCCGCACCATCGAGGCCCTGCCGCTCGACGGGTGCGGCGAACCCGGGCAGGCCGACTGGCACCGGATGGCAGCAGGTCTCGGAGGGGTCGGCCGACCACGGGACGCAGTGGAATCCTTTTTCTTCAAGGACGAGGGCGGCCGTCGCGCCCGGCGGGACGAAGGCCTGCTCGCATTCCTGGACGACGTCAGATACGGCGCCGTGTGCGAGGCCATTGCGGCCGCTCCCGAGCTCGCCTTCCCCGACCTACGGCGCTTCCTCCGCACCAAGAAGGCCGACGCACAAACGGCGGTCCGTATCCTCCAGCACACCATCGCCTGGATCGACCAGGATAGCGCCGTCGCCGTTGACGAGGTAAACCCCAAGACCCAGAACAAGCCATTACTACGAGAGCACCTGCTGGACGCGCTCGGCAAGATCGGCCGGTCTCGCGGCGTCAAGGGCCATACCGCCTCGGCAGCGGCGGCGCAACAGCTGTAGCAGCGCGTCCTCAACTTTGTCCGGGATCATATCGACGAGTTTACCGCAACGGAGGAGGCCAAGACGCTTATCAACGACAATATGTCACTCGTCAACAGTCCGGCCTATGCCGACCGGTTTACCCTCGACTCCTGGGCCCGCCTTCTGCGCCTTGTGAGGCGTGACACCGACGTAGACGGCCACACACTCCGCCCGGAGTGGCAGACCGCCCACGCGACGCGCCAGAGAGGGCATTAGAAACAGGTCTCAGCGCTGGTGCGGACGTTTTGTGTAGATGTGTTCCGGCTAGCCGCCGACCGCCCGGGCTATATAACGCCGCTATACGTTCAGACCTCCAATGCAAGATCGAGGCGCTCATCGCAGGCCTCCCTAACGACATATCAATACTAAGTAGCCGCGCCGCCGAGTTACCACCCCCTAGCCCGGGAGGCACCATCGCGGATTCTAATACCGGCGATACCGAACCCGTAAAGGGCAGTACTAGTAACCAAGCCGAACCGAAACTACCGGAACCCCCGGTGGGCATACGTGGCCGTTACCGGTTCGGGTGGGACGACGTAGCCTCGTCGCCATCAACCGCCTCCCATCAGAGAAAGGCTCGCCGCCCTTAGAAGCCCAAGGGTCGCCAGAGCCGACGGTCGACATGGGTGGCCGCAGTGGTAATGGCGAGGGTGGCGCCAGGAAGCATCTCCCCCACTGGAAGCTGGGCACCAGAGCCGGAATGCCAACAGACCCAGGAAGGCGCCGAGGGGCCAAGATGCGGTAGGAATATGATATCAGGTTTTCAGGCCCATACCGGGACGAATATAGGAGTAGGCACCGCTCAACAGCTTCGATAAAGGGTGGGCAAGACTGGCCTGCAGCAAGTCCAGGATGTGTAGATGTAAGAACAGGGGGCCGCCCCACGTAATCAATAACCGATCGTCCGATACGGCGCAAAAGAAGAGCCCTGCGCGTCACATCACATCTGCCGGGTTATCACCACCACACAAACCGACTAGCATCTTATCTCCGCCCAACCACTAGTGTTTTGCCTTTATAGTGCTGTAAGGGAAGACCCAGGCGAAGACCTGTAGAGCTATGTATCCCGCCAGGGGTACAGCCGCCCAGGCCACTAATTCGAGCCTATATGGTCTCAGTAAAAACCCAGCGTAGCATTCGATCCAACGTGAAGCCAGGTATATTATCTATATCTATATAAGGAAAAGAAAGATCGGTAAGAAATAGGACCTGCGAGGAGGCGGCCCGCTATCTCATATCGGCGACAGCTCTGCACCCAGGGGCATAACCGCAGGTCCTCTATATCAGATGCGGCACGGATCGATCCGGGCCCCAAGCCACTGTCAGACGTCGTCTGGCAACAGGAGGGATTTGGTGCTGCCGCCTCTGTGTGTATAAGACTGGTCTATAGGATGTTATGGTGAACGGGAGAGGAGCCAGGCCTCTCTCCCTTCCTGGGCATATATTACAGCTGGGAGGGTAGAGAGGCACTACTATGTAGTCTGTTGGCTGTAGACGAGAGGCTATGTAAACCCGACGTTTATTGATATTCTCTCTAGCTTATACGATATATATAGAGAAGTGGTTTGCTATACTATCGCGTTATAACTAGTCCCCCAATACTGCTAACCGCATACCAAGCCAGATCACATTCATGCTATTGCTACGATGTCTACCGCACATGAGGAAGACGACTACCCTGACGACCTGTATGAGGACGAGCCGTCTGACGCCAACCAGCCCATGACCCTCGGCCGCGACGAACTATTTGCCAACGACCAGGACCCGCCTCAACAGCAAGACAACCGCCAGAGATGGGCGGTAGACCACTCTTCAGGCCACCACAAGTTCCGAGGTATGTCTCCTACGCGTGAACCCGGGCCAACAGAGCTAACGCTGTTTACGACGTCTTCAGCGCAGCGCTTCATCAACAAGGTGCTCGGCAGCGACTTCGAGCCGGCCGACGCCCTCAAGATTCTCCAGGAGAAGCATACGATCGATTACGGATCCCGCTCGGCGGGCGGGGCGCAGGCCAGGCCAACGGACGCCTTCTTCCCGCTGTTCTTCCTCGACTTCCTCAGCATCGTCGGCAAGCCAGGGCGCCCGATCACGAGGCGCGACAGCCCGATATTCGATAATATAACCGTCTCTTTCCAGAAGTACGGGGCTCCTTACGGCGCGAAGCACATCGGCGGGATCCCGTTCGACATCACCGGACGCACGTTCAGGATCGCCCAGGCCGCCACCAGAGAGATCTGGTTCATCGTCATGCATCCGGTCGGGGGCGAGACGGCCGATCCCGCCGCCTCGGCGGCGACGGCGGCGGGGGGCCAGCGCGAGAGGGAGCTGGCCGGGGAACGGAGCGGGATGGCCGGCGGGCTGGCGCGGCAGCTAGCAGCCTATATCACGGGCGTCTTCCAGTCGCCCGAGCTGCTGGGTGAAGGGGTTGAGCCGTGCTGGCGACCCGGGGGCAGGCACAGCCAGCGCATAAGCTCTACCCGCTGGACGGCGTTCCAAGAGCTCTTTATGGACGGCTGGACAACCTGGGCCGGCAGCCACCCCGCGGAGTCCTACTGGCGGCGGCACGAGCCGGCCTTCCACGCGTACGACTATGGCGCCAACATTGAGATCGAGGTCGGCAAAAGCATATATAACCTTCCGCGCGAGAGACACGTCTACCTGGACGAGGACAGCGAGGAGGACCGGGGGTCCAACGACGAAGACGAAGTGGAGGACGACGCCCGGCGCAGCCTTGACAGTCTCTTCATCAACGAGGGGCCGGATGGCCTTGCCGCAGAAGGAGGCGGCAGCCCTAGCGGCTCTGCCAACGGCCCCCAATACCGGCAGATGATCGGGGAGAGCGAGGGGCTGCAGAAGCTGATCACGGAGCTCGGCGCCCGCTTTAGGCCGGAGAACATCACCGCCCTCTCGTACGCCCTTGCCGTCTGCCTCCATAGCGAGTCGGGCGATTCCCAAACGCGCTGTCTCCTCGCGGACCGGAATATGCTGGGCCGCGAGTTCCCAGTAGTAGCGACTATACCTTCTACCCGCAGGCCTTCCACCCCGCATATGGAACTTCTCCTCTAACCGCTCGCCGGCGTTCCTCGATTCGCTATATACCGCTATGAGGGGTAATATGAGCGACCGGAACGAAGGCGCCGACGTACTGTCGTTCGGATATTTCCAGGGCTACTCTAATACCAAGAGGAGCGTGCGCCATAGCCCGAACGATCTCCTCGCTACTAAGGGTTTCGCAACGGGGGCGCTTACGGCGCCGACGGCCTGCACCTCGGCTACGACGCATACGAGAGACAAGCGAGAGCGGCTACTACGCATCATCCGCGGGCACGCCACGCAAGAGAACCCGGAGCAGTCCAAGCCGTTCGCACGAGAGCGTAACCAGATGAACGTCGCCGTCGATAACGAGGAGGTCGCATACCGGATGGAGCAGGTCGTATCGCTCAACGTAGGGCATATGGTCAGCGCCGAGCGCACGTTTGAGGCCGTTATCCGCCCCATCTTCCAGCTTATCCGCTTCTTCCTCCTAGAGCACGAGTCGTACGTGCATATATTCCGGTCTATACCCCTCGAGGTCTTTCCCCGCATCGTGTCTGCCTACTGCCGCCTCTTCGAGCTGGCGCTTGACGAAATGGAGCGGCGTTACGTGCGGGAGGGCGAGCGCGGGCTCGACCTGGCTTCCTCCGAGGCCGTTGCCGTGCTTGACCGGCTCGGCGGGTACCTCTTCACGGGAAACGAGCGGCACCTGCCGAAGACGGTGCTGCGGCCGCTGGGCACCATAGACAGCCTCCGCACGGGGGCGTGGCCGTATATCGACCCGGCCGTGCTGGACCTCGGCTCGTCGGGGTCGGGCAGGACCGTCATCCACGTGGGCCGGTGGCCGCGCTCGGCGGAGACGAGGAGGCTCGTGCTGCTCCACGTGCGCGAGCTGCAGCACCACTACGGCGTCCGCGTGGCATCCAGCCGAGAGGCGGCCATCTGGTTCGACCAGCTGGGCGAGAGCGCCCTCGGCAGCCGGTCTGCCGTGGCCGACTTCACGGCGGAGCTGCTGCGCGAGCTGTGGATCCCGCAGACCAAGTTCTTCATCACCCGGCAGCTACGCCGCAGACTGCGGGAGGGGGCCGAGGCCGACGACGGCCAGCCCGTCACAACCGAGCAGGTCGAGGCGTGCAGCCGCGCCGTCACCGCGTGGGAGACGTCGTCCGACGCGTTTACCTGCAAAGCGCTGCAGCAGCTCGTTAGAGGTCTCATGCCAGGCGGCGCCCGCGTGGCGATAACACTGTCCAGGACGCGCACTCGGCACGACTTCGCCGCCGAGCTGGTACGCGTTGTCGCAAGTGAGAAGGGGAGAGAGGCAGTGGCGCCGTCCAAGGCGACATGGCCAGACCAGCTGCAAGCCGCCATGGCCGTCGGGCTCGGGCATGAGGAGTGGGTCGCCGTGCTGGGGGGCCGTATGCTTGCGGCCGGGATAGAGTGGGTCCCCGATGCCGTGCGGGGCCGGCTAACGTCAAGGACAGTCGTCCGTTTATGCGGCCGGGAAGGCACACGGCCGGCGCTAACCGGGCCGGCCGGGTCGCTACGGCGCGCGGCACAGGAGGCGCAGATCAAGCACGAGAAGGCAATAAAAGACCGGGCGCTCCGTCAAGCGCAAGGAAGGATCGATTTCGGCTGCGCCTTCCCTTTTACAGACATCCCCAGCGTCGTTCAGTCAGGGTTCAACCAAGCTAAGACGATCTTCTCCGGGAAAGGCGACATTAAGGTGCTAGACCACTACCAGCTTGCGATGAACTGCCTGGCCGAGAACATCGACGACCCCCTCTGCTGCCTCATGCTGATGATCACGCTCACGGTATGCTCGTCGTCGGAAACGCCAGAAGTGGCGCAAGGGTCGCGGGAGTTTAGCGTGGCAGCAAAAAGGAAAGACCCCGGGCAGCTCGCGCTCGTCATGGTCACGCGGATGATGTGGTTCCTCTACCCCAGGTTTTCCCGTGGGCAAAGAATTCCGGAGGGACAGCCTATGACGTAGGGGAGATGACGAAGAAGATCGGTAGGTCATAGTGGGAGCTATTCATCTAACAAACGCAATGCTAATAATAGGCTACAAGAGCATAAGGGCTGCAGCAACCGGATGCTGCAGGCGGTCGGTTGGGTCACCTCGAAGAGCAAGCGCGACAGCCCGCGAAACACGGACCTGCAATTGCGGTCGCAGGAGGAGCTTCTCGAAACGCTGCGGGGCTTGCAGTTAGCCATCAAGCGACCCGAGGACTTCATTGGCATAATATTCCATAGTCAGGACGACATTTGGGTAGAGCGGTGTGGGAGCCTTGTCAACCGTGCAGCATAAGGAGCACAAAGGATACAGCAACCGGATGCTATAGGAGCTATAATAGGTCATATCGAAGAGCAACCGCGATAGTCTACGAAACACAGACCTGCAGCTGCAACCCCGGGAGGAGCTACTAAGGACGCTTTGAGAGCTAAGGTCTGCTCTCCGGCGTCGAGGAGACTTTATCTGTATAGTCTTTTGTAGCCGGGATAGAATCTGGGTGGAGCGTTGTGCGAGTATTATCAAGTAGGGAGGTAGAGAGGTTCTAGAGTAGCACAGGTACAATAATACTTCATACAGAGCGGACCGGCCATTACGAAGTAAAGACGGCTTGTAGTTAGAAACCCGGTCCTGGAGATCGAGAAAGAAAATCCACTACTATAGCTGATTTGTATTTTGTCAGCTACCTAATAAACGCCCAATAATGATGGCAGTACCAACGCGTGCTCTAGAGGCGCCCAACCCAGCCTCCACTCAAAGTAGGCACTCCAGTGCTGCCATTCAATGTATGCGCTTGCTGCCGAAAGCAGACCCACGGCCCGCTCAGTCGTCCATGCCGTCCAACTCGTCATCGTCCACATCCTGGACGCCGCAATAGAGGACAACGTAGCCGAAGTAGGACGGGCCATCCTCGTGGGAGGTAGCCGCCATTTGGCGCGTCGACGGCATAGCTTATAAAGATGGCGACGTATTCCGTAAGGGTCTTCTCGGCGCCAGTACTGGGGTTGATGACTCTCTCCAGAGCGAAGGCGAAGCTCAAGCCCTTGTTACGTATGACGAAGTGATCGACCCTGAGGACCGGGCCGTTAAGCTGGACAATAGGCATTGCTACAGGTTGTTTATTCCTAAGCAAGGGTTAGACGTGCGGCCGAGCGGATGGGCATAAAGCTTGTCCATCTTAGCAAACATAAGCTCGACGGCTACGCCCATCCTAATGAGCCCATTATCAAGCCTAAAGGCGGATACCAGCTCGCCAGCCACTTCGCCATATAGTACTACCTCAAGCCAGTCATCTATAGCATTCAAGTTAAGCATAATAGGTAACCCTCAATAGCGAAAGTAGACGGCTTCATTATAGACCATCATGAGACTCCTCTGTCCAACGTGGTATATGGCGAGAAGGGTCGTATTGACGCCTGGGGCCACAAGGGATCATAAGGGATCTCTGGGATGCTTGGCTGGCAAGCA